GAGGACCATACCAATTAGGTATAGCGCGGTTCGTTGCCTCAGGCATGACCATAATGGCCTGAGCTTGCTGAGGTAAATCCTCTAGAGGTTGGGAGTCAGGTGACATCCCAATACGGCTAGTATCATGTGTGGTTACCTCCTATTCCTCCGAGGCCTCCCATACTCCTAGATAGATCAATCAATCACGTATCAGTACTTCTACATTTTTCACTCCACCACAAAATGCATCACCAATATAAATCAATCGATACATTACTATTACAAAGGCTAACCTCTCTAGAAACATCATAGATGGAAAAAACAGGCTAATATTTAGTATACCAGCAGCCCTTTGCCTCAAGTACAGCCTGCAGACGACGCGGTAAACTCTCAATTAGCGCGTTTACCTTGTCTTGGCCGATGGAATCCCAGGCCTCTATTATTGCGCGCATCATCTTGATCCTATCGACCTGGTTATCCTTTAGACTACCAAAATCCGGGTATTTTCGGTATAAATAATCTTTCATCTGCTTCCAAATGTGCTCAATTGGATTCAGGTCTGGGCTATGAGGTGGCCAATCGATGCAAGCAATCTGATGGTCTTGGAACCACCTAGTCGACAACTTTGAGGTATGAATCCGCGCGTTATCTTGCATGAATAGCTTCTCTGGCGTATGGAACGGTAGGAGTCCCTCTTCGAGAGCCTGTATATACGACTTTGACGTAAATCCGCCTTTTACAGCCTCCTCATCTCGCTCCATAATGATCAACTCGCTCTTGCCACGCCTCGATATACAACCCCAGACCATTATCGATATCTCAGCCTTCACATGTTCGCCGTTATGGACTGTATCTTTCTTGAAATGGTCCTCCGGAAGGCAAAAGACCCAACATAGGGGGTGCGGCCGGTTCTGGACGCTTGATTCATCGGAAAACTCGATGTCCTATACGATGAGCGATTAGCGGGGTAAAGCAGGGCTATAGCACAGTTAGACTAGCAATCAATTGCTCGATTTTAGGAAGCCAGTACCTTGCGAATTCGAGCCGTTTACGGGCTCCCTCTTCCGTTAATTGGATCTTCTTACGCATACGCCATTTGCGGTATTATTTGGACCCCCGGAGCGCGGGTTTGACGGTCGACTTGGACGGGGTGCCTTGGTCGCATGTGAGGGACCGCGCCAGCTCGTTGTGTGTGACCTTCGGGCTTTTTTTAATTTGTTGTTGAAGATATCGGAAGTCAGGTTCCGTGATCATCTTGGTACGGTGTCCTTTTGGGAGAGACTTGAATGTTCGTTGCGTACGGAACTTCTCAATTGTATAGTCGATGGTTGAGGGCGAGCATCCGACCTTGCGGGCAATCGCTCATTTAGACATTAGGCCCGCGTCGACCATTGCAATGATTGCAGATCGCTGTTCTGGCGTAAGATCGGCATCCTTACGCCGATTGCCGCTAATTTCACCCAAAATTGAGCATTCCATCATTAAAATTGATGAAGGTATTGATCATCTAAGATCTAGAGTCGTTTTGACGCGTCTCGTGGTTGCTGGGGCCTGTGCACGATTTGACCGGATTACTCACTCATTACTCTGACCTCTCACAGTACTTACCTCGGAAATAATACGTGTAAATATCATGCTTCATCCTTCCGCCGATGTCATCCGGCCTTGATAGCAGTGTTCATCAAAATGCACAGTACAAGTGCTGGTTAGAAACTGTTCGAAAGAGTAATGTCAAATTGACCTACACTTCGAGGTCGACTAACCTCAACTACACGGCCGCTTCTAGATATCTAATACTCCGTACATAGTGCTCTATTGCTCTATCCCGCTAGTTCTCCCTTCTAAACGCTACGCAATAATCGACGCTCAAATGTCAAAATGTGAAGCTCAAATGGTCACCGGGTCCATCCCAATCCTGCTTCGCATCCCCAGCCAGATCTCGTAGAACCGGAGCTTGATCCGGATACTGACGAAGGCGCCCCAGGCCTGCACCAAGCTGACAAAGTTCGACGGTCGAAGGAAGCTCCCCCGGAGCCGTTCCAGCTGCTCCTCGTATACCGTGCGGGATGCATATCGGGCGAGAATAAGAAACGCCCGAGCAGAGCCGCGACGCGTCTGGAGAGTGTCGTCCAGCGCCCGTGCTGCGGTGGAGTCAGCGTTTAATATCAGGCAAAGGGGAAAGAATATCACATACTCAGATCGTTTGTTTTCAGAATCAACAAGAGCACCCGTGGAACCCTTCCCAGCAGCTGAACTAGGTCCGTCAGCAACCCCTCCGATAGCGCCTGAGAAATCATCTTCTTCTCCTCTTGATCCCTTGAGGCGACTCCGACCCCCTTTTGCACCGCGCTGTAATCCCGTCCGGTGATGGCACTCGCGAACAAGGGGAAGTCCTCATCCCCGACATTCGCCACTTCGTTCGCATACTTCCGCATGCCCGGTTCATCCGCGTTAAGCACTGCGAGCCACAGCTTCGCATACCCACGGCGGATGTCCTCCGGAATGTCTCGGTACAGTCCATGATCGTAGAGCACAATATCAAAGTTCCGCCGGCCGCGGAGACTCAACAGGGACCACCAGGAGGCGGGCCGGTGCCGGATGGCCAAATTCCCTGCATGCGGATCGCAGTGCAGGGGCGCTCCGGTCCCGAAAATCATCTCGTTGAAGATGCGCGCCAACGCCGCCGCTACCTCGTCCCGGTCAATGTGGTTCGCGTCGAGATAGGTGAGGTTGTCCGGCCGGGAACCCGCGAGATATTCCATGACGATGATCCGGCGGCGTGACCAGAGCACCTGGGGAATGACTAGCGGAGTGTTCGGCACGCGGGCGAAATATTCGCGGATACGGTTCGCGTTGGCTGCTTCGTGGTCGAAGTCGAGCTCCTGGGGGAGGGAGAGCTCCATCTCGTTGGAAAGCCATGTGAGGTCGTACTCGGGGAACCAGTACTTGAGGGTTGCGAAGGAGAAGCGTGTAAGAGCGAGATCCAGCGAAGCCCATTCGTCCAGAGCTGGATGCTGAACCTTGACGGCCACTTTCTGGCCCGTCTCTTTCATCGTCGCTATATGGACCTGCGCCAGGGACGCGGCACCGATGGGCGTGGGTTCGAAGTCGTCGAAGAAGTCCGACCAGGGCCGTCCCGTGTCTTTCAGGATCATCGCCTCGATCTCCTCGAACGCGGACACGGGACACTTGTCCTGCAGCGGGACGAAGGTTTCGCACCACTCCGGTGGAAGAAGATAATTCAGGCTGCTCAGGTGCTGACCCAGCTTGATGAAGATCGACCCATTCCGTTCCATTGTTTTGAGTGTTCGAAGTGCACATCGTTTGTGGCAGGCTTTGAGGAGGGTATCGAAGGCCACGGCATCTTGATAGTCTTGATTAAGGGTGACTCGGTAGCTGTTCGCATAGGAAAGTATTTAGCAAATGTCCTCTCTAAGTATATCTCCGATGTATGGATGATCGGATGGATCACCTACTCGTTAACGCAAACGGCCAAAGTGCTTACGATGCTGCCCGTCCGCTCTACCGCCTTCGCAGCATGTTTCGCAGCATGCTTCGCATCATCGCTGACCGTGGCCGCTGCTAGCAGCCCCGTACCCCCTACTGCTAGTAACACTCGCCTTCGCTGTCGAGATCGCTTCGGATTCGGCGTCCCATGCGATCGATTACCGCTTTTGGTGGCCTGTGCCCGCATTTGCGGAATCCATGATGGACCAGCTAGCCGCTGCCGGCATGGTTCAAGTCGAAGAGGAGTGTTTCGAAGGGATTGCGTGCATGCGTTGCAGATCCATGAGGTATTATGCACTCGGGGGATGCCAAAGAACGGTGGCATTTGCGAAGCCCGATATACGATATGTCACTGGTGGACTTCCTTCCGCCAGCCAGATGGAACTTATGGGGCGATTTCAAGGAAATAAGGAGCGGACAGAGGTGCGTAACTCATCTAAGAGTTCTGAACCACATTATACCAAAGATAGAAGCACGAGGGACAGTGGGGCTGGTGTATTTGGTCATTCTCGATTTTTTTCGGAGAATAAATCCAATTGCTTCTGTCTGGCTGTTTTGACATCACGCTACCGTTGTCCGACTTGCCGACATGCACGTGACAATCCTGGCTGCGATCACGGCTTCTCCCGACAAGGTTCCGGGTGATCACATAACTGATAACATGAATATTATGAGCTGTGTTCTGAACCCGACTCCAGCAGTCCGGTTATTAATAGTATCTGTTGCAGTCGACATCGGATATCACACTTATTAGCATGCGGTAGACATACACGGCACATCAAATGCCACAGGTGAAAGGGGGTTGCTGAACAACTGCGTTAATTGTTGTAAAGTGTCGTCAAGTATTGCAATTCCTCTATTGATCTAAGCATCGCGTCAGGCTCGTAGTCCTCTCCTCCGTATATGTTCCAAAAATGGCCGGAACCCTTCGCGGTCCATGTGCCTCCAGTATATACAAAGAGACAAGAAGATCTTGGTATCATAAGATGGCAGAACATGCCAGAATCGACGTAAGAAAATGAAACAAATGTGGTATCGCTGCGGTTGGCCGTAAACAAGCCCGACGTGGGGAGCCCTCCGGTCGGGAGGAACTCCCGAAAACGGGAAGAGAATCGAATCGTGATAACAAATGGAAGATTCAGCGTCAAATCATAACTTCTGCTGACCCAGAGAAAGCGACGCATGAGCTCGAGCGGCATCAAGATGATCGCTTCGTTCATCAAGGACGTCCAGAAACCAAAGGCAAACCAAGGATGAGAGACGGGCGTGAAGTGGACAGACGAAACGACACATTCTAGATCAACCGCGTCCTTCGGATCGACCACTTGTCGCCTGCTCACGACATCAGTAGTACCCCGAATCACTCACCCATCCACTGGCACCCATTCTCTGGTCGCCAAATTCCCCCTCGCCTTCATCTTCATACCCACTCCCCGCGTCGTAGCTGCTCCGCCCACTGATATCTCCACCTCGGTCGTCAAGATCGTCCACTGTCGTCGTCGGCAACGAGTCCCAGACGCTGCTTAAAGTCGGATACTGCGCCAACAGCGCTGCGGGTAGCCGATACGGCATCTGCGCAGCCGGGTCCGCGCTGCCGCTGTAGCCCTCGAATCCCGGCTGTGGTGATGTCGACATTCCGATCCCAGGGCCCATTTGGCCGGATTCCATGCCCATCATGCCAGCGTGCATGCCGGGACTCTGGCTCTGCGACGCCGCGGCTGCATCCCAGGATTTCTCCGCGGCCTCCTCCTCGAGAAGAGGCCGGATGCACACCCGACCGGCCTCCGATCGGAAGTGCCGGCCCAGCGCATCAGCGCGAGCGAACCGCCGCCCGCAACCCCACTGACTACTGCTCTTCAGTTGCCCGCGACAGACGAATTTCTTTTCGCCGGAATGCAGGCCCTCGTGCCGCTTGCGGTCATGCTGCCGCGCAAATGCCTTGCCACACACCGTGCACACGAACGGGCGCTCATCCGTATGCGTGCGCAGATGCGAGCGTAGATTGTAGGCGCGAGTGAACCGCTTCGGGCAGAGAGAGCACTGGAACGTCGCAGGGTGCTTCTGGGTTCGTTTGCTGCCTGATCCGACCGACTCGCCCGATGCGCCGGAGCTTGGCCGGTCAGGGTTGGCGAGGCCGAGCATGTATTCGCGGTCATGGGGCACACTTGAAGTGGACGAGCGGCGGTTCTTCCCGACCCCGGACGGGGATGGGGAGCGTGACGACCGGGCATGGTTCGGTGAGAGGCGATCCTCGAGAGCAGGTGTGGACCCGCGAGATCGCCCAGCATGAGGGTCGGATTTGGCGCGTTCGCGATTACGGCTTGGACCTGTGCAGAGCAGAGCAGTCAGTTTTGAGGTCAATGGCACGGAATTCTGCATGGATGCTTACTCCGTGATGGTGGTTGCAGAGTGTCCTCTTGTTTCACATCGGGCTTGGGAGGCTCGAAGCTCCCTTGTCGTGAAGGCGGTTCAAAGCTAATCAGAATCCCCGGAGTTGGCATTGATCCTTGGCCGTTGTTCATGGACATGCCATTCTCCGGCGCGGAAGGGAACGTCTCTTGATTTTGGTTTTGGAACACGTCGTCGTACGGCCCTCCAATTGACTGATTGAGGCCGAAGTTGTCCACCGAGGTGAAGGCGGGAAGCGATTGTTGCTGTGCCGCGAGGTTAGGAGAGATATGTGGGCTGTGATGCGGCGAGACACCAGGATATCCGTGCCCTTGATGGACCTGATTCTCGGACAGGGTGATCTGTTCGAACATGGCGGCGCCTTGGGCCATCTGAGGATCCACCTGGGCTCCCATTAATGGCGAGGGATGCTCAATGGGATCGTAAGGCTCCGTGTTGCCTAGGTACGGCGATGGTTGAGATGAGACCTCGGAGTATTGGTCGGACGGTGTCCTCCGGTGGCTCCCAAAACGCATGCCGCTCCAGTCACCCGTCCCCGGCGGAAACGCAGCGCTGGAAGGGTCAAGCGATGCGTGACGAGAGTGATTCGGGGAAAAGCCACCCTGTACTAAAGAGGGCGACGCCTGAGGGCTGATGCTCGAATGGCGCATATCAGGCTGTAGGAGATGAGCAGGAATGGAGTCGTGGTTTGGAGCAGAACTCGCTGGATTCAAGAGCGCTGAAGGATCGATAGATTGGTCAACGGACTGGCCTCCGCCGAGCAACTGCGGATCCACCAAGTAATTGGGGTCGAGCGGGTCCTCGTTCGCCCCGCCGTTCTGAAAGAATTGTTGATTGTATGAGTCTTGCGCGTTGGGCAAGGGATTATTGCCGTCCAGAAGACCAGGCGAAAAAAGACCGTCACCCTGTTGACCGAACGAAGGGTTCGAAGGATTCTGGGGGCTTCCCTGCGGCTGTAGGAAGGGGGATTGAGACTGTGAGTACTGTGGTTGTTGGTTGAAGTCGGAGTTTGAGAGGTTGAACGGATGTTGTCCGGCGGAATTGAGGTTGCTGTCAAAGTTGGATATGAAGCTATTCGACGCTCCGACTAGCGACTGATCCAGCCCTAACCCCGCAGAGACCATAGGAGTATGATAGGAGCTATGAGGAGACGGGGAGGGCGTCTGTCTTTTAATCGCCTGCTGGCCGACGGACGGCGATCGTCCCCGCTGGTGGTGTGCCTCCATGATTCACTGGGGGTGGGGGACGAGGAGGCTGTGGATTGCTCTCCAGTCGAAGGGGCGAGGAAGTCGTCAATGCGCACCAGATAGGTACAGAATGAATGGTGGTCGAGTGTTCAATGGTGAGGCGACAGGTGAGTTGAGGCTTGGAGGGCGAGCGGGTCACAGTGGTTCTGTTCCTGTAGGGTTTCGGGGTGGGACTTGGGAATCAAGGGGAGCGTGAACCGTCAATTGAACTGAAGCGCCAGCTGAACGTGAAGCGATGTCGAGGAACGGAGGGAGTGGGACGATGTGCGCTTTGGCCAACGGCACGTGCACCATCCACCAAGCCTCGAGCACGTGATTTGACTGATTGCTGCCTGCCTGTCTTCTTGCTCCTCGTTAAGACTCAAGGTATGAGGCGGCGAAGTTCAACACTGCTAGGAACCGAATTCCCGCCGAGGCAGTGTCTCGACAATGTATGCAACCGATCAATACGCGCTTGAGACTCGATCCAAATCAACAGTCCATTGCAGGAAATGTCGAGGTTGTGGTGCGACAGGACCATGCCAGCTCAGCCGCAAGGCGCAGCAGGAGAGGATCATGTCCTGTAGTGCTCAAGCAAAGACTGGCCAACGCTCTGTTGTCAGCACTCAACACCGAACAGTGGAGGGCTAGTGGCGCAGGGCAGACTAGGATTCAACCTGTCCACGGCTTCACACGGTTCACGCCTCCAGCTCCAAAGTAGTACGGTACTCGAACTACATACGACTGTCTGAAGTCCGGAGATGTGGACGAAGGAGGCTGGGTATCCCTCAGTTTCGATTACGGAATGCAAGAAATAGGGATCCCAATTCCAAGATGGAGGGTGCAGGCAGTCATCAGCAATGAAATGTTCCCTGAAATGCCTGGATGAGTGCTCATCCTGTCTCGCAGGTAATCATATTAGAATTGGGCACGAACAGGGGTTCAGGGGTATACATGGCATTACTAATTACTTGTTCGGATCATACCGAACCAGACGGCGAGAATCAGCCTACGGGAAAAGTCAGGCAATTTCAGTGGATGCCCTGAGACTGACCCAATGACTGCGGCCTGCGATGGAAATTCCCTTAGTCCCCGAAGTCCAGGGATGAACCAGCAAATCGTTTCGACGGGTCCACCCGACCTGAAGGCTCGCAATCATACCATACTGTCAAGATTGCTATATAGTGCACCCGGAACAATATAATTATATTACTAAGATATATGCAGTGACCGCCCTCCCGAAATCCCACACTGATATTTCTCTATGGCGTCGTAGCCATGATTTAGAAAGCGACAGCAACCCGGTTGGTCTGGTACTTCTTGGTGGATGGCAAGAAGCAGCAGATAACGATTGCACAAGAACCGAACGCGATGCTAGTCCACCAGACATATCGCAGCGCCAAAGAATAAGCCCAGCGGGATCCCAGCGCGGCCGCATCCACCACCGCAGGCGTCACCCCCTCCACGGTCATGATGTCTTCCGGGGTCGTCAAGTATGTGATGACGAATTTCTCAAGTGATGCAAGTGGGAGCCCCGCCGTCGCAGCGTAAGTGCCGACCTGGATCGGCAGGAACCCACTGAGCTTGTTCACGAAGATGTTATAGTATATGGAGTAGCCGATTGCACCACCGACGGCGCGGACGGAAAGTGACAGAGCGGCCGCGGTCGTGATGAGAGCATCGGGGGTCGCGAGCATCGCGACGGTGGCAGTCGGGACGATGGCAGCGCCAACTCCAAAAGACGTCAGTGTGGAGAGGATCACGGTCCGTACGGGGTTTTCGGGAGTGGCGGTAGAGACCGTTCCACCGAAGGCGGTCATGATGATTAGGCCGACTATGATAACTTCGCGACTGTGGTTACTGAAGGTAGAAAGGAGCGAGTTGAAGACGATGGCGCCGGCCGTGGTGGCGATGCCGCTTGGAAGGGAGCGAAGGCCAACCCCCACAGGATCGTGAATGTAGACGGCCTTGAAAAGCAAGGGGTAAAAGTTAAGGATCGAGTAGAAGTTCATGCCGCCGACAAAGGCCATCGCGTAGGCCACACCAACGACACGCTGGCCTCGGAATAGTTCGAGAGGAATCATGCCATTTTTGGCAAACTTGATTTCCCAAACGAGCCAAGCAACGAGGAGGGCGATGCCGATGAGGAGACAGCAAAGAACGTATGCACTGGTCCAGGGATGCGAGTAGCCCCCAGCCTGAAGGGCAACAAGCCTATAACAACAATCAGCACCTAAGATCAGTGTTGAGATGTTACCGCACACTCACGTCAAGGTTAGTCCAATGATGGACAACAGTCCTCCAATGTAGTCGATTTTAGCAAGAATCGCACGACGTGACAACCCGTCAGCACGGGTGTGGTGATTTGGGAAGTAAGTGAAGAGAAGGCCCAGTCCGGTGATTCCATTGTAGATCCTCGAGCCTGGTCAGTCATATTTCTTGGTATGCCCGTCTCCTAGGACTTACAGCGAGATCCACGCAGTCCATCGCCATCCTAATTTGGTATCCCTTTGAAGCAACTCCGTGTAAAGCAAATAGGGGGTGAATGGAAAGACGAAAGCTGTTACAACAGCCAGGGAGTAGCCACGAAATTTAACAGGTACGCATTCAGCCAATCTATAGGTTGTAAGCCAACAGTTCTCGTTTTGAGGATCACGAAAGACTTCTTACCCAGCTAAACCCGTGAGTTCGCCGATGGCAGCACCAGCTCCTGATAGAGCCATGCCTGTGACGGCTGGGCCGAAGGATTTTGCCGTGGCGATGAGAATGATGCCAACGCAGATCAATAGGGCGCCAGTCATGGCGATATACCGTTTGCCGAACAAATCCTGTAGATAGCCGCAGAATGGAGCCAGGGCAGCGATGGCCAGTGTGTTGGCGACTGGGAGCCATCCCGATGATTCGGTGTTGCCAATATCGGCAGCAATGAAATCCAGTCCACCTCCCACGAAGTATAGGATGATCTGAGAACCTGTTTTTGAATGAGCAATCGGTCCCGAGTGTGAAGACCTGCCAGACTACGAACCGGTGTACAACATGGCAAGGAAAGCAGCCGCCAGTGCATTCCGGAGGTTCCAGTCAACCTTGCCATCAGAATCATCCCCTTTGAATGCACGGCTATTTTTCATATCAATCTTCCCCGTCAAGGTCTCCTCACGCGAGATCTCGTTGGATTCGACATCTTCCGTCGTGGCATCACCATTCTTGGTTTCGGTAAGCTCTGCTTTCTCCATATTGAATGACTTTAAAAAAACAACAACCAGTGGGTGGAGTGCAGTGAAGTCAATGAACGACGGTGGAAGTACAAGACTTAATATTTATGCTCAGAAACCTACTCAGACAGAGCTAGCAGGAGGTCCTGGACACTAGGCTCGACGCGAAACGAGATTTCAACTGATCTACGGAGTACATATGGACTAGAAGGGCTGGGCAAAACATTCTAGACTGCCGGCCCCGAGGTTGCGGTTATCAAGCGAGGCGGGGGGGAGGAAATGATACGTCCAGAGCAGATACCGTACGACAGCGTCGTCCCAGGCCTTCGCGAGGTTGGCAACATGCTTTTCCAAGTCTCCCGTCTCATGAATCCTTACCCTAGAACTACATTTTAGCGCTAGAGTGGGCCGGTTCAGTGTAGGCCTCCGGGTTTAAGCATTTGCACATGGTAGGCCATTACTCCGCGTCTCCGCAGTGGGCTAAGCCTAGACCAGAATGCGGCTCAGGATGGAGATATCAAGCCCAGACTATGTTCGGACGGGATACTGAGGATTGGCGCGCTGGCAAAGTCTATGGGTCTTCATCTCGCAACGAGTGCTTGCCGCTAGGACATAATGAGAGACCATTGACGAAATCTAGCCACATCTGTTAGCTTTGCCTTTGTGGTTGGGTCAGATGAAACTGGTGGGCGTGACTCAGGTGCCAGAGTCCAATTACCACCATCACACTGGACCTGCGCTGATCATCCACCTCATGGAATTACAGGGTAACGCTGCTCCTTCTCGTATTTAAGGCAGGGCAATTACCCTGGTATTGGATCAAACGGCCGGGAATAATTATGAATAGTCTTGAAAGATGAAGAGAAGCGAGAATGGGGATTGGGGAGGCCGTTGCGTCTTGCGAGCTGAGGTCTCTTCACCAAACACTGGAATCGCAACTAGCCGAATGCGGGGGAGGGAGATTATGTGACGGTTTGCGGGACTCATGCGGGGAAATAGTGGAAATAGTGGAAATAAGTGGTGAGAAAATTAGGAGCGGGATAGTTAGCGCGTAGTTGAACTGAAGGTCGAAATTCGAAAGACGTCGTACTGCTGACTCGGTTCGACCTAATTACATCGCAGGAGCAAGTAGAATGTTAGTTTTTAGGTCAGGTTGTTTTAATGACGGCGAGGCTAAAAAATACCATGGTTCATAGCTAGAACTAGCTAGGATTAAGAAAAAATACAAAAGGTGTCGTAAGTTAGATACCACTGGTAAAGTTGTATAGGTGCAGTTCAAGAAATGGGATGGATAGTCGGATGCCGGACTTGAAGGAGAGGAAAAACCTGTGACCTGTAATCACTTATTCCCTAATCGTGCACACTATGATTAGTACTGATGAGTGATGACATATAGACATACGGTCTAAAGAACTACAGAGTACTCCATCTACTGATGGTGTTGGGATACCTGAATAGAAATTTCAAATAGTATTCGGCCCTATTGAGTTGGTGACATCGCCACGTGGAAGTTTGTTCTAGACTTGATTCCGGTTATTGGACTCCCAAGACTGCAGGTCAGCAACTATTGGCGAAGATACCTACTGGTAGGTAGACCAAGAGCTTCAATTGCAGCATGGGAATTGAAACTTGACTCATCGTGGACCAAGACTGCTACTCGGATCATCCCACTGCCGAAAGCCGGTATCCCGTTAAACGAGACGTTCAAAGATGTTGGATATGAGATTGGTTTCTACGGATAATGTGTTTTCCTTTCGTCCGAGACTGCAGGTCGCTAATGACGAAGCATGCACCTGCACCACATACAGGCATAACCGACGACGGTAGCGCTAACGAGTGTCCCGCAACCACAACCTCGGTGACCCTAGTTTCTTTTTCCCCATACCTATTACCTCCAAGCGGAAATTCGAAATTAGTGCCCTGCCTGAGATCAAGGTATTGAAGAAGAGAACGCCGCCGCAAAGGTGGCTGTGCGCCGCCTTTTCCTAAGCCAGCAAATCTATCGTACAGGTCGACACTCGCTTATGGTTCACTCATTGGGTGGCCTCATTATTGCCCTCGCTCGCCGGCCGGGCCTCCAAGTTGATGTCCGCTACACGGTCCTGGGCCTGCACACCCTCAGCGGGCACGGTCGGGGGCGCATCGCTCGCCTCCTCTTCGTTCACATCTCCCGTCTCCGGATTCTGTCCTTCGACGTCCGGGTGAGGAGGCGCTACTCCCTCGTTCGAGATCTCGTTGCCATCGGCATCCACTATACGAGTCCGCGTCTCGTAACGGGTTTGGAAGGACACCTTGCCTTGGAGAGCGGAAACTTGTTCGTCGTTCAAAGTATTCCCATGCTCGTCACTACAAAAGACAAGCCGTATTAGAATGAATTGGCGCAATATTGGATGGATTAGACATACTGGTATTCTACGTTCTCCTCCCGACCGATCACAACTTGCCCATCCACCACTGGGGGAGGTTGTTCGACCTGAGGAGTCACTTTCGAATTCTCCGCAGGAGGCTCCTGTTGCTGGGCTTCGCCGATCGGAGCGGCGGGTGCTACAGACGATGGGACAGCCTCCGCTGCGCTCGGAGCAATGACAGCGGAGTACTGGTCATACTAGGATCGCGCGGTTAGAACCGAATGCACTCGATGATTCGCCAAGTGGGCTTACCGTAGTGTGAAAGTTGTTGCAGTCCCAGTCCCAAGTACCGAATAATTTGACCCGTTTGCACTCGTCCTGGGTCCACACATTTCCGTAGGAAAGCGGAGCGTAGAGGGTGAAGGCGACGATGCTGAAGGCGAGGAAAATGACCGCGAGGCTCTGCCCGATGATGGGTTTGTCCTTGAGCCCAAAGCTCTTGAACCGGTTGGTAACGTAATCGAATATCTGACAGAAAACAATGATGGCGAAGTAGAGTGCGGGGAAATAATGATGAAGGAACAACTGGCGCTGCATCAAATAGAAAGGGAAGTAATGGAACCCCCATCCAAGGACGGTCGTTCCGATCTCGAAGTCGAATCGTTTGAAGGCGGTATGCTGGTAATCGCCGCAACTCCTCTGCCATCGAAGCACGGCAATGGCCTTGAAGGCAAGGTATAGCGCCACAGCCACGGTGCTGGACCACCAAATGATGGGGTTGCCGATCAGATAGATCTGGCGATGATCCTTACCCCAGAAATTGATCCCCCGCCGAAGAACTGGCCAGCTTGGTGGACGGGAGTCCCACGCGTGAGACTCGACTAGTCCCGCATTGGTGGTCCACATGACTCTCTGGAGTTCCCAAAACTTGCCGAAGAATCCAGGGTTGCGATAGTTGACGACTTCCGCATTCTCACCGAGCTTGGGATGGGCATTCGACTCGATGTACCAGATGCTGTTGGGCAAGGTCCCGCCACGGGCGCAGGTAACTTCTTGTTGCTCGAAACCCCAATCCGGGAGTTTGACCTTGTGAGAAAAGAGGACACAGCCGGTCATGACGTGGACCAGTCTGAATTTGGTCTGGATGGTTCGAATGCGCTTCTTAGCCTCCTCCCCGTCAGACATGGACTTGACGATCTCGAAACGGAAGAGATCATTCGCATCGCCCTCGAATCCTTCATAGCCGTACGCCGAAACCTCAAATTGCCAATCAGCTTCGGTCACCGGGGGGCGTTGGTCGTGTGAATGAAGTCGACGATGGGTAGTCAAATGGTACAGCTTAACAACCCCACCATCCTCGATCCACGTCGGATCGAACTGATCCCATGCCAAAGGTCCCTCGATATTCGACCCGTTGACCATCAAAGGCTGTGTCTGATTCTCCAGAAGGAAGAGATTGTTCTCATCTTTGTGCGGGTATAAAGTGATCTGCTGTTGCTTGCTCCCGGCAGGATACATATGGTTGTGCGAATGGAGGTATCCACCCTGGGTGTTGTGATGTCGTAGCAAGACCCGGCTTCCATAGGCGACATCGGCTGGGACGTCTTGCATGCCCTTAGAGTTGAGGGTAGCTTGGAATTCGGAGGACATGAAGCCATCACCATCACCAGGATTAACGAGGCAGACGAAATGGATCGCAAACATGCTCATGTAAAACGTGAGCGGAATGACGATCAGACAGAAGAATCGAGCAAAGAAATGCTTAAACCACAGCCTCTGCATATGGAGTTAGCCATCAGATGTATCAATGTTTCCGTAGGCGAACTTACCGGAGTGGTGGTTTCCGCATCTCCCAACAGCGTCCACAATTGAACCAGCGTCAAGCTACCGACCCAAGCAATAGTGAACAGGCCAACCCATTTGACGCTTAACGTCGCTCCAAGTCCGAGACCACTCGCGGCCAACCAGAACCACCAGCTAGGAGTGAATGCCTGAGTAGGCCCTTGTTCATGTTGATTTGTGAAGTTCGTCCAGGCCAGGACAGTCAAGGCCGTGAAGATGACGAGGGGGGAATCGAGTAATATAAGGCGCGATTGAGTAACAAGTCCATTCTCTGTGGTCTTATCAGCAAATGTCCTATGTTCGGCGTATAATCCTTCTTACCAAAGATGACCAGTCCTGCGCCAAGAGCTGCAGTCGTGGTCCGGCAGCCGAACGCCTTTAATGTAAGAAACATCGTGGGAATGGACAGGACACCACACATGGCCGAGACCAATCGCATGGCGACATATGGAACACCGGGCTCGAGGTAATCTTTTCCGATGTCCTTGAAGTCGAAATCTCCGTCAAAGCCAGCCACCCAGCCGGCAAAGGTGATAAGAAGTTTAGCGAGCGGCGGGTGGACATCCATAAAGAATTTGCCTTTGATGTATTTGGAAGCGAACCCACCGAAGCTGGGAGATCGATTAGCAACGCGTACTCCAAAGGGAGCTCAACACTGGCACGATCAGACATACTGGACCTCATCGAAGACCACGCTGCTGGGCTGGTATATCCTGAAGAGGCGCACTAGGGTCGCCAGGACGGTGAGAACCGCCAGCAGCCGCCAATCGCTCCCGGGAAGCGAGAGGATGTTTGTGTTCTTGACGCCATCGGAGGCATACCCTCGTGCAGATGACTTGGACTTCACAGGTCGTCCATTCGGTTTAACTGCGGTTGTCGAGGGAGGTGTTCGCGACTTTTCGTTGGTATAGGCCGTGCTCCGGCTTTTGGAAGCCATGGTAACAAACGGTATCGTCCGGAAAAACGGGAGGCGCGGTTACGGAGAGGGATCACAAGTTCTTGCAAGTGGTGGTCATGCCGCGCAAGCCAACACGTAATGATGGCCTTGACGCCGATGCGATGAAGCTGGGAAGTATGAAATTATGAGACTGGAAGTTCTCCAGATGAACAGGACCGGATAAAGAAGGGGCTAAAGAGTGTAGAAGAAGAGAAAAGGGCGGCGTGGATGGGGAAGTACGAGAAGTCAGTAAGGACGTTGAAATGTTGAACAGTGGTAGACGGTGGTAGTGCAAGGGGCTCGTGTCGTGATGGAGATTTATTTTGGGGCTAGCAACGTGATCGCTGACTTGCAATGGCCTACTATTGCTATGAAGACTGATGAGGAGTTGAGCCTTGAGGACACCTCTCAATTCCCACGGCCGTGTTCCACTGACACGAGCGACACCTGCACAACCCCCTGTTGCAGTCAGCCTCAGCCGTGTTCGCGGATCCCGTATGGGTGGAATCTCGCGAATCTGAATCGCGTACTCCGTACAGTGCTGATATTAACTGAAGGAGGTGAGAAGAGATACAGCCGATTGACAGTTGGTAGGGCTTAACAATACCGTAGCTACCGGATTATCTAAGGAATTACCTATTCAAGGAATTATCTATTAAGGCAAGAGCAGGTAGGCCTCGGAATAGCAGTACATAATAAAAGAAATCACCAGGGTCTTCCCATGGTTGGCGGTTGCCCTTGCACTGGAGAACCACATTGACCGAAAACCGGAAAGGCATCAAGGCATAAAGATTGCTGATGCCTCAAATAGATCTCATCTGAACAAATCCATCTCCAATCACACGTGATCAGCCCAGAATTGGGATTTGTTCGTGAAAGCTTCGTACTACGACGAGACCGACAACACCAGCGACCAGACAATTCAGATCAATTGGAACCCGGAGCTACTTTGCGCGGTGCTGCCAATATCCGCCTGCGTCCCGTTCATCCACCAACAGAATGCGACTTTCCCAGCCTCTCCATTGATCGTCCTCCATCTCCATTCGAAAACCCCATCCTCACCATGGACAAGGTCGTCGCCAGGACGAAATATGTCATCCGATACGCGAAACGCCGGAATGCCCAAAAGGCCGCGAAGGAGGATTACGTAAAGCTCAAGGAACGATTCAACAACAGCAACGAACTGCGCGTGCGGCTCAACGAAGTGCTTCGTGCCGCAAAGCATGCACAGCGGGAAGACTGGAGGCTCGGCCCCCTCGCGCCTCGTCGAGACGTCGGCGAAGGTCGGACCAAGTACGGCTATCTCGACGCCTTTCTAGCACACGGGGTCCCATTTTCTTATCATGGAGGGGACCGAGCCATTCGTGGTGGGGACCGTGTTGTCGTGCTCGCAGGTCGGGATAAAGGGAAGATCGGAAAGGCGACCGATGTGAACCATAAGAACAGGACGTGCAAAGTGGCCGGACTCAATCAGGTGAGTAGTCAACCCTTCTCTGACGAAGACTATGATGACAGGGACTTCAATGGAACTGACAGATGGCGCAGTTTCAATACTATAGCCCCGAATGGCATCAAAAGGCAACGGGACTCCCAAACCCAGTCGCTACCGCGGAGCTCCCCCTTCGCCTTGACGATGTTCGTCTGGTCTGCAAGCATCCCGAGACCGGTCGTGACGTAATCGTAGAACGTTTGGAGGAGAGAAGAGTCTGGCGGGAAAAACACAACAAACATCAAACCCGATGGTTCATTCCCGGCTGCGAGACACCATACCGAGCGGAAGGGATGGGTGCTCCGAAAGCCACGCCCTCCCGGCCGACCGATCGTGACACCCCCGACGAGCTCGCTGACGAAGAGACGTTCCAGCCGCAGCTCAAATACATGCCGATGCCGGCGTCGGTGATCGACGAGCTGCGTGGGAAATACAGCAAGTTCCGCACGCGGCACGACCGCGAGTGGGTGGAGCAGAAGAAGCGGGCGGCGGCAGAGGAACAGCGGAAGGTGGATCTGGCGGCGCGGAGCGGATTGAGTCCGTTGCAAGAGTATCATCTGATGATGAAGCAGAGGAAGGTGGCGAAGGACCCGCCGGCGCTCAGCGAGGAGATGTGGGCAAGGATTGCACAGGTCATGGCGGCACCGAAGGAAAAGAAGGCAACGGTTGTGCAATCTTTGATTGCGGCGCAAGATACTTCGTCTGTCCAGGACGTACAGACACAGTCCTGAAGCCATTGGGGTTGCCCTGCGTAGTGTTGGCAAATCTATGTACCAATCCTACTTGTATTATATGTAGAATCCTCCCTGTACAGTGAAAGCGAAGGAAGCATTCTTATGATCATCATCGATACCCAGACCGACGTGGTTTCCCTCTGCTCTACCATACGCAGATGCCCACATACTCCGTCCGACTCCCCGGCGTCACCAACTCCATCCACTGCACCAGAAAGCGATCCACCAGCGGCAACAATATCCTCCCACTCAAGCTCAACTTCTTCACCCTCGCGAAACTCTCCACGTAGATCGTCCGCAACGCGTTCGCCTCATTTGCACCTCGATAATCAAAGAACCGCAGCACCGTGGCCGCCAACACCATGACCGTCGCCGTCGCCGGTCCGTTCGTGAGGATCAGGTTCGGATACCGTGGCATCATCTTCCGCGGCCGCGCCCTCGCCGTCGCCTTCATCCGCCACATACCCGGCCCTTTGGGATCCGGCGGCGGCGTGCTCAGCAGCCGCAGACACGCCACCAGGCACCGCAGGCAGGACATCGGCGCCGTCCATAGGCTCTGGTGGATCTTCCGTGCCCGCGGCACCACCACGACGTCCCAGGACCCGTAGTTCGGCCGCTGGTTATTCGTCCCTGGGTCTCGACTCGCCATTCCACCGGGAACACCTCGCGTCTCGCGGCTCGTTGCATCCCGCTCGCACGCACCCGCGAATTCCTCCTCGAACGCCTTCGCTCGCCGCACGCTCACCTCGTCCCCCTCGCTCACCACGTACCGGCGGTGCGTGTACTGGGTGATCCCGGACCCATCGTCGCGGTCGAGGTTCTCAAGCAGCGCCATCATCTCCGCGGTGTGCCCCCCGCTGCCGAGGACGACGAGAAGGTAGGTGTATTGGTTCGCAAGCTGCGGGTTGAAGGTGCCGAGGAGCTTAAGGCGGTGGTAGGGGGTGTTGATGCCTGGGGTGCGGGCTAGGTGGGGGTTAGGGTAGGGGCGCGCTTTTGGGGGTGGGCGTCTCGGGGCGAGGATTTGGAGGAGCCGGAGGGTGACGGCGATGGAGAGGGTGATGAGGAGGAGTAGTGTTAGAACGAGTTTGAGGTGAGCCATCTTATGTGGGGTTCGGAGATATGAAGTTGTGTTGAGGTCTTGAAGAGGAGAAGAGGTTTGGTCAAGCGTTTATATGTAAAGCTGAACTCAACGTCCGTAAGAAACTTTCAAATGTTTGACAGCAACTGCACGGTAAAAGAATGTTTGGCAATATTCCATGCTCTTGTGAAGTTTGGTTCCTTGTCGCCGCAACAACGTGAAATCTAACATATTCCGTTTATTTGAACCTGGACGTGTTGAAACCCATAACATCCAGATACCCTCCTTTTAACATGCTGGATGAGCGAACCGAGGAAATCCTTTATTCAGCTTCCCATCATCCTATATGATGTTCTTATGGTTTCTTGAAATCATGTCATGTTAGGGACCTTTTCAATTTTCATAGATTTGGGGATCTTGTTGGGTGTGAGGGTGTGAGGGTGTGAGGGTGTGAGAGTCGGGAGACTGACAGATCATATACGATATAGATTCTTGCTTCCACAATTTAACGCTAACCACTTCTGGACTATCAGAAGTCAGAAGTCTCCAGTCACCTCTCCTATCTCCAACATGCATGATCTATCAGGAATTCAGTGTTCTGGCCATAGAGAGAAATCACAGCAGCAAGATCCAAATGTAAGACCTACAATGGGGAATTACTAAGCTAACATTACTATATCACCTATTCCCATCTCCTTTCCTCCCGTCGTACATTCTCACAACCCCCGTGAGTCCCATCCCTGATTGTCGTTAATACTCGCTGACCACATGCAATGATGGCGACTTGAGCGGTCCATCTTGCCACTTCCGCCGTACCGTTTCCCTTGACGCCTCTCCCAAATCTTCGACGTAGCACAACATCTGCTCAGTGGGGTATCTTCTCCATCGTCCGTTTGAAATGTAAAATGGCACCTACTTGGCATCCTCCGTTGCATTGGTTTCCGGCTTCTTTGTTGACACAAGTTGCTCGAGATCGATTGTTGCAGGCCGAACAGGAACACACCAATATGGGTACAGGGGCAACCGCAGAATTAAAAACATGAAGAAGAACTGGAACCTCGTCACCCGTCGTGCGGAATGGCGTGGTATCCGGGAACGCTGCGTGCTAGGCGAAAGGTGATATTAACTGTATGAATGTGACACATGTGCATAGCGCTCTCCAAGGAAAGCCCATCTAGGAACGCTTCGGGGGGTATGGGAGGATCAAGTCGTGTTGCTGGAGTCGGAGAACCACTTCGCCATGACGAAAGGGTAGAAAGAAAGGGTATTGTGTCCAAGCCAGATATTCTCCTCCGGAAAAATTCGACGGAAATCCACGGCCTATTACCCATCTGGAAATAGACAATAGCTCGGGAGAAATGGATCAGAAATTTTGCGCAATGCCAGAATTGCCCTGTTGCGGCCAGACGCTAGGATTTTCGATCCTCGTGTTTCTCCGGGCCGACACATCTCTGATCACCGGTTGCTGCCCATTTCCTTCATTTCCCGCACCAGCCATTCCATGGTTATAGGCCACATCGTACGCATTCTGATTGTAGTATCCGTTGTCGTAGTACTGCTGCGAATCGACAGGGATCGGGGCGTCTCCCGACGATTGTTCGGAGCGTTGGCCAGCGCTGTAACTCGACGACGCGTTCGATGGCCCTCGCCGCATGTTGCCGGCATTCGCTGAAGCTGCGGGTCCAGCGCCCAGCGCGCCGATAGTTTCGCCGTCCATGGGGTGTGCTAGCGCGTCGTCTGGGTGTTCATCCATATTTCCTCCAAGAGGTGGAGAACCGGGTGACCGGTAACCGCCTGGTACGCTGCCATTGTCGGAAAGGCCGGTCGCGGCTGCGCCGCCGGAGACGGTGGTCGATGTCTTGCGATGGGAGGCAGTCCCTGCAGTGGTCGTGGTGTTTCCCCAACCGCGGTAGCCCGCTTGATTCTCGCCCATTTCGGACTCCGTGACGCCGCCAACGGCGGGGAGGGTCGGGTCGTTGTTCGGGTTGAAGCCGTATTCTTCAATTTCTTTCCGGCGCGCTTCTTCCGCATTCTTCCGCGCTTTACGTTTCCTCCACAGAAGAATACCGCCAACGACAAGAAGCGCCACAACTACCACGGGGACAACGACCGCAATGGCGGTTTTAGCACCCGCCGAGAGTCCGCTACGGGCAACTACATCACCATCTTTGCCGCCTGGAATGGCTGACGGTGCGGCATTGGATCTTGATGACGAGGGGCCGGTAGCGGTTTCGTCGGGAGTTGGATTGGGGTCAGGAGTACTGGTCAAGGTGACAACGACGGTGGACCCTGGGTCATCGCTGCTTGGCCCGATGATGGATGTGATAACTAACGTTGTTGGAGGGATCGATGTTGGCGCGGGTTCGGATGTAGGGGCGCTGGTCGGTGGTGATGTTGATGAGATGGGCGAGCTTGGGGGATCGGGGGAGAGGGTACTGGAGTCGTTAGGGGGTGGGATATCCGTGACTGAATCCATGGTTGGTTAGCGACAGCATTCGCGACCAAAAAAATCGGACAAAGGGTCTGTATGAAAGACCCTTTGATGCGAGAAGCAACGTACCAGTCGAATTCGAGGCCATTGCGCCTTAATAAAGCACGGGATCCGAACCTTCGGACCAGCGAAGAAGAATGAAGGGACGTGATGTGGACAAAGGGCGCTGGAATGTCGTGAGTCGCGTTGTCCCGAGGATGGAAAACGAAGCGAAAGGTCGCGGTGCGACGGGCTGGAATGGGATTCCTCGATTGTCGACGATGATGGGCGCGAATGAATGATGAAGGATGGAACTTGGATGCGGGGATGGAGTGGATGAGTTGCTGAGTGGTGAGTGGTGAGTGGTGAGTAGAGTAGTGAGTGGTGATTTGGCGGAGAATATGGGAGAGAGGGAAGAAGAAAGGGAGGTTACTGGGTGAATGCGTGAGAGCCAGAGAGGTAGCCAGAGAGCGGAGAGCGAAGGAACGAACAACGGTCGGACTACAAAGAGGCGAATGGATGAGCAGTACGTTATTATTGGACAGGGACGGGGTTTGACGATATTACTAAGGTCCAACAAATGAACCAGCCAACGCCAACACCACAAGTGACCACACTAATCCATAACCATCTCCTCTCGCTACCTTCGACAACAGAAGAGGGAATACGGAACACTGAATATTCGGAATATGCATTACCCATTCACCTACCTAGTTAGGCTACTCGGTTCTGACTAGCACTGCTAATACTGATGCATCATCATCATCCAGTTCCCTACGGACGCTGCCACGGTCTTGAATCTCCCTTTTACTAGAGAAGTACCAGGTATTCACCATGCCAGTTGCTGATTTACGTATGTATTCTCCTGCTACGTCGGTACTATAGCCTACACAGCACCTTTGAAGCAATCAATCTCATCCGCCTAGGCAATGTTCGTAGGAGTCCATTTGTTTCTCACACCGTAATATCCAAAAAAAGATCAGCACATTAACGAGGCTGCCCCGCAACACCCAAAGCCCAGATCTCATGACCAGCGGCATCCAATGCGACAGCCACCCGCACTGCCTCCCAATATGTAATCCCATGTGGACTGGCGATGGTCAGCTCCCGAAAAAAGATCCCCCCCCTCCAATGGCTTCCACCTCTTCGACGTTGCAGCCGCATCCCGTTTATCCGTCCATCCGCATATCCTCCATCCACACCTCCAACCATTCCGTGACGGGGCACCGAAATTGGCGAGGGGAGTTTTGTTGGCTCGCATGACGCGGGATCGATCTCAAATCGTGTCTCTGGTCAGCTGAACGCCTAACCTTGATCGCAACGCGGGATATGTAGCAACAGCATCTATGATCATGTTCTCTAAAGATTGGTAATCCGAGACGGCTCTACAGAGTGCAGACTTAGCGGAATCCATCGGATTGTTATCAAACTGTCAGCGACCGCATACGGCTTACAAGGATTTGCGTATATAACTCCGGGCCGTTTCGCGGATCAACAAGGTGTCAGCCGTCAAAGGTAACGAGCGACAACCGTGGTTCCTCAAATATCGTCCTAGGCCGACTCCATGTTGCCGGTGTACTCCGATCATCCTTGGTTGCAACTCCAAGCGTCTATCACGGTATACAGCGCACTCGGGTTGCCTGTGTTATTAAGCGCTTGAAGTTGGAGCTGATTTTATGTTATGACTACCGCCATGTTTGTGAGCCGGCAGGTGAATACAGATTATAGACCACGATACCAGCTAATAACCTCCTCGACCGTTCTGCTTCGGTATGAGGGTCCATGGAATTATGTGGAGTACACGACCTCCTGAATTCATCCTGATATTCAGCCCTACGGGTCAATCACTGGCAGGGTCCTGTTCCCAACGAGTAGTCAACATATGGGATCAGCTGAAAGCAATGAATCCAAACTCGGACGACATTCCGTGAGTAAAAGGTAACCGGAGACCGCTCGACCCTGGCAGCAATTCATGATTGAATCACCATCGCAAGCTACAATTCACTTGCACATATCAGAAGAGATGGGGAAAAGACCGTTATTTCAATCTATCGACGATGCCATATATCTCAGCTCGACTTCGATTTCCACAGGCGAGGGTCGACGGGGAACGGCTAGAAGTTGCACGAAGCAAAGCTCCTACGTCCTAGTCCTCACCTATGTGTCGTCGTCGGACCGCTATATTGACGATGCGTCATGTAAGCATGGACAAAGAAGCCTTGCTTTCCAAATTCCCTTGTGTAAAATATCCCAACCATACGCCCTTTCCGTCAAAGTAATATTTTTCTAGAATGGTCATAATTCGTTGCACTCAATCATCCGCCTTTGCGACAGATTCGAACGGACTCCAGCAACGCAATTCTTCAGGAAGACTGAATAGAGAGGCGCGGGATCACAATGCGATTGGTCATCGCCTAGTCGAACCACCACTCGACGCCAGCGACCCTTCCATCGCCACTCGGGGCAACGGCCTTGAACAGGCTCGGGCTCAGATCTAAATCGGCGCCCGTGCAGCCGGGGCAGGTATCCACGACCTTGGCCTTGGTCTGTTTTCCCTTGTAGCTGATGGTGATGGTCTTCCCGCACAACGGGTTCGCGTTGGGGTTCGCACCGTTCTTCATCACGCCGAACGCCACCGCGGCGATCATCTCGTCACTCGAGTGCGATTCCCCGCACGAGCCCATGCCGGGGTCGTAGTAGGTGATTTCGCCAGTGTAAGTTTGGCCGCTCGGAGAGGATTGAGGGTCGGACGCCCCGGAAGACGATGACGACGCCGGCGCTGGGTTCTCCAGTTCGGGGGCGACCGGAGAAGGAGCGGGCGGTGCCTCTGTGGTTGTCGGCTTTGGAGGCGCGGGAACGAATTCGGGGGTCGGCACTGGGGCAGGCTTGGTCACCGCGGCCAGCTCGTAGAACTCGCCTCCAGGGTTAGAGGCAGCGTCAACAGATGAGGATGAAGAGGAAGACGAAGACGGAGCGCTCGGCGGCGGGGTGGCCACATCGGGTGCTTGAATGTCGGCGGTGGGTTGCACCCAGATGGTCTTGGTCGAGTACACCGTCTCGATGACCTCGGAGGTCGAAGTCACCACGACCACTTCGCGCTTGTGCTGCTTATGGTTGTGCCTGTGGTGGTGGTGCGAGGGCGCGGCGAGAGCGAGGGCGCTGAGCGCAAGGAGGGAGAGTGTCGCCTTCATCTTGAATTGAAGGGATCCAATACGTAAGATGCGTGTGCTGTGATGGACCGTGGTCAAATGTGGAGTGGGCTGGACGGGTCGAACGTTTGCGCGCGAGTTGTAGCGACTGTCGGTAGGTGATTCGCTTCGTCGGACGGGTACAGGCGGCTAATTGACCTGCAGTTCGAGCGAGGACAGTGATATCGATAAAACGATATGGATGGCAGATTTCACGAGGAAAAGGAGTTCACGACTTGAGAGCAGACCTGTGCTCCGATATCAAGGTAGAGAGTGTGTAGAGATGCTAAATCTCAGGATGATTCTGTCTGAAAAGATTGACAATGCGCTGCCACAAGAAAGGAGTCTGTGGACGAGCGAGATATATGAAGGAAGTGAATGCAAATAAGCGAGAGAGACGTCTAGCCTGTCAGTTAAGGAGAGTAAGGAGTCAACAAAAACGAAGAGCAGCACAGGGAAGATTTAAACAACCAAGGGAGAGTGGACTGGATTGGAGCGAAGGTGAGGTTGAGAACAGGAGAGTGGAAACGAATGTCAATCAATACGGGGCATGCTAGGGGAGCCGGGGGAGTGGAGGGCCGGAGTCGTCAGCGTGGCAGACGGACAGCTCTCACAGCCGTCACAGCAGTGCTGCTGTGGCGCGTGCTCCGACTGAGGTGCTGTGCGCCTGTGCGCCTGTGGGCGGTGGCCCTGTGTGAATTTCATCTTGTTAGTTACTGGCCTAATGCTGGGTAAGGCCGGCTGCTGTGGTGGTCGTGGACTGCGGGCCTGCGAGTCGAGATTAGATTGTGTTTCCTGTCAGCCTGTCTCCAGTCCCCTTCGGTCATCCGGATACCTCCACTGTCATTCCGTCAGGTAACTTAGCCAACGACAATATAAATCCGTTGTGTGTTGTCGGCTTGTCGCCCTGCTGTGTTGGGCCCTCGGTTTCTGCACCAATTCATGTTTCGGGAGGCTTTTCATTCTTTTGGCGTTTGTTGGGCTGGAGAGGGGATTAGTGGAGGCAGTGCGAGGTGCAAGCCAATGGGAGCCAATGGGAGCAATCGACGGACATCCCTGATTTTCTTCTGGGACTGGGCGAACCCGGCGATCAAATTGAATGTCCATGTGGAGTCGAGGATCCGGAGAGGTGCCCAATTTCCCAACAGGAAGTGAAAACGAAAATGCTGAAGCGGCCTGTTGTGATTGTTGTATTTTCCGCTTCCAACCTTGCGCCTCATGAAACAACACACTTGCAAGCGCTGTGCGGATGTCATTTGTTCTTTGCAATTACAGGTCATTCGCGGTAAAGCAACTGGTGATTGTGGTGTCATTTGGGGGTGACACCGATTTGATGTGTTGTGTGTTTTCGAGGCTGCAGGGGCGTGGAGGTTGTTGGGTGAGCGGGTTTCATCGAGGGCAATGATTGGCCAACGGTTTTTCGGCTTTCCAGGCACTCCCGCTGCGACGCCAGGCACCACCCAGCCACCAGGCAGGAAACCGTCTCCCCGGGCGGCGGGCGCCCTCCTCTCTTCTTGGGCGGCTTCATTTCCTTCCATTGTTTCTGTTTCGTGGTTTTGTTCTTCAGCAGGGCATTTAATTACCGTATTAGTTCCTTGCTCCATGTCCGATGCTAGAACGTGACCTTCTCCCACGCCAGATGAGCCATGACGATTGACGAACATGACGGCATTTCCTGACCTCTCTTCACTCGCCAGTCGGCCAACATAGCTATTCAATCGACTTAACCAATGACCAGTCAGCCTGTGTAGAATAATCCTACGGGATAATCGAATCCGTCCATAGCAAGCTGAGCATGGCCCGCCCATCTCCGGCTGCCGTGCCTCTCCACTTAAGGTGTATAATTTTTTCGGTTTTCTAGCTGCAGCACACCAACCAGACGACCGCAACAGGAAATCCTCAACGATGAAAGGATGCGACGCTGGATGGATGTTCGAGACCCGGCTCAGGTGCCATAGTTTCTCGCCGCACTTCGGATATCGTGGTCCTTGGCTGGTGGAAGACTCTGGGCACGGGCTACGTGGCTGGATGCGTGAGAACAAAGGTCGTCTCTGGAGACTGGATGTCGTTGTGGAGCACCGCACGCGGAGTTAACAGAATAACAGTAGAGCGGACATGAAGGATGCAGGTGTTTGATCTCCTGTGCAGGTTTCCTGATCCATTCCCGGATCGCGACGAGCCTTGTTGGATCGTAAGCTAAACGTACATCATGACATGCCGAACAGCCTTCAAGCCCGGAAATCGAATTGTGAGACAGTGGGAGACGTCATTTCCGGCGATGCGGATTGGTTTCTCTCGATTACATGTTACACCACAGATCTGCCTTTCGCATCGACTCATGACTGTTGGGGCTTGACTGTCGACTATTGAGGGACCGGACCGACAGTCCGACAGGTATTGGATTTCTACTCCTTGCACGACACATTCAGTTGCAACAAAACGGCCAGTCCAATCCATAATTAGGAAAAACCGAACCCTTTGTTCGAGCGCATGTAAGATCACGGTTTCGGAGCTTTCCTTGGCTAGACAGCATGGTTAGACAGCATGGTTAGACAGCATGGTTTGAATCACAGCCAGGGAGACTTGGAAGGGGAAATGATGGCATACTTCAGTTGTGCAACCATCATCAGGTGGACAATTTCGCGGCAATCTTCCACCAGAGAAGCGTAGAGTAGGTATGTACGTATGCTTATCATGCAAGAGTCCTTCAATCCTCGTGCTGCGAGAGTTGCTCAAGGTAGGCATGCGTTCTGCCCTACTAGTGGTCCAACCATGCATGACATACGCAATCGTTTCAGATGCAGGTGTCGATCAAATTGTTGATTCGACTGTGAGGCATATCCTTCAATTGCACGCGCATATCAGGATGGCACTCCACAGCCTGCACCTCGAAAACTCCCCACCCGACTCGCATCATGAGGTGATTAGATACACGCATCTTCGCAGGCAGAAAGGGGTCCATTTTTCCAAGCTCTTCCGTGTCACACCTGTCAAATCGTCCCGCTCGACACCTCGACTGATCTCCCCGCATCATACAGTGGGACACCAACACAGCAAGTCACAGCATCCAATAGCGGGGAGATGACTTGCGCATGTCTTATATTCTCGACGAACACTACGTCAATTAGATCTCGACGTCGTGATTCCAGTCCAAATCATAGGTCCTCAAGCGTCACCAGTTCTGGTGATACTAGGAGACGAGCCCTTCGTGATCCCAATAAATGGTGAGCACGAGGCAGCACCTTTGCAGTGGTCCAGGAACATGTTCAAGTGGCTAGCTGACTTGTCGAGACAGACACCGAGTACGGGGCATTCAGATGGTGATATCCTCCTTTCGATAGTGATCCTGTACTATCCGGTAAAGGTATGACGGGGCGTGAGGTCCTCTGTTCATCGTTAGTGTCATTCTCGCGCTAATCATTCCGACGTCGTCCTTACAGGTTGGTGATGTATATGTCCACCAGGTCCGGTGGAACATGATCATACAACGGATTGACCACGTCTACGTTCTCCACAAACTCCCCGTCATCGTAGTTCACGACCTTGCCAGGATCACCGTATTCGATCAGTTCGTCCAAGTCCAATGCATAGACGGGACTAAGCTTGTAGACCCCGCTCAAAACGACGACGGGCGTCTGGTGCATCTTTGCAGCCTTGGTAATGGCGTGAGCCCCCGCAGCTGCGAGGAGTCCACCGTTCGCCAGGACCGAATGTGTCGCCAAAATGACCTTGTTGACCCGGGACATGATGGCGAAAACCGCGGAGTCGGGAATCAGCACGACGGTGATCCCCGCTGCCGTCAATGGGCTGAATCGATCATCAACATCCTCTTCTTCCTCGGCCTGTCCCTGATTCTTCCGACCCGTGACCATCGTCGCTCTCGTGTTCTTGTGGTCATTGGGGAATGACTCGACGTGGAGAACGGTGAACTTCCGCTTCTTCGCCGCCGTCAGCAGAAACTTTTGCACCGTCGTCGACGAGCTATGCGTCAGTATGATTTCGTTCGAGTGGATGTGGTCCAGGGCATAGCTCGCAATCTGGTCGTCGACCTGATCCAGTTCGTCGAGTATCTCGCGAATTCCGTCCAGAACGTCGGCCTTGAAATCATCGGGCACCGGCTTGGGCAAGTCGGTGATCGTCAGGCCTTTCAATTGGTGGATGGGCACGGGCGGATTGTCTCCATGTCGAGGTGACTGGAAACCCCGGGGTGTAGACGCCGGAGAGGGAGTCTCTGGGCGCGAGAAGAGGCCGAAGAGGGAGGTCGCTAGGGGAGCGGCGGTAGAGTACGATGTGTGGGAGGCAGTGAGAACGGGTCGATGGACGGAACTAATCGCTTCGGAGCTGCTCTCGGAGGGATGAGGCGAGGAATCGATCGGATGGCCAGCTCCTGAATGATCGAGTGGACTGGATGTGGAGATGCTCGAAGGCAGACCGGGATGGTGAGAAGGCTCACGAGGCGTTGACAACGGTTGTATGCTCGAGGGAGACTCGCTGATTGGCGACCCTTCCGTGACTTCGTCGCCCTCGATGACTTCCCGGATCAAGGCCAGCACCCGACGCACGATATTGCCCACCGCCATTTCCCGCGGCTGCGCAGTGATGAGTTTCTGCCCGACATGTCGAACGCGGGAGATGAGTATGTCGCTGTCTTTTCCCTTGAATTCGGCGACCACCTGGAGAAGCAATTGGGTGGTTGCGATGGCGCAAGGGCGGGAATTGTGGATTTGACGTCGCTTGAGGAGTCTGGTGACAAAGTCAGTATGGGCCGCTATGAGATTGCGAGGCGTGTGTCCTACGAAATGAGGTGCTCTATTGATGCTTCTACCGGGTCGTTTTTGAGCGACCTAAGGAAGCTGGCCAGGCCCGGAGTCATAGAAACTGTACGGGCTGGCATTTTGGTAGAGATAAGGTATATATCGTGTGGTATCTTGAAGGCGAAAGAGAACCTTTGGGGAGAAAATGTGACAGTGAGTCACTAGTAATAATGGCTCTCCGCGAGCGACTAGGAGGGGTATGCAACAGCTATTGATGTCTGATGATATCAAACTTCATAGCGAGAATCTAGCCTGAAATCTGAAAGCCACTAATTACCTGTACTAACTAGGCATAGAACGGAGTATGAAGTATGAAATTCGACCTTGAAGCGTGGGAACGGGATCGGCATTAAGGATGATTCCGATGGGCGAGGGGAGGGAGTTTGGACTTTTTAGCCGTTGGGGGTTTGGCTTGTGCAGGAATTCCATTGCACGTCATGCGCTGCTCTCTCTTCATCAACCTTACCACTTTACCACTGACCACTTCCTAGTCCTGTAGCCAGCAGTGTGATATCAACCTCCACCTCATCACCCATCTCTCCGCCCTCAAGAATTCCCATCCACGGAGGTGCCCCTTTGCGTCCCGCGCTTTCATCCGTTGCGCATTTGGAAATCCGACCGCGCTTCTGCATCGACTTAATTGAGGGCCTCCCATGTGAATCTCCAGTGTCGCAAGTTGCATCTCGTCTCTGTTCGCTACTACAAGTATGGATCCATCAAGTCCATACTGATTCGCATCGAGTATCCCCTCTACCCACAATCTGGATGCGACTATCCTCGCTCTCTCTTTCTTTCTGCTACCTCTGGTCTTTCGATTGTATATCCCAGCTATATCCGTATCACGCTTACTTTCCCTCATGAGTGGTTGTCGGCATGACCTTTCTGAACCTCCTGTCTGGACTCGATATCTCACCAACCGCACCATTTACCTCGTCACATTCTGCGTCCCAATTCCTGGACACTAGCGCCGGTTCCACCACCGACACCATTATACCCACAGTCTATGAGAAAGAGGAGGATTCACGTACATTGGTCGACGAGAAACCCCGGTCGAGGATGAGCTCCGAGACCGCCGCGTCCGACCGTGGGTCGAGTAAGAGGAGTATCGATGCCGATGAAAAATCCCCACTCCTTGGCGACGGTCCTCCCGATCACATTGAAGGTGTCAATATGGGCAGATCCTGGCACTTTATCCCGAAAACCCTTGCTGCCGCTTTTGTTGGCGCAATCCGGGCAATCCTCTCCGCTGTCATGAGCCCTCTTCGTTACATCGCGGCTTGGTTCTATAACGACCAAGAACGTTTCTCCATTTACTACCCCGCGGTCCAGATATCTCGCCTCCTCTGGCCCAGGCAAAGGAGGCGGAAAACAAGTCCGCAAACGACACGGACGGGCAGTGGGAATACGGATTCCGCAGACGGCGAAAAATCGACATCTACCCGCCAGAAGAAGAGCAGGCGAACGCCTTCCGTAGCATCCAGTTCGACCGCAGTCGCGTCCGACTCGGAGGCGGATTCCGGAACCTCGCGGCAAAAGCCGAGGAAAGAAGAGATCCCATCCAAATCCGTGCGAGCAAAGGGCCCGATCCGAGCGAGCGATGACATAACTCCGTCCCGGCGCTCGATACGGATAAAGCTATACAACGAAGACGTCGAGAAGCAACGAAAAGAGCGACGAACGGGCTCCTCCGGTGCCCAATCCAAGGACTCCTCGGACCCGGTCGCCGCCGCCGCCGCGTCATTAAAATCTCCGACGAGCCCTCCCTCGGCCACGTCGTCGAAAATCACCCGATATCCACGCGCTCCCGTTCCGCCTCGACCCCTCATCCCTAAGCGGCAGCCGTCCTATTCCATCGAAAATAAAGTAGAGTTCGGCAAACATCAGAAAACGTTGATCATTGACTTAGACGAAACTCTAATACATAGCGTGGCCAAAGGGGGACGGTATACCACGGGGCATATGGTGGAGGTTAAGATTTCCCAGTCTATTGGCGCGAATGGAGTGACCATCGGGCCCCAAGTGCCTATTCTGTATTATGTTCACAAGCGACCATATTGCGACGAGTTTCTGAGAAAGGTATGTGTGGCTAAAGTCCAGCCTCGTGGGTTTATTACAATTGCTGACCGCTGTTGGACTTCCAGGTCTGCAAGTGGTACAACCTGATCGTGTTCACCGCGTCCGTCCAGGAGTATGCGGATCCCGTGATCGATTGGCTGGAGTTGGAGCGGAAGTACTTCATCCGACGGCTCTATCGACAGCATTGTACGTTCAGAAACGGCGCCTACATTAAGGACCTCAGCCATGTTGAGCCCGACCTGAGCAAAGCAATGATCATCGATAACAGTCCGATCAGCTACGTGTTCCATGAAGGTATGATTTGCAATGCAGCTCAGGTGACATAGTTCAGCGCTAAGAACATTACATAGACAACGCAATACCGATTGAAGGTTGGATCAACGACCCCACTGACAATGACCTGCTGCACTTAATCCCACTGTTGGAAGGATTGCAGTACGCAACGGATGTGAGAGCACTACTATCGTTACGTATGGGACAGCCGCAAATGGCATGACGATTGCATATACTTTGCAGTGGAAATGACGGTCAATCATCGGCCTATCCATATGGCTACATTCACTTACACGCACGCAAATGAAGATACCCAATTCGATTCGGAAACGCTCGGTCATTTGATGTAGGATAAGATGTGCTTGTTTTAGGGTTTCTATCTAAAGGATCTGCTAGTGTCTCGTAAGAAGGGTCAGTATCAACCACCCTCGCGCAAGGCCTCTGTACATGGATATCTCGGATTTCACAGCACACGGCTCCGGAGGTCTCATTGCAGCCTCTCCTTTGCCGGCACCGTGTCCGTCAATGCCTGTGCAGTAGCCGCTCGTTCCTCATAAAGCCGTCGTAAGTCATCAACAGATTGTTTCCGCAAATCCAATCTCCCGACCGCCTGTCGCCGTTGTTCCTTTGCTGAACTGTCTGGTTCCTGAGGCGCGGAATGTATGCGTTTTAAGAGACCCGCCGAGGGACTCTTCACTCGTCGGATTCCCTGGACGGGTGGACCCGGGTTCTGGGGGGGTTGGAGAGAGGGCCGACCGTATTTAAGGCCTTGGAGGACGGGTCCTGGGATGATTGGCCGAGCCAACGAATTGATAGATGGAGACCGTGGTTTTCCCGGTGGCTGAGTGGCCGACTCCTTCGCCCGTGCAGGGGCGCTTTCTATACTTTGTGATACTTTCCCGGCCCTCGCAGGCCACAGAGGCTTTGCGAAAGTGGGAGCAGAGGTTTGGAATTGGCCCGCACCCACGGCCGATCCACCGGATTCACTGCTGAACGGATACGCGGACTCATCGCCAACTCTCGTCGCTGATTGTCGTCGCGCACTGTCCGTGGCGATCACCTCTCGAGCCAGACGGGCCGCATCAGACGCACTCGGTCCCGATTCGCGATTGCGATTATCGCTTTCCAAGTTCTGGACCTGCTCAACGGTCAGGGCGTTTCGCTTGGGAAGCGATATGACAGGAAGGGGCACGGAGACTTCTTTACCTCCGAATTGCGGCTCTTTGCTGTCCGATTGCGCGACATCCGATGGTCGCGGCGGACCAAATCCATCCGCCACCCTCCCAGTGTAAGTCGGTGACTGGGCCACCGCAACGTTATCGTTATCGACAGGGAATATGGTTGAGTATGTTGGAGGTGCTGCGAGATTCGGTGTGGGTTTGCGCTGCAATACATTGGCAGATGTCGATCTGCTGCCCAGCTGTGGAGACGGCCGAGGAGGCAGCGGAGGTGGCGGAGCGAATTGCTCTTCGGCACCATCATTCTCTCGGAGGGCAATGCCTGTCATTTGCTTTACATAGTCTTGTGGTGTCTCATCCCCTGCTCGCGGTCTTTCCAGTGGATCATCGTAGTCGTCAACATCCGGCGGAGTTTCCAGATCTGATTCGAATTGGCCGGAGCTGATGTCGCACGCCTCTCTAAGGCCTTGAGACCAGAATTGAATAGCGGAAGCTAGGATCCGGCGAATGACGGATGAGATCTTGGCGTCCTCAATCTGGTCTGGGCCGCACAGCATCGAGGGCGCAAAACACACCGACAGATTCTCCGCATTCATTTTGTTGGACGGCTCGTATTCCGTGATGGCCGCCAACATCGGGAGCAGGTGTCGAATCAAAATCTGTCGTGACAGATCCGGTAGAGGCGACCATTCAGATGCTGGCGATATTAGCTCTTCCATATCCTCCAACAAGAAATCGGGCTTCTGGCTGTATCGCTGTCGGAGGGCGCCGTAGGAGCCATGGGGAACGATTGGCTGGCGGAGTTCCGAATACCAATTCTTGATCAGCCCCGCGGCTAAATGGACACCGTAGCACTGGGAAGGATGGAGTTCTGAGATGACCGACTCCGCATCGACAGCGTTCGGATAATTCGGTACCGGATAGGTTACCCCATTCTCGCTCCAGATGATAAATTTCTGGCCTCGATCGTACGCTTCTCGGATGATCTCCTTGACTTTGGAGTAGGGTGCGACCCTGAAAATGCCCTCAGTCTTGGGATTGTCGCCCATGAAAATGAAAGACGTTGTTTCACGCAGCACCCTTGGAAATCTTGCGTTGCCTTTTCGTGATTTCGGCAGAGGATTCCTAGCGCCAAATGCTCGTTTCCCACTACTATATGGGGCATATATGTCAGGAGACAGTCTCCTATCGTGTAGATAGGCTGATGTCGGGATCAACAAATTCTCGATAGGGATTGACAGCGCAAGCTGTGTGAGAGAAGACACTGCACAATACGTCAGCACAGTCAGGGGGGGGTGTCAGTGCTAGTCAGGAAATCCGGCACTTGAGTATTTGGAGTTGAAAACAGTGGGAGAATGGACTAAGCCAGGATTTGGAGGGGGTCAGTGGCCCCGAACACCATCCTGCTGTCGGTTGAAATTCCATGACAATGTAGGTTCCGATTTTGGGTAGCTTCTGACTCAGGGATCTCGAATGTATAAGGCAAAAGAAATGAAGATGATATGTAAAACTTGACTGTGCAAGACACAGTATCAACCAACTCACCGTGATATATCTTCCGTCGAAATTTAGGACTAACGATAGTAGAGAACATCTCTACCAGGATCCGGACCCAACTACGTTCGTGCACGATGTAGAGTCTCTGCAGCCGTTTCCGCATGATGCGCGAAAGAACATAATATGCTTGAATGAACCAACCCCAGCCCGGGCGATGTGGCTTTGGAATAGACGTGTTGGTTTCAACACCTCCACCAGCGAAGAAAATGACCTCATATCCCGAGCCCTGGAGCAACTCATCCTCCCCTGGGAGTCGGTCTAGTACATATGGAAGCAGATCATTGTAGTCGACCTCGTGAGAATCGGGAAATGCCGCGGAATTGAGAATGAAGATGGGCAGCCCTGTCTGGGAGGGAATAGGAGAGCGGTATAAGATGGTGCTTGCTACTTCCGCCAGCTCAGATGAGAACTCGGCTTCGGAGGGTTTCGGAGGAATTGCACTTAAGTTTGAATCGCGATTGCGATGAACCAGTGGATTCTTCATCCCGATAATGCTGGACGGGCTTGTTAAAATGCATCAATAACCATATACACAGCTCATCATCCGAGGTGTCAACAGAACCGATATGAGGGACTCCGGGACTGTCCAAGAGGGGTATGGTATTCCAATAGTCCAAAAGGATAGTGTTAACAATGTGTATAATAGTAGAAGGTGAGTCGAACGATGGTAATGCTCAACGCATGAGCCGAGTATTCATACGGAATACTTACAGGTCAAACAAATGATGAATGTGTGAAGCGATTCATAGTTGCACTGCAAGGATTATGTGGCAGCACATCACCGTCTGGCGTCTGTGCACCTCATCAACATCACAGGACACAGGACACAGATTCACAGGCTCACAGCAGCAAGGAAAATAAGAATGCAACCGCCGAATCCGCAATCTGACACGTTAATCGCGAAGTACTCGACCTCCAAATACTCTATCCCAACCCTGTGGGCCGTGACAAAGCACGGATCTATGTTAACATCATAGTATTTCTGCACAATGATATCTTGGGGAACGTACGTCAAGTCCTTGCGGAATCCGGGTCAACAGTGCCGTCTTGCTAACATGCGTATTAAAGTGTCCAGACTCTCCTCATCACCCTGGGGCCATTACTCCTTCCCAAACTCATAGCCTTTGTTCAATCGATACGATCGGCGTCAAAACTACCAAATAATGTCATCCAACGCTGCCCTCCAAGGGTTGCTTATACCCTGAACCTGCTGCTCATGAGCGCAGTCGTCGCCCTCCTCTTCACCCTGCCAGCCCTGAGCCCCGAGAACATTTTCAAGGCAACTGGTTCCCGACTAAGAACTCCGACGGATGAGTTGTTCAACCGCCTCAAGGCATTGCACCCACTCACGCCTACCGACGAGGCACTGAAGCGGAAGTTCGTTTCGCTCGAATCGCGCCTTTTGTACTTTCAATACGGACCTGATGTGCTGGCTTCGTGTCAATTTTGCACGTCCGATGACCTGAACAGCTACTATTATTATGCAATCCCTTCGGTCCTTTTCATCCATCTAGCACATATCGCTGTGCTTGGGGTTGTCACCTCATCGCTCCTCTCCGGAAGATATGGAGCACGGTGGAGGACTCACGCAACAATTACTGGGGCGTCATTGGCTGCAATAGAACTGTGGGTGCTGTCAATATACCCCCTAACCCAAAACACCAAGGCGACGAAGCTGTCCGAGATCAATCACTTCTACTGGCGCATGAGGCTCGTTCGAGGGATAGCGTTCGCTCTCGCGGATAGCCTCCTTGGACTGGCCATCTGGCTATGCGCAACCAATCGCTGGCTAGTGACGCCGCCAACAGTGTCAGAACGACTAGATGCAAGCACCCGTGCTATGGAGATCATCAGTACGAAACTGGTTGCTCTTGGGGCGATGCGTAACGCCATCTTTCGGAATGGCCCGCTGCGTGAGCGGACAGAGCACTACTGGCGCGAAGAATCGGACGTGATGCATGAGGTCCTCGAAGACCGAGACGTCTTGGATGGGACGAAAAATGCCCTCACAAGGATGGATTTGGATAAGATCACGACTGCTGCGGATCAGTGGTCCGGGGACATCATGATCAAGCTACAGGCTAGCGAAGAACCAACAAATACAGAATAGAAATCTACGCCTCGATCTCATATTTGCTGAAGAGCTATCGGATGTTTTCAAGACGGTGCAAGAAGGAACATATCCCTCATCATTCATTTCCAATTCGTCCTTTCATTCCCACAAATGCGCCATATACCCCCAGATACATAGGACAGAGGGTTCTTAGCTTTGCTCTTCCACCACGATACCCCATTCATGGTGTTCTTTTCCATACATAATATCTGAAAGCCAAGTCTTGATCTGCTTGGTGTACGGGCCTGCTTCGCCTGCGGTCATCGGCACACGTATGTCCGTCCCCCGGAAATGAATTTCCTGAACAGGTGAGATGAAGAAGGCGGTACCAGCCGCGAACGCTTCAAGCAGCCTCCCGTCTCCGGCGGCTTGCACAATTTCGTCCATCTGGATATTCCGTTCCACGATATCCAGTCCTTGAACATTCTCGGTGGACTCGCTCAACCTTTCCCTGACCAATTGCAGAACCGATCGGCGAGTGACTCCGTCTAGGATGATTTTGCGATCCAATGGCGCAGTCACCAGTTCTGTGGCTCCAGATCGAGTTCTCCAAACCACGAAGAAGTTCGACGCACCGGCTTCCGTGACTTCGCAGTTGTCGCCGAACAGCCACAGAATCTGGTTATATCCCGCCTTGCGAGCCTCTCCTTGCGCAACAAGCGAGGGACCGTAGTTCGCTCCGACTTTCGCATGTCCGAATCCACCGGGCCAGGCGCGAATCGTATCGTCTCCGCTTGCAAGAAGTTTCATACCCTGAGGGCTTCCGTCGGCGCCGATAGTCGGGGCATCGAGTCGAGGAAAGCACGTTAATATAACGTATAAAAGAGCTTCGTTCGGCCTCTGCACTCCGAGTGCTGGATCTGAAGCGATCATCGTCGGTCTGAGATAGAGGAACGACCCCGGTTCGTCTTTCGGTAACCACTTCGGTCCGTCCGTCGCACATAGTTTCATGATGAGCTTCAACAACTCGGTCGGAGCAAATGCAGGCAGGGCAATCCGCGTTGCTGAATTCAGCATTCGTGCTGCGTTCAGATTCGCTCGGAACAGCCGCAGCTTCCCGTCATATCCGCGATAAAGCTTCAACCCTTCAAAGCATTCGGTGGCGTAGTGGAGGCAAGAAGCGGTCGGCATCAGGCTCAACGGACCATATGGTTGGAGAGCGGGAGCATGCCATCCTTCTTTCACCGTCCATTTGGCCGTGATCATATGGTCCGTACATATGTTTTGAGCGGCAATTTCCGGACTTCCAGGAACGGGTACGGGTCGAGGCGATGCGGTGTATGTTGATGTTATTCGCGAGGCATCTAACTCGGCAAGCTGAACGCCAGACACGCCATTGGCGCCATTGGTCAAGGAATGTGCGGTCTTCGATAATGCGCTGGAGACTCCAGCCGATGTGAGTTGGGAGGTCGTATCGATGGCGGCGGGAGGCATTTTTTGGGATGGGCGGACGGGATCGAGCTGAAGGGAAGGCGATCGGTCAGAAGGATGAATGACAATGAAATATAATCAAGGTTAAGAGTCAGCTATATATCAATTGCTTTGGAAACTGGTGACTGGGTCTCGGATTCTAACACGGATGCAATTTCTGTGAGGAGAGTCGGAGTTGCACAGTCATAACTCATATATGCACGTATGTCACGGACTTGATATTGGTAATGACTCCGAAATCGCGAATTCTTTGTTGGACCCTCTCTTCGCCCCTCCAACCCTCGCCGGTTTCGGTTTTGCATGGAAGAATCTTTATGTTCGGATCTAGGGCGGAAGGGACCCAGTCTCCCAAAGTCCCATGGGAATATGATGTTGCTCTGGCTGAATCGGAAGCCTCCAAAGTGCCTGCGTGTCTATGGTACGCGATTTGCGATGTTGCCAACACGACGCAACCCGACAATTGCCGTTTCTAACCTTCCTCATTTCGATATCGGTTCTCCGAAACTCCAGGGGAGGGCTTGAGCCGTTGATAGACATGAAGTGCTTGAACAGCATGCATAATTAAAAGAAGGATTGGAATATTGATTGGTTCAATTGTTGACAAAACCGCGGCTGACATCCGATCCGTGGTTGCATCCATGGATGGTTGCGGCACCGCATTAATAATACCTAGCTGGCTGTTAAGGTTGCCTCCTCCGCTACCGCTAATGACTCTCAATTCGGCCAATTAAACAAGACTTTCGGACATCAAGCGTGAATTCATCATCCTGGTGGGAGTGAAAGCTGGAGGTCGGGTGGTTGAATTTCAGTAATTTATATATTTTTCTTCGGATGACTGATAGAATTTAAATTATGCACATAAATCGCTTCTTTCCGAAATTTACGCTAACTTAGTTCTGTATAGGTTTGGTTAGATTAAGTATTGATGCCTTGCGGCCTTAGGCACCAAATCTGAACTACGTGAAGCTCCTCAAAATCTCACCATCTTAACTCTATCTCCGCCTCCTAATTAGTAAATGAAAACTTGGCATGAAATATTGCCAGACCTCCGGAAATATTTCATGAAAATTACAGGCACAATAGATTTCATTGAAATCTTTCACCCACCCTAGCTGGAGGATGTTAGGTACTCATGGACAATCCTCTTTCTTCATAGCGGAGGTGAGATGTATCAGCCTGTTATCAACATAGATACCGAATTCTGAGGACTGCATTAATAGCTCCTGGCTTTATACTGTAGTAACATTGCAGTTAATTCAAGTTAATTCAAGTTTCGGCTGCAAAATTCAATCAAACTGTGGATGATTTATGAAGTTTGTCAGCCCAGCCGGACAACGAACTTAGTCAGAGTTGACTTTATTGCGCCACTTTTCAGTCCCCATATGGCGCAGTCCAGATGTGGCGCAATTTGCCGGTCACAGCCACAGCCCTGGACACAGTGGAGGTCTGGCCTATCAATCACGATTTCAATCTCAGTTCGATGTTTGCGTTTCAGATTATGGCACATGGGAACATCAGAAGTTGACACCACCGGACAAACTTAGAGACCTGATCGACTGAAAGTGTGCAATCCAGCCTCATACATCCACTTCTTAGATGCACTGAAGAAAGAGGCAGACTGAATTTGAGACTACCATCCATTCAACTCCCCGCCGACCTCAGCAACCCACAATCCGAAGTCTACCTGGAATATCTAGCCATTGTACCGGCCTATACCTACTTATTCGCCGCCAGGATGGATATTCGAATCCTTAGGCCGTCTGATATCCCCCACGTTCAACAGGCCAATCTTACAAATCTCCCCGAGAACTACTTTTGCAAATACTACCTCTACCACGCGCTCTCATGGCCACAATTGTCATATGTCGCTGTGGATGTAAGTGTACAACCCTAATCAGACGGTCCAACCTGGATAGATATGACACAGTGCAACTCACTCTACTCTCAGGTCTCCAGACCCCAGAAGTCGCCATATGACCCTCCAAAAATCGTTGGGTATGTGCTAGCGAAGATGGAGGAAGAGCCCACCGATGGTGTGCAACATGGCCACATCACCAGCCTGAGCGTGATGCGGACTCATCGGAGATTGGGATTGGCAGAAAAAATGATGAGACAGAGCCGTAAGTCCTTGGAATTTTCGCACCTGGATGCACAGTTATCCCTCCACCCTGCGATTCATGGTTCAGACCCTTTATGTGCACATCACAATATAACTGTTTCTTATTGGGTACTTCGTTCTGACTATGAAATACAACCATGTAACTGGGTTAGCGAATGTTGATCTAACTTGGAGTAGAACGGGCCATGGCAGAGACATACGACGCTCAATATGTGTCCCTACACGTACGTGTCTCAAACGCCGCTGCGCTGGGTCTGTATCGAGACACACTGGGTTTCAACGTCGAAAAAATCGAAGCCAAGTACTACGCAGATGGCGAGGATGCGTACAGCATGCGCATGGATCTGAACAACCTGCGGAGACCTGTATTGGACGACTCAGCCTCCGAGGGAGAGGCAGAGGACGAGGGTGGGCCAGTCGGTAGTGCGGGAAAGAAAGGCGACGGACCCGCAGCTGGCAAGGATAAGTTGAGGAAGGTCAAGGTGGGCAGAGCATTGGGTGTGGGAAATTTGGTTGAACGGGTCGAGGGCTCGAAGGCCGCTTGAAAATGGTGTAGTTAGTCAAGAACCGCTGACTGTCCGATTGAGGTCATGAGGACAAAGCACTCTAAGCATTTAGATCATTAGATTGGCCTAGCGAACGCCCCGAATCAACATGATACTTCCATCCACTAGTATGTGAAGGAAACCATTCAGGGGACGTCGGGTTTCTGCGTCAACATAGGCCTAGAAAGTCAGAACGCCTCGTTTAACGCCGTCAATTCTAGCTTCCGTGAACAGCGAGCAATTGGCATGTCACTCCTCTCATATCAATTTCTGGGGGTTGGGCGTATTCACCCAGCCTATTCAACTCGTGACATCGCACTTCCCTCTACGGCGTTGGGTTGACGTCACCACACTGTTGTTGACCTAAGGTAAGGCAGTCCATGTCGGCTGCGATCGAAATAGTATTGCAAACTACCTTTGACTTGACTGTTCCGAAAATAGGAGAATGAGTCGAGATTGAAGGTCGAGATTGTTGGGACAGTCGACCAATTAATTGCGGCCGCCAAAGAAAACCCAGTTCAGCGCTGAAAACATCCATTGATAGAACCACGACATCCATCCGGTGGAATGGGCAACGCCGATGCTCCACCGGCTTTGCTTCAAGATGCCCGCAGCGCGAGGTATTGCTCGCTTGTCGAATTCTGCGACGGCTTCCTCGAGGTTTTCATATGCGCAAAATTGCTCTGCGAGCGTGAAAACATCATGAAGCGCAAGGTTTGCACCCGCGCCGGCAAAAGGAGAAACCGCATGGAGCGCATCCCCGAGGAAGATGGCAGGAAAGTCTCTTACCGCATTCCCTTGTTCAAACGGAGTCTTGTCCATTGCATTGAACTTTATAATCGAAGTCTTGTCGGTATTTTGGATAATCTCCTGGAATGGCTCACGAAAGTAACTTCCCTTCTCCTGCACCAGGCGAATGAGGTCGTTGGCCTCCTCCTCGTTCATCGGTTGTTTTTTCGCGGGTTCAGGAGTAGCTGTTCGCCAACTCACGTTCCAGGATGCTCGAGTCTCGTCCTGCGGAGAGACAAACACACTGATTCCAGTCCCATTAAGAACGAGACCCCAGTCTTTATCGGCCGGGGGTGGAATCTGTCCGTCCGTGAAAACGGACGCTGCAGCAATACAAGTTACTCCTGCGTAGTCCAGCGTATCCTGTGGCCGGAGCTGGGACCTGATTTTGCTGGAGCTGCCATCCGCCGCAACAAGGACATCGCAGGATGCTATATTGCCATCGCTGAGATGGACATTGAGCGGCATGTCCGTACCTCGTTCGACAGACACGCAGGAAACTCCCCAAACGATCTGGTCATTTGGATCGACTGCGTCGATGAGAACGCTCCTCATGTTCTTACGAGAGATTCGTAAGCCCTCGACAGGCAGGTCTTTCCTTTCTCGTCCCGAAACCGCGATCAGGGTTTGCCAATCATTGTTCCATACATGGAACGTGCCTTGTTCTCCCTGTTGCCCAGTGATGCTTGCCTGAAGCATCTGATCCACGATCCCCATCTCTTTTAGCGCCGTCATTCCATCGCTTACTCCATCGCTACGCAGCGAAAGAGAGTATCCTTCACGACCCATGACATCGGCATGGGTCTCCCGTTCGTATATGATGATCCTGGGCGGTTTAGGGTCGCCGGGTAGGGATGGCCATAGTTTTCGGAGAGAGATAGCAAACGCAAGACCCGAGACCCCCGCACCCGCTATGAGTATCGTTTTGTTTGCGACATAGGGAGTGATGTTTGGTGCCATGGAGGGCAATAAGAGATGTCTATGAATTTGCGGATGTTGGGCAAAATGAAAGGGGCGAATGACAAACTATGAGGATCTGTCTGTATTTGGACTGTGGAGGTTTGTGTCGCGTGAAACGTTAGCAGACGTACCGATGAGAGGCATGTATTGCCGAAGGAAGTCATTTCAAAAGCTTTTAAATATTATAGCGAACTGGAAAGCAAGGGATGTGTATCTCCGACGCGTTTTGGTCGAGGAGGGGTAATATCGTATTGACGTGTCGTTGCCGCGTGGACCTTGATGTGTTTTACGAGCCCTGACTCTTTGACTTCCAACTTCCAATGTCAATACAAATTGAACTATTCATGAGGACGCGATGGATTGGATGGCGTTGATGATAAGCGCCTTTCCAGGATCCCCCGTCATCGATACGAGAGGTGGCTTCCCCTCACTGAGGCTTGAGCTTTGAGTGAAGTGTGAACGACTGCTCTGCATACTCCTTCATAAATGTCATGAAGATGATTTGATCCTCCTGTTAGCCAGCAGAATGATGCTGTCCAGATTCCAGTAAAGGAAAATGGGATGTGAACCTTGCAAGATTAATATCCCGAGCAGCTCGTGGTAGTGGCTCGTTCGGGCGCTAATCTAATCCCTATCCTCTTTAATTCGTAATACTCGTACTTCAAAGAAAAGGCGCGTAAGCATCGGAGAGAAAGACTGGACGAACAGTCATCACCCATCACGACTCAAGAAGGTGATGCTAACATGAAGCATTTGAAATTTGAACGCATTAACTACTAGATATGAGGCCAAGCTGTTGTTTCCCACGACCCGTTACGCCGAAGAACATGTTACATATTGCCTGCGCCGGCTCGTTCAACGAAAAAATTACTCCGCAAATAGGCATCCTCTATCATTCACAACTCTCCTTCGCTCCCTTTCGTGAGATCTGGGAACTGTCAAACAATCCGAGACACATCATCGGTCGCCTTCGATGTTTCTTGGGTGAGCTCCTTTTCGGAAGCTGGTGGCTCACTTGTTGGCTTTTCCTTGCACAAACCAAAAGCCTTTGCAAGGAGACCATTGGAACCGCCGAGGTGGAAAGGATCAACCACTTGTAAATACCAAGGGCGCGCGAATTTCTGGCGAGAACGCTCTCTCCTCGTATATTCTTCTAGTTCGGTGCCATCAAGCTCCCAAAACTTGGTCTTTTGATCTCTCTTAGTAACCAGACCATAGACGTCGAATGGATCGAAAAATGTTACCCAGAAGGGGCGGGTATCGTTCCATCCAGGTCCGCGGAGCTCTGTCTTGCCATCCTTCGAGAGGAACGTATGATTTGATTTCGGAAGTCGTTTGCCGGGATGCCAAATGTTCATTATAAAAGTATTAACCAACATGAAGGCGCCATCAAAGACCCAGAAGTAGGTCTCATTGGTGTATAGCTCGCCTTCCCAACCCTGGAAGTACTCGGCGATCCGATAAATGCATCTTGCCGTGACGATGGCACAGGAGACATAGATAATAATCAAAACGGTCCGTAGCTTCGAGTTGAGCACATTGATCTTGAGTGCCTTGCGATGGAAGTCCGCCACGAATAAAATGAAGACAAAGAACATGACCGCCTGGGTGATGAGGCCTGCCCTGATCATGTTTGAGCCCACAGTTCTTTGGGCATCGGTCAGAGACGAGTTGGTGACTCGAACTACACCATTTACCGTTATAATTTCCACAATTCCATCGATGGCGAGGAACGTCGTCACTACCCGGCCGGGATGGATGGAAGAGAGGTAAGGGACGTAAAACAAGACTCGCGAAAAGATCAGGTAATTGATCGCAGCGTAGACGGGAGGCCCCTGGGTCCATTAGCTATTTGGCTCAAGAACTTCGCATTGGGGTTCTTACCGACATGACTAGCACATTACTAGCAATGAGGATTCCAAGGTCTGAGATATGGTATGCTCCAACTTCTCTCGTCACCATGCCAGTGCACAGGAGGAGCGCAGCCCAGGGCATGAGGAGCGTAACACGCCATGATTTGTACCGTCTGTCAAGAAGATCAATTAAGCGGGACTAACGAGAGGAGTGAAGTCCTTACATTGTCTGATATCCATGCCAGATGCCTGAAATCGCGAAGAGGACGGAAAACACAATCGGGGCTATTTTATTGGGTTGATAAAACCACTTGCTGCCTTCCTGATATCGCGACCAATTTGGTTCCGACATATTGAAGCCTGAAGGAAATTAATTGGACTGGAGAGACTTTAGAATGATAAAGGCTAAATGGGCATGGTCTTTCAAAAGGACAATGAACTTGAACGGCAATAGGACATATTAAATAAGTACAAGGCCACGGCAAGGCAAATCCATAAGTAGATATCGCTGTGTCGAACAGCCATAAAGTCAGCCTGAACGTTCGGCCTGCCCGATCCCTGCTTGATAGTCGCAGATCTGTTGGCTGAGTTCCAAACCAACTGCCTAGGCCACAAATTGGCAGCATCGCGAGCGCTGAGCACGAGCACTGAGTAGAGACGCGAGATTTCCGATGTCACTTTGGCAGGACCGCCTGGACAGTTTATTACTGGTATATGGCGATCAATCGCCATTCGACAATGATGGTGCACCAATCATCCTAATTAGTAGTGACGAAAGAAATGAGAAAAGAGGATAATAGCCAAGCCTCATTGGATAATGGATAGGCCAGGCGGGAAGAAAACTGGCAAGGCTCCCACGAGGCAGGGAGAACCAAAAGAATGTCATACGTGGCTGGACATGACATATTGGCGGTGGAACAACCGATCAACGAGCCATGCTCCTCCTGTTCCGGAAGGACTAGCGAGATCCTGCTATTGCAATAATTGATAAATCATAAATGCGACCACCGCGACATCAAGTCGATGGCGACAATTCTTCACTATTAAGGAAAGATACAGATCTCTCTAGACGTCTGGAAGGAGTAGGTTCCGGAATAGTTAGAGCCAGCATATGTCATAGTCTCATGGAGTCTTTAAATTCCATTGTCACTTATAGTCTCTACGTGTCCAGTTGTAGGTGAGTTGTAAATTGTAAGTTGTAGTTGCAAGCTGCAAGTCGCAAGTCGCAAGTCGCAAGGTGTGGTTGGAAACGGGTTAGCGCCGTTCAGGACCCCTTTAGCTGCAACTTTCTCCTGTCGACTGTCGACGACGAGTTCGAGGCACTCTCAACATAGTATTATTCCGCACCCCATACTCCGTTACAGATACACGACTGTTCAACAAATGCATCACGTTCGGAATGCTGCGGAGAAATGAGTCATTTCAAAGTACCTAGATGATTGGACTTTTCGTGCGGCATCATGGAGCCCTCAGCAAGCTCCAAAGTGACTGGTTAGTGTGGGCATTCCCAAGGCAGACCCAGCAGTTCGCTAACCACGGCTTACCCCATGGAATAGTTGAATATCACGACCCATCTGGTGTCTTTCCCCTGATTGCTTCACAGCTCCAATCTCGCTTGCCTCTTCGAAATTTGCATTGGAAGGCACCCACAAGGCCGCTTAGGTCCATAGAAACTTTGCACATTGACTTTGTCCCTGCTCCTGATATCATTGAATCTGCCCGACCCGTAAGTGTTGGCCCAAGGGCAACCAATAGCGGCGATAATGGGTCGCGCAGCTCGTCGCGGCCGCCATCGCGAAGCAGAAGCGATGCCTTGAACTCCGACGGACCGAGATTTCCAGTCCGTGAGAGGAGACACCAAATCCCCGGTCTACGGCAGACCCCATATCTGAAAATCTTGCTGTTTCGTTGCGATGACCCCGAGACTTACAAAGTGGCCGCCCGAAAGCAACTTCGAGAATGGGTGAGATCCCACACTCCGCCGTCCCAATCCTCTTCCGGATCCGCCAGCGGCCAAGAGAACCACGATGCTTTTGAATGGCTTATCATCCATGTTGTGGTTCCCGATACGGTAGCCTCTCTTCAACCTCGATCAAGCGGTTCGTCGAGTAGCAGTGCAGCCGCCGGATCAGAGAGAGCCGGCGGGACTTCGAAGTGGCCTGGAAGGGGTTCAAGTACCATCTTCGAGAAAGTTCGACAAGATTTCAATGCCTCAAGCAAATCTGCCCCAGACCGCGTCGCTCAAATCAGAGTCCAAAAGAATGAGCTGCCGGCCGATTTTCCTTTGCCATCTACGGCCTTGAGCCCTGCATCGACCCCTTATGGAGACGGCCCACAAGAGCAACTGAACTCCTGGAACGATGTTATCGCTAAATTGAAGAGCCTTATCTTACTGTCGTTTGATCAGCGCGTAAGCCAATACGAAGAGGACATTCGCGAGAAAGATTCTCAGCGTGCCTTACCGGGCTGGAATTTCTGCACCTTCTTTGTGCTCAAAGAGGGCTTGGCCCGAGGATTCGAGAATGTTGGTCTCGTGGAAGATGCATTGGTGGGATACGATGAACTTGCTATTGGCCTTGACACGATCCTTCGTGACCAGTCTTCAGGTGGTTTAGAAGGCCATGGAGGGATATTACTTGACTACACAGAGGATCTGCAGCACCAACTATTGAAAGCGCAAGCCCAGGCACAATCGGCGGAGGATCCCTCGACGTCCTCGCATACGCAGATCGACTTGTTCAACCAATTCTTGGAACGGCCGATCGAGTCGTCTCGCAAGGATTACAGGGACTTGATCATGTCAAACAACGTCTCGGTGTATGAGTTCAGATGTTATATTTTCGCTCGACAGATGGCTCTACTTCTTCGGATGGGCAAAACAACCACATCTTCAGCCGGGCCTGAGACCGATGATCTTATAATTTTAGCAGAGCTTTGCCGAAGGGCCGTGGCGTTCATCACAAACCTCGCCAGAATTGTGAGAGCAGACCTCTTGACAGGGTAAGTCAATGGAATCTCCCGTGAAGTTCTCGCCGCTAACAGTTGGATTAGATCCGAGTCGATCCCAAACTCTAGGTCGTCTGTGGAAGGACTTGTTGAGCATCTTACGGCATCTTGGATCCATGCAACCGCATCCCAAATACTCGCCGTAACTGGGAGCTCAGCCTTGCCATTTACATTGAACAACTCCTTACCGACAAATCCGCCAATGGACGGGAAGTCTAACCCTTCCGAAGCGAGAACAGCAGTGCATCCTTCACGGGCGAGCTCGCTCGTCCATCGCCGCTCGTCCGCACAATTTTCCGGCGGGGAGCCACCATATGCTTCCACACCAGCAACTAGTCAAGTGATATTTGATCAGCAGCAATCACTTCAGACATCCGCACCAAGAATTCCTGCTAGAGGCCCCGAGGGACTCAAATCAGGTCTGGAAGACTACTCTGCATCTCGAGGAGAGCTAGTTCTCTTGCAACGTCGCACACTTGAGGAAATTGGAGAGAACAAGGATTGGTTTGTCGGGTGGAGATCTAAACTTCTCAACCAGGGCAGGTCATTGGACGATGTCGACCTTGATGACGATAGTCAACAGGACGAGAAATCGATCAAAAGCACTGATCAAGGGATCGGGCTCGCTGGGTTATATTTTCCCTCACTGGCGAAGGCTATGCGGTCACTTTCAGACTTCCGAGAGTTGTATGAGAGTCTCAGCTATTACTCGCTGAAACACTTCCACACCGCTGCTCGCGTTCAGTCTGCGGAACGGATCATGGGTGATTTGGCGATACTGAAATTTGAACTGGGTGACTATGCTGGTGCGGCAGTCTACTTCAGCAGAGCAAGCCCATTATACGCACAGTCGAGGTGGGGATTTGTTGAAACAGCGATGCTAAAGTTGCATGTCCAATGCTTAAAGAAGCTCCATCGAAAAGATGAGTATATCAGGGTCCTCTTCCGTCTCCTTGCAAAGGCTGCCGCCTCTGAGAAAGCTCGCTTGCTCCCTCGACCTAAGCTCAAGCCACACACCTCGAGTTTGGACAATGCGGAGGTCGTTGCTAGCACGATCCAAGCGACATGGCTTGATGATGACTTGGTCGATACGCAAGGCTATTTGGCTGAGCTTGTCTCCTTTTCAGATGAGCTTCCATATGATGTCACCGTTCCCATGGCACATTATTTTGCAGATATCACGGTAATACCAACCATACGACACTTCGAAGACAAGGACGGGTTCGAGCTGCAAGTACGGGTTCGACACGTTCTCTCCGATGATGTGTCTATTCAAGAGGCCAAAGTTTTATTAAAAGCTTCAGGCCAACGGCAAGTTCCAGACATCTGGCTGACCAGTCGACAACCAACCACTGTCCGGAAAGGCCTTCAATCGATAATGGTTGAATCGCATATCAATACATTTGGAGACTATACCATTGATCAGGTATTGCTGAAGTCGAATAAGGTTGTCTTTGTGCATGAAACGGGCAGCAAAGAATCCGCATCCGCGCCTTTGGATCCGCCACTATCAACATCTGGCCATTTACATTCATCCAGGAGACTCCGAGTTCGGTCCTACGGTCACGCAGATGCATTGGACGCCAACCTATCACTCTCCGACTTCATCCATATCGACAAGACGAGAAGCATTGATCTTGCCATTTCAACCCGGCGGAACGAAGTCTCGACTGCCGTGATTAGACTAAAGGCAGGGACAGCCGGATTGAGAATCCATACCAGCGATTGTTCGATCCTTCAAGGACCCGGCAGACTCGGCGATGTCAATCGGTCGGGGATCATTGAAGTATCCGATATTCCCTCTGGAGGTGTGACGAAGCTTAAGATCCCGTACGAGCTGGAGGCGAATCCTAAAGATATTGCTGTCTCCATGGAGATCAGTTATAACACAGCGTATGGTTTGTTCGTGTTCCAAACAGCGTCGTCCTTGCCTGTCGAGCTGCCGCTCGATGTGAATGTGCACGACATCTTCAAAGCTTCCTCCCTTTTGTCACGCTTCACGATTCGCACCGCAACCGGTATCCCGCTTCAAGTATTGAACATCAATCTCCAGGGGTCCAAACAATACGCCGTACAGCCATCTTCCTGCAAAATCACCCCAATGATAATATTCTCCAAGGAGCCAGCATCGATCCTCTACAAAATCAAGAGGATCGATAAGGGACGTCCTGACTCTCAGCTCCTTCAAGATCACGGTGTCAAATCTTCACCCATTGTGCTCGAGGTAGACTACAGGCGCCTTGAAGAGGATATTTTTACGTTGGCGGAATCACAGTTTGAAACGGGACTTGGACAATCTGAACACGCTCGATTTGTCCGGCTTTTGTTGCCGTGGTTCTCGGAATCTTTCAAATCTAGATTAGGAAGGGCTGACTTCGACAAAATCGCCATGCTAAAGACGATCCCGCTGGGCTCTTTCGACGAGTGGAATTGGTCAGAGGTGGTTGAAGCGCTGCCTGGGGCGATGACGCGGAACATCTACGACTGGCTCGAAACATGGCATGAGGTAAGAATACCCTTTGATCTCTACAGGCTTGTTATCTAACCATTATTCTTGCAGGCTAATCCAACCATTCTGCTACCGCCTGTAAACTCACTAGGCGAGTCCGCATTGCGTACCCGCCGGATTGCCATCACCGTGACGATCCCCCGGATTCCCGTGGTGTGTACGGCCACCATCGCCCTCAAGCCCAATTGCTCGGACTCTTCATCACCACTCACCTCAAACCAACCACACATCATCCCCATCGGAGCTCCTATTTCCGCCACGGTAACCATCACTGCTACCCGCCGATGGGACCCCGCAGCGTCCCCTCTCGCCACCGACCCGATCGCCCTCGTCTTCGAACTCGACGCACACCCCGACATCTGGCTAATCGGCGGCTCGCGTCGCTGCGCCTTCACCGTGACGCCCCCTGAAACGGCGACTTTCCCGATCGTGCTCGTGGCATTACGACCCGGCCGTCTTCTCCTCCCGAGGGTGGAGGTGCGGGCGTCCGGACCGACTGACTCGCAGAGCAGGCCGGCGGGACAGGCGGACGATGTGTCTGGAGAGCCGGAGGTGGTTGTCGAGACGGACTTTACGGGGGTAGGGGAGGCGGTAGTGGCGATACCGGATGTAGGGGCGACGACGGTCGGGGTGGGGAAGGCGGAGGGGATGCATGGCGGCGTGTTTCTAGTGGAGACGGAGTCAAGGGAGGCAGGGCTTGCGTAGATGACTCTGTGGGGAACTGGGGATAACGGGACGATGGTAGTGTGCATGTCAGCTGAGACGTTGCGGAGAGTTTGTGGCGGTTGATCTAGATTGGTTACATGAGTAGTTGTGCGATGTTTCGGGCACTCCGGATGGTCCCAGCTTTTAAAGCCTTATATTTGGACGTTCTATTGGTTTCTGACCATGCGGAGGCCTTATGGAAGAAGTCCCGAAGACGCAGGTAGTGAGGAGTCTTCGTGTAATGGATAGCATTGATAGTCCTATCAGATGAAGCAGGTTAGAACACATGATATCAATTGGCTATTCTCATTGTACTGATCTACTAGTATTCACAACACAGTTTGAATATCACGGTACTCGCCATGAGGATGCGTTACAGCTCCGTTGGAAAATCCCCGTGAATGCCGTTTTATGATAGTATATATAGTCTAATAGTCTGTTACCTGTTAAGTGCGATTTCGAGCATTCCCTCCCTTTATGAAAACGGCACGGACTCACCCCCCATGTTCCAGCCCTCCCAGGGGCCAGGGATGCTTGAAAGTTTGGATAGAAGCGATCTCCACAAACAAATTGGGACTATGTTTCTGATCCGATGTCTCATCTCCAGACTCGGTGAGACTCCAATGTTGAGTGAATTAAACCATCAGGTTCAAAATCACTGGTGATCATATTAGGCACTACTCAGAGCCAGTTAAAACAACACTAGGAAGCGAGGCTGGCGAGCCAATGTCATGAACGAATTGCGCCCAGCTGTATAGAGATTGGCATCACATGCAGATCGAAGAGGCGGAGTGACGGTTCGGCATGTTTTTACAAAGCTTGAAGTTTCGGAAGAATGGGTGTAGCTTGGTGTACCCACCCAGTAAACAGAGAGTCTGGAGTAAATACGAATGTACCAATGAGGATCCTTCCAATGCGAGTATGCGACCCGTTTGATCCCGATCCCCGATTAGCACTTCGCTGCTACTACTATTCCCAGGACGAATCCAAACCATCCAGTTGAAAATCCGAAAGCAACCAAATTCGCTAGATACATAGTACCACGGCTCGCAGATAGATCGGTGGCGATACACACCCTAAAGTCCCTGATGGAACTTGGAGGCGTGGGGTTGCGCAAGCCACAGCGAACAGTTCTAGAACTTGGACAATAGTTTTCCAACGATATTGCCCCTTCGGACATGATCGACACACAGTTGACAGTACTCTGCCAACACCTGGCACTCTTGAGGGTTCATGGTAGCAGTTTGAATCTAAGGCTTAATGCAGCTACGGAGAATAATAATGCATGTGAGTCGTGAGAGGTAGGACAGGTTTCGAGCCTACCCAAGACCCTTAGCTAATGGATAATAGAGGAGCTCCTAGGAAGATGGTCGGTTGTCTTTGTCCCATGATTACAGGAGGAGCAATATTACAGACGATCCGTGGTCCACTAGCATCTGATTGCGGCAGATCTTCCTGGCGCCACTGCATGGGTCCTAAGCACCCAAATTCGAAGGGACCAAACCCGAAGCATATGGTTGGTTTATCGCGCTAACGCGCAGGTCGACTGGTCAAGCGAGCGGATCAGCAGATGGACTCGGAGCGATCCGCAAGATTACGACTCCGTTACCGATTGCAACGTTTGGAGGGGGTTTTTTCGGAGCAGCGCAGTCCAAAGCACATGTCTCATGCCTGTCCCACGAAAACCTAACGGTCAACGGAGGGCGATACCTAGTCCTCCGTATTCATGGATTGTTCTCAGGATACACGATGAAGGATCCTCGGTAGGTAGACGCAGTAAACAGTGAAGTTGCAAGTTGTAAGTGTAACACAGGATATTATTGTGATTTATGACTTTATGAGAAATAATGAAGGAGAAGGGCAGGAGCGGGGGTCCAAGCGAAGAAGCTAAAGAAGCTGGGCGAGGATTGAGGAAGCAAGGTTTCGCCGATTCGGTAGATTTATTGACAGGACAATTCACAGGGTGCGGTTGGGGCAGACACTAGGGGTGGGCCTCGTTTGAAGCTGACACAGATAAGTTACTGGTTACTAGGTTGTATGTAGTAGGTACACTGTAGGTGTAAACTCAAGAGAATGGAGACGGGAGAAAGTGGAGAAGGATGGTGATATGCCGATATCAGGGGTAATGGGAGAGGAAATATGCAGGATACAAAAAGATAATGCTTAGGAAAGGGGAACCCGGGCAGATCGGAAGGAATTGATAAGAGGGAATTAAAGGGATAGAATGATGGTTGGGTGATGGAGCGGATTCGGGATGGATTGCAACGTGTCTGATGAGAGCTCAGAGGAAGAAAGTGCAGTTAGAGTTCGAGCTCTCATGCATGTGTTGGCTGAGCTTATCCTTAAAATGGGAAAAGTCTAGCCTGGGCTTCCATGTCAGAGGGGTTGGTGCCTTGAAGCCTTACAGCCTGACACCCTACATTTGATGCCTGCTGAGCCATAGACCCCTGTCTCATCCCTGTCTCATCCCTGCATCGCCCTTCACTTTTGTTGCGACTTCGGTTCTTCGGTGGCTCGTTGAGACGCTGAACCCCCCAGATGCTGAACCCCAAGACGCCGATAATGAAACTCAGATCGGGAAATTCGACTTTGCTCGCTGCCGTGCTGCTGTACCGAACGAGTCCAATCTCATCGACGTAATGGATATTCCATGTTCAAGGCTGGCTGTCTAGATCTCAATCTGCAATCTGCAATCTCCATGTTGCTAGGTGCTTTTAATACTGCCGTAGCGTTGTTGTGCCTGGCCCCTGGGCTCCGTACCTCCCCTAAGTCCCTAATTCTGCTGGGCGCTAGCCCACCACGCTACCACAGCGAAAAAAAAAAGACCAACCGTCGCCCCAATTTTGCCTAGCAAGTCTCAAGTTCAGTCTGTTCTCAACACAACCCACAACTCCCTCTCCCCCCCGGTTGACCGCCTCCAGGTCTCCAGGTGTCGAACAATTGCTCCATAGCGCAAAAGGCTCTTACAACTTAAAAGGCTCTCGTGTCCCCTTGTCGCTCGCGTTTCCTTTTTATTCCCCAGGTTAGCCCTTTGATACACTATCGTTTGCCCATCCTTGGTCATCCAGCATACCTGGATCGGTGACCGTGGCCTTAAAAAGTTCGGTGTTGCCGTCGAAATTTCCCCAACCCCAAACCCCCCATCCATCCATCTCCATCTCTTCCCTCCGATTTCTCCACGAGGAATTTCTCTTCGAGGCGTTTGAAGCTTCGCATCGTCTATTCCGAGCTCCCTGCCACTTCACTCGAGCAATTGGCTTCGTTCGACTTAACATCATGGCCTCAACCACCGCCCGTCCTCGCCGCGCTGGCATCCGGAGGACCATCACCTCCGACTCCGCTCCATCGTCCTCGGCGCCCTCCGTGACCGTCTCACCGCTCGATTCACCGCTCCAGTCATCCTCTAGCACTTCGCTGTCGTCGCTTGGCTCGGTCGACGACGTTGAAGTCAAGGCTCCGGCCGCGCTGGTCGACACGTACGGAAACAAATTCGAGATCCCGGACTACACCATCAAGCAGATCCGGGACGCCATCCCGGCCCACTGCCTCGAACGATCGGCCCTGCGAAGCTTGGGCTACGTCGCCCGTGATATCGCTGGGCTCGCCATCACCTTCTATGTCTTCCACAACTATGCCACCCCAGAACTCGTCCCGTCCACCGCCCTTCGAGGCGCTCTCTGGGCCGGCTATACGGTCATCCAAGGCCTGTTCGGCACCGGACTCTGGGTCCTGGCCCACGAGTGCGGCCACCAGTCTTTCTCCACCTCGAAAATCTTGAACGATACGGTTGGTTGGATCCTGCACTCTTGGCTTCTCGTGCCGTACTTCTCGTGGAAACTCTCCCATAGCAAGCACCACAAGGCCACCGGTCATATGGATCGCGACATGGTCTTCGTTCCCCGGACTCGCGAAGACCAGGCCACGAGGATGGGCAAGATGGTCCATGAGCTGAGCGAGCTGATGGAGGAGACTCCGATCTACTCGGCGCTCATGTTGTTCGGTCAGCAAATCGGAGGCTTTCCTTTGTACCTGCTCGCCAATGCAACGGGCCACAATTACCACGAGGGACAGGTCGAAGGCAAGGGCAAGGGAATGAAGAACGGTTTTTTGAACGGCGTGAACCATTACCTGCCATCGAGCCCGTTGTACGAGCGCAAGGACGAGCACCTCATCTTGTTGAGCGATCTTGGGCTTGGCATCGTTCTGTCGATTGTCTTCTTCCTTGGGAAAAGGTTTGGCTGGTTTAACATTTTTGTCTGGTATATCGTCCCCTATCTCTGGGTCAACCACTGGCTTGGTAAGTCTCCTTAATCTTTCCCGGTGCTAGCAGAAACTGACCACTCCCAGTCGCCATCACCTACCTACAGCATACCGACCCCTCGCTTCCTCACTATGACGCCACCACGTGGACTTTCACTCGCGGCGCTGCCGCCACCATCGATCGTGATTTCGGCTTCATCGGACGACACATCTTCCACGGCATCATCGAAACCCACGTCCTGCACCACTACGTCAGCCTCATCCCGTTCTACAACGCCGACGAGGCCAGCGAGGCCATCAAAAAGGTCATGGGTAAGCATTACCGCAGCGACACTAAGCACGGGATGTTCGGTTTCCTGTACGCCATGTGGAAGAGCACCCGCTGGTGCCAGTGGGTCGAGCCCAACGCCGACGCTGAGGGCGAGGGCAAGGGCGTCATGTTCTTCCGGAACGTGAACGGCCACGGCGTGCGGCCGACGAAGCTGGCCCCGTCGGGCGAGACGGCACTGAAGCGACCGACGTTGGTCGTGGGATCCGAGAGCGATCATGAAGCGTCATGACCCGTGACGCCCCGCCGTCCATGATCCGGGAAGAGAATGCGCACTTGCATTTCTTGTCGTTCGTTGACTATCTGATGGGCCTATTTCGCGTCTTGCATTGTTCCGGCGTTTTGCCTTTTGTGTCTAATTGCGACTCCCGTCCATCTCTTTGGAGACGATTTTGCCATTGTCTGAAGAGCGATTCCGTTCGTTTTCATGATCGGTACTTGACCGGACGTTCGGATGGTCGTGAGGCTGGACATCACTTCCGACCACGACACGCAACCGCATTGATAGACGGGGAAAGATTTTTGGAGAGTTTATAGGAGAAGATGGCATTTCGAGGTCATCGATAGTGAATGGAGACACATCGACGTCCATGAATTGCGTCGCCTGATTTCAAATATGGCATGATATGCTAGACATAGACATGGAAAATCGAAAATCGAATCAACCCAGGAAAGCAATCTGAGTGAAGTCGGTTTCTTAATAAGAATATGAACAGAATGGCAACGAGAGCATGTAGAGTGTGACCTGGGGGAGGGGGAATAGACACAGGTTCCCATCATTCGAGCGGGGGGCGGCGGATATTCCTGCACCCGGCATCTAATCCATCATCACACCGCTGATCAGGGGAGGCTTTGCTGTCGAAAATCCACCCCTCCGCGTATCTTCTTTTGAATTAGTATTTCCAACTTCAATGTCGACGTTAAATGCACCTATTTATCGACTTTTTGAACAATCCCTCAGTGAACAGGTTGGCTATTCGGGGCAGTGGAGACACACATGCTCTATGAAAGAGTCGTATATTCGATTTCACTATGAAATGACAACCTGCTTTGTTCACAATACCATCGATTATACCGTACTTAACTTACCGGACGAAACATGATCCAGGTCATAGAAATATATGTCAGACAGATCTAGATCCGTTCATCACGATGGAGCAACCTTCCTAGGCTGTCCACCTTGTCAATAGACAATCAATCCCTGTTTCGAGACTTCACCGCCTTGAGCGGCACGTCCTAGCAGAGATTCGGGGTTGGATGATATCCTTCATTCTTTTCAGTTCTATCTAATGTCAAATGGGATTGCGGGTTATTCAACATTGTTCCCTACGTTCAACATCTCAAATGCACAGTTGAAGGTTTTGCAGGGGTATTGGCTTGCTCGTTTCTTGATTTGCCGTCTGGGTCTTTGGATATTCCGATACTGTTCAAGTCCGGTGCCCGGTCGACAGATGGTCGACTTGATTCTAGCCGATGCAAAAGAGCATTTAAATGTCCAAATCATAAGTCATTCTCTCCGGATAGCAAGCGAGACCTAGAACAAGGGCCTGGGTCGCGAGCCCGCCTCTAGGAACAATCCTCTTCGATGCACCCGCATAACCACAGGGTCCGAAATTGGTTATGGGTGCCTAGCATTGAAGAAAGCAGGCATGAACATATCACCGATTTTTCCTTTGCTGGCCTACTTGTGAACAGATAGCATATCAAATGATGTTATATCTTCTGGCATAGATGTTGATCTAGATTGCCCCGGCCGAAATCCGCACATACCGAAGGCCACTACTAAAGCGGCACCAACGGCAGTGGCCACTGTCGATATGGTGGAGATGCTGATGCACCTCGAGCTCATACAGTTCTGACAGTGGCACAGACATGCATCGTCATCCAATGCTTCGGCGAGGCTCTCATATACGGTTTCAATGAGTGCTCAGTCACTACTTAAAGCCGTGCCTGTCCAGCTCTAAGGACTTTTCACTGGCGATAAGGCATCAGTGTATCTCTCATCATTCGCGGATGCAGTTGAGAACATTCATCATACCCCTATCAGGCGAGTAAAGACAAAGGCTCTCTGTCCTGTTTGCCGAAGACACAACCAATCAAGCCCCCAGTCAAAGTCAGGTTTCAATGATAGGCCTTCCTCCAACTTCACCCCTTCTTGACCCTGGCAACGACGTTCTTGTCCGCTTGAATCTTGGGGATTTTGGCTTCTCGCGCTTGCTGCGCTCGATTCAGGAACTCTCGATTGGCTTTGATGGATGGAACTTCTTTCGTCTGCGAACCTTGCGACCCTGACGCCGGCTGTTTCGTTGTCGTGGTCTGTTTCTCAGGTGCGGGCGCCGAACGTCTTGAGGTAGGAGCTTGTGGAGTTGACCGAACCTTGTTGGACTGAGCCGGAAGCCTGCCCATTGGCCTTTTGGACTGCTCGTTTTTGGCACCAGTGGACGGGGTGCTCAGCTTAGGTACCGACTTAGTGCTGGATGCTCCAGCGGATACATTTCCTCGTGCACCGGTTCTCATGTCGTTCGGTTGAGGTGCTCGGGGATGGGTGGGTATCCGTGGAGGGACGCTACTCACTGCGCTAGCCGGGCCCATTGGAAATACGCCTAGAGGGCCTGGCTGCGATGAGACATCGCTAGCAGATACGGTGGACGGTGCTCGAGACTTCTTGGCGGCCAGAAAAGAGACGGGCCTCGACTTCGAAGCAGTTGACATGGATTGCGTTCCCGGAAGAGACGTGCCTTTTGCCGGTGCAGTTCCCGCGTGTATAGTATAGCCTGTTCGACGAATCTGTGGCTTGCCTTTCTGGGATAACGCGGGAGCACTGGCAGTCACTGGTGTCGGCCTCAGCACTGGGGTAGATGCAGCCTTCAATGGTGGAGGCGCTCCTCTTGGTTTTGGCATCAGCCCGGGAACGTTTGGGATCGACTGTTGCATCTTATCCAGGTTGTCCTTCGTCAGTTCCAGCTGCTCCTTCTTCCCCGTGGGCTTGCCGTGAGCAGCTGTGATGGCTCTTAGCATTTGTTCAAGCTCGACTGAGCCGCCGAGTGCTTTAAGGTCGGTTGCATCCTTGAGGCCTGGTTGTTGCATCGTCTCTACCAGCGCTTTGAGGTCGATCAAGTCTTTCTCAGACCCTCCATAAAACATGAACAAGACCACTAAAAATGCAGTCAAAGGCGCGAATATCGATAGAAATTCTTCCATGTTTCCTGTTTTCACCTCCGCCTCGATAAATTTTGCCGGTTGCCGAACGATCTTGCTTCCTTGCTTCTTCTGTTCGATCAACCAGTTGTGATCAGTTGGAAACTGGTTGAACTTTTGGAAATGTTCAAGGAGATAGTCTTTCTCTCGCCATCGGTTCCGTAACCAGATATCGAACGCCGTCGAATCATCAACAGGGATGGTGGTGATTCGAAAGCGTCTCCAGTACATGTTCACACTCTTCGGCGGTCGTCCTTCCAACAATGAACCGCGAAGGGTGTATATGTCTTGGCCGTACTGGCCTTCGGGCACGCCTTCGTAGGCTATTGTGCAGTCATATAGCCATTCGGTTGACTTGCGCAAGTTTTGAACGCAGAACCTCAACCCGGTGCTCCTCGGGAGGAGCTGGTGTTTCATGTCTTGAATACCATTCTTACTTGCCCATTGCTTGCTGCGCTCCCTCGTCATGGCTGAGAGGTTGGTCCCCTCAGGGAAGATCACGAGCCACATCGGGACTTCCGGCTTGTTCAGAGGCATGAGCTGCTCTTTGAACCGGTCTTTATCATCCGCCCATTTCCGTGAGAGGAAGATGAAATTGTAAAATTGCATTCCCCATCCGATTATAGGAACGTTCTTCAACGATTCTTTCAGGATGATATAGATGTGGCCGTGCATCTTGTTCGTGTACGCTATCCACCAGAGATAGAGCCAGTCAGTGTATAACTGGTGGTTGGACATCATCACCAGTCGCTCAGGAAACTTGCATTGCAAGCTCCCATCATCTCTTCGGAGGAGTTGACTAGGCATACTGTTGTCGCCGCTCACCCGAACCACGGTGGGACTCCACCACTGGGTCATTGTCGTCGCAAGCACACCAAACGACTGCTTCGTGAACGCCATGTAGGAGTTGTAAAACTCCGGATCGACTGATTTAAATGGTGCACCGATAAACTGTGAAGCGCTGATAGCGAGAATCCCCGAGCAGAAGGTTGATGCCGCCGTGAAGGCGCGCTCAACCTGTCCTGCTTGTCCATGTGGAGTCCGTCCAGATGGATGAGGCTCAACATTTGGTTTTTTGAAGTTCAAGCCGGCATCCTCTGGTGTTGAGGGGGTAGGTTTTGGTTTTGGTTTCGGCGGCATTGCTGGCACGGCGCTCTTCTTCCCGTATAGTTGAACAATCTGAAGCCCTGATGTCGAGTGGCGTGGAAGGAGTGCAGTTCAGAGTCAAAAAGTAACACCGACGATATTGTTTCACCACTACTATTCACAATTCTGCTAATATTGGTGATCTGATGGAGGAAGCAGGTGATTGAAATGTTTGCCCCCCCGTTCCAAAATGCGACTGCCAGAATCCTAGTGATGACATCGTCAAGCTCCAGATCGCGATGGATTCAGCCACCCCACGCCAGATCTACAGTCACTTCTTCCTGATCAAGATATTTGCGGCCCAGCCTTCGTGAGAGCGGAGCAAGTCAAGCCACAAGGGTCTGACAGGATCTGATGGAGTGGACCAATCACCAATCAGATCGTCCAACGTCTGGCATCGTCCAACTACGTCATTGCAGTCCGCAAGAACTGGAATTCTATACTGGAAAGGAGGAGACAGGTGGGATAGTGGGAGAGTTGAGAGGCTCGACGGTAGAAGGAAGGCACAAAAACTTTCCTTTCCCCTCTGAGGATTCTTTTGATAATCGGAATTTGAACAATCCCATCTTTCTGCCATCCACCTTCCGGGTCCATATTGACTGGACAGTCTATATAGTTCATCTCATATCTAACCAACATCCACCACCTTGGAATTTGAACATGTCGACAGCATCCATGAAGGCGCCGCCCACGAGTGCACGAGGAAAGGCCACCAAAATCCCCAATACTACCCCCAGGAGTGTACCCAATGGAGCTCCATCAGCCCCTCAAGTCTCCGCTTACGGAATCATGGCGAGCCGTCTTGCGAATAGAGTCGCCGAGATAGCCGAAAACATGACTTTCGTAGAAAAGCCAAGGCATGTGCCCATGAGATAGCCTCTGAAGGTACAAGTTAACAGTTGTATAGCGCCCCTCCGCAATCCCTCCCGGCCCCGGAGAAGAAACGACCACGAAAGTTGGAGATTCGACTTCAGAACACCGGACCGGATGGCGTTTCATTTTCAGCGCCTTTCCTCGACAATACTCTCAAAAAGATGCTGTCACTGCAAGAGAATATGTTGAAGCTGGGTGCTGAGCTGGCCAGTGAAGATGTACCGGAAAGCATCAGGAAAGACCAATTTCAACAGGCCTCAGAGATGAGCAGAATTATAGCCCTGATCTGTGCAGAGAAGGCTAGGCAAGGTGCTTGATAGCACTTACTCATGGAAATATTGGGGGGAAAAAATGGTACAAAGACTGGAAACGTTGAGATGTACGATATCTGTATCTGGATTGATTTTTGGGACGGTATGATCATCGGATGATGAAGGTACCTCGTTAGGTGGTGATTCTTTAGTGTTTGACTTATCAGAATGGGATGGAATCAAAGCAAATGAACAGAGGAAGACACTTTGTCTATGTCAAGTTATTGTGGCATGGTGATGCACCAACTGCATGGTATTCGTCGCCACCATATCAGTCCTTCGGGAACATATGCGCACAGTCAGAGCCGCCTTCTTGCTTGATAGATATTTCTATCATAGGATTATATTCTGGGGGAATCCTCCAGACTCGTATCGGATGGTCTGGAACGACCCCGAAACCTCGTGCTGTTCTACATAATCCAGTAATTATACAGGAAGGGTGTGAACCTGGTTCTCTCGGGTCGGATTGACTCGATACCCAGGAGCACCCCCATTCCCCTTCACCAAAAAAAAAGCTTTCTCATCATTTTACCATCCGCAAACCATCCTGAGCGTGAGCATATCCACCCACCTCCAAAAAGCATTGTTTCCTCTTTTTTCTAGGTTTCCTCGCCCAAAACCAAATAAGGAACCATCAACATTCCCCTGTTGTAGTGTGAAGTGGAATAGAAGGATCATCCAGCATTCCAAGACACGGGTTTCGGTCCATCGGTCCTCGAACATGAGTCAACAGCCCAAAGAATTGCCGCTTTCAAGAAGAACCGCCGCAACCGTTGGTAAAGGGCTGCTTGCCCATTTTTCCGGATTGAATTCGCTGCTCAATTCTACAGTTGTAGTCTAGAAGGCAGATCTCCTCGAACGAAAAGTTGATCAATAACGGCAGCATTGACACGCACTCGAAGGTTTGACTACCTTTGGCTACCGGGGATTTCCAGTGATCCGGGCTGAAGTGGCTCCAGACAAGCATGCCGTTCGATAACAGATGGCAGGGGACATAGTCATAATTGAGACTCTTTACATCATCCCAGGACATCGAGGCGCCCCATTGTTTCTTGAAAGAAGTAGGGAGGGTCTGGGGAACAGAGTGGTTGGCGAGGACCGTGGAAGCGGATGAACGAGACAATGGGTCCACCGAAGGGCTTGTATGCCCAATAGGAGGGGATGGCCGAGAAACATCAGCCATGGTCGAGGCTGAATTCCGTGGTTGGAATTGTCTGGGGTTTAAATTACCTTCACGGGTATAGGGAACTGAAGTTGATCGGGGAGGAGGCAAGGGGACGGGTGAGGGCGGTATCATGGTATCGGGTCCTCTTCCGGAGGAGCTAGGAGGATCCGGATGATGCTCGCCGGGCTTTTGATGGCTTGAGAGAACTGTATGGACGTTCCTAGCCCGAGTTCCATTCACGAGCTGTGTTGCGGGATGACCAGGAGTAGCCGCCGACGCCGTGGACTGCGTTCCAACTGTTTCTTCCATATCAAAGGCTGACATTTGGTAAGGGGAACTTCGATCGTTTCTAATGGACGAGAATTGACCAGAATTGGCGACGAGAACGCGACTGCAGCCAATTGGTGTTGCGTCGAGGCTATCTCAAGGCGTTTGAGCGCTTCGACGATGACATGGTGAGAAGCCGCCCAACGAAGTAGCTCTCTGATCTCGTCCGGCTCAAAACAGGCAATGAGATGATCCATAACATTGGTATATCTCTCGTTTTGCACGATGATCACATCTGAGATATATCCTTCGGGTGCGGGAACTTCCTTGATTGAGATACCGCCAGCGCTTTGTGCAAACCTCCAACAGGTTAGTGGATGTTTAGACAGTGCTGTACACTTCGCCTCCTGCCCTGACGGCTCTCCATTCCATGAACAGTTAGCAAGTTGAAATCGTGAAACAGACGCGAGGCTCGCCTACGTCTAATGGTGGTAAAATCCTGGAATGATTGATCCATGTTCAGGTGTACTGAATTGACTGTCGAATTGATGGTATGGAAATGGCATGCCCGAAGCAAATGTTGACATTTCAACACCCTCGCTTTGAAACCGAATGGCCTGATGATTCGACATCGATGCCCAATTCGGAGGTTTGAAATAATAAAAATAGTAAATCAAGCAGTGGCCAACATGGGAATGCCGCGTTTGAACTGGACTGAACAGACAACAACCGGTGATTCTTCGGTTCCAGTGGACGGAGCGTGCCTAACTTAGGATTTAAGTTACGGTCAAATCCGCTTCGTCCCAATTTGCCCCCTCATGTATACCAATGTAGGCATTTGCAAGGGCAGTTGTCAGGGCTTCACCATTTGATGTTCTTCGGATCAATCCAGACCTGCATAGCCATGGTAATGGCCCACTGAACCCTACCCTGTAAGAAATGGAGCATGCCGCTTCCATCAGTCAGAATGAGGTCCATACTACTGCTAGAATGAATTTCAATTCTTCTGAAGCAAGATGGCAAAGGGCGATGATGGGCTCGCACCAATGTTCCTTGATAAAAGGAATTGATGTCGGCTTCTCCCCAAGGATAGGCACATCGGCCAGCAACCCCAGAGAGAATGCATGCATCATCAAATGCTCTGGTAGTCGCTTTGTCGCCGCACCATTCGACTGACTTGTCAGTTCAAAACTGACAGCGGTCGGGTTTCGCCAAGTCTTTACAATACTTCTTGCTTCCTCTTCAATTCAATAGTTTGAGGGCGGCTTGCGATACCACAATCTCACAACAGCGATGTCCAAAGCTATTTATATTTTGGACATACTGGTTCACTGGAGAGCCGATATATCACGGTGCATTCGGTTTTGTGGGGGAGAACCAGGGAACAAGCTCTCCGGTTCTCTCGCAACACGAATCTTTCAACCTCAGCAAAGAGGTACCATTTCTAAACCGTCGATTTTTCCTATCTCCTTTACCATTGGCGGAAATCTGTAATTTTCCGGTGCCCAACTCTATTTCCTATACGCTCTTTGCATCATATCTCATATCAGTGCCTTCCGAGTCTGATAAAAGTCGAGGTGACGGTTTTGTGAGGGACGCGACTCTGGTTGGGCCTCCTATGCAACCCAAATCAATCGTTGGCCGACTATCTCATCCGGGTCAGAATATAGAAGCACTATGCTTCTATGGGCGGTAGGCGGGAAGATGACGTCGATAGGTACATGAGGTCCTAGTAATGAGCCAACGAAGCTCCTGACATATGACGCCGAATGTATTTGGCTATCGATGCCTGGATGATTCTAGAGTGACGGACGGTTGCTCGCATTGCGTAGCTGTGGATACGGATCTGTTGCCTATAGGTAAAGTATGCGTTGTATCGTCGTCGCCCGAGGATGAAATCTGGGATCCCAAGTAGAGAGGCCCACTATGACTTCCCTAATTAAGGTTGCTGGACGACTCAAAAGGATGTTCAGTGATCGATCAGACCAGGTCAGGGTCGCAGAATCACTGGAACGAGGCGTCAAGGCGTCAAGGCACCCAACTGAGCATGGGGCGGGGCTTGGCAACGTCAGGCTCAACGTGATTGGCCAGCTTCGATCAAACATTCACAGGGGTCCGCCATTTGACGATTTTCTTCATCCCGCCAGCGTCTTTACACAATTGCCGTCCCTCACCAGATTTCCAACTTGAATGTCTGCTTCATCCGCGCAAATTTGAGCGAACCTGCATACCTCACTCTTCTGGCGATCAAAGTTCCCTATTGCCCCTCGTCATCATGCCGAGCACTCACAATGTTGACAAGCCGTGGGATACAGGCGATATCGATAAGTGGAAGGTTCGCCATCCTGCCGCTCAATATATTGTGCCCACTTCTAACAGTAGATAGATCGAACCTTTCAAGCCAGAAGACAATCTTGGAGGCACCTTTGCGGAAGAGTCTTCTTTGTATGCGCCTCGTTGGACAGGTCATCGCCCCAGATGCTAACACTCGTCAGCGCTCTAACGTTTCCGAAATACCGCGAATTGTACCTCAAGGAAGCATGGCCATTCATTACCCGCTCGCTCGAGAAAATTGGTATTGGTTGCTCGTATGGGTCCCTAATTTCGAGCGTATTCCCTGTAAAACATCACTGACATGGTATAGACTTGATTTGATCGAGGGGATGATGAAGGTGTCGACAACAAGAAAGGTGCGCAAATCTTAGTCCTCGATGCCATTATCCCTACCCTTACTTACACGATACGCAATAGACATACGATCCCGCTGCCATACTCAAGGCCCGAGACCTTGTCAAACTATTAGCACGAAGCGTGCCCGCCCCTCAAGCGATCAAGATATTGGAAGATGGAATGGCGGCGGATGTCATCAAGATTCGAAGTCTGGTGCGCAATAAAGAACGCTTCGTCAAGCGGCGGCAGCGGATATTGGGCCCGAACGGAAGCACATTGAAAGCTCTCGAACTTCTCACGCAGACCTATATCCTTGTCCAAGGCAATACCGTCGCAGCAATGGGCCCATATAAGGGATTGAAAGAAGTCCGGCGCGTAGTCGCCGACTGTATGGCCAACATTCATCCGATCTACCATATAAAAGAACTCATGATCAAACAAGAGCTAGCCAAGGATCCTTCGCTAGCCAACGAGAGCTGGGATCGGTTCCTCCCCAAGTTCAAGAAGCGAAATCTTCCAAACCGACGGACGCCCTTCAAAGTTACGGACAAGAACAAGAAGCCATACACGCCATTCCCGCCACCGCAAGAGAAGAGCAAGGTGGATCTGCAAATGGAGAGTGGCGAATTCTTCCTTAGCAAGCATGCGAAGGAGGCGGAAAAGAGGCACGCAAAGGAGGCGGAGAAGAAAGAGAAGAAGGCAAAAAAGGAGATGGAAAGGGCTGCCGATTTCGTACCGCCGAAAGAACGCGTTGCACCGAGATGAAGATAAAATGTATCCACAAGACTGTGCACCACGAAGAGTTCTTCACGAGGGGTTGCCGATACGCGTCGACGTTGATTCGAAGACGAGTCGTCCCGGCCATCGTACCCGCTGTACTACCCAGTACTCCAATGAGGGGGCAAATTGGTATATTTCGGTGTCTATCGACAAAGAAAAAGTATCGGGCCCTTTGGCTGAGCAGGAAAGGAGCTGATCAATCAGTGAATGTAAGGAGGAGTATGAACATTAACTGCCGGTTGCTCTGCTGGGTGGGGAGAGATACGGGAATAGAACCTGGCTGGATTACTTCCTGTCCAAGAGATTATTTGATCTGATCAACAAGCGTCTAAATGTATGTATGAACTATGAGCATTTTACTTCCATCCGAAGACGTCCAACAATATCAAATGTTTGAACCTAAAAGACCTCTCCTTTCGCCGATACTCTTATGGGTTGGAAGGCGCTTCCGGCGCTTCCTTCAAGTGGTAGTTAAGCCTGACGCGTGAGCTGGCTGCGCTGGATAAAGCGACTTGTCTCGTATGATCCTATCGAATCGGCCCGTAGCCAAAGCAACAGGACAGTGACCAGATCTGAGCTGCCCCGGTATATATTCAAGGTCAGTTTGTCCTGGTATGTTGGCTCGATCGCCTAAGCACGCGACCATTCGGTGAAAGACTGACCGCTAAGGAGTGAGTTCGAGGTTCTGCTATGCCAACCCGTCTTGAATATGGACCACGCTGTAACAGAATAGATATACAACAATGGTCACGGGGCAACCGTGCACTCCCAGACGTAGGTCAGTGGCATCGGATCTTCGAAATCCCACGTCACAGCTACCAGAAACGAAGGCTGTATCCCTCTGGGTGGAAAGGGATGAGATCTAGAACAGCCCCTCCAGTCATGTTGTGTGACTGCTGACCGCGGGGAATATTCCAGCTTGGGGTCTACTATCAGGTCGCGTACGAGATGGATGTAAACCCATGAACCATGACAGCGTGCTCAATGCAGCCTTTGGCTTTGGATGAGGCTCAAGGTTCAATGTACGGAAGCGGCTCTTGCGGTCACGGAGTGTCTTGTAAGAGACGCCATGATTAGTAGACGTCACATATAAGGCTAAAAGCCATCCGTGCCATTTACAAATTGCAAGGCGGAAGTAGAGCGTTTTTGAAGTTTGAGCCTGCAGGAGTAAACAAACGATCAATCGGAAATTAATGGTTGGATGATTTAACGTTGCTACAGCGTATTTGATGTACAGGCATCCAAAAAGTAAGCGATTCGTAGTGGCCAGTTAGGGACGATAAGGCGGATCCCGGCTCCTGTCCCGAGCTCCTGATTCCAGTCATGAGTGTCACCCTGTGTAGTGGGAGATCTAATAAGGATCTGTTTTAATCTGATATTCTGATCCTAGATAGACAGGCCGAGGTGAGAGACTCCCAATAGGAGTCGCCGAACCCGATCTTGCTCTCCCGTCCCATTTCCACTTTTGAAGTGAAATGTGCGCCTAACTTACATAACTAGTAAGCTGAGCAAAGCGACAAATGGCAACGGCTCAACAAAGATACTAGTGATCGCAAGGCCTTACTAACGAGAAGAATCTGACTTCTAATACGCGATCACTGATAAGTGGCAACCGCTAGTGAGATCTTTAAAAATTAAACCCGATGTTCGGCGATCTTACTGGGGCCCTTGGTGAAGATCTGGACATCATCGGACCGACGGACACGGGATGAGTTTGACGGACTCACGCATATCGTAATTCGCGACCTCTGAAGGCCATAGCCAAGGCCAATAATGAACCATCATGAACTTCGAGTCAAAAAGTACGATGTCGGACTCGGCTGGTTTGGCCAAGCAGTCCAGAAGCTGGTTCTTTCAAAGATGCTTCTCTTGGTGAATGGGGGTGGGCGAATGGCGAAGTCTCACTGCCCAGGTCCCCAGTAGATCTTAGCGAGATTCTACCCAGTATTCTCGGGTTCGGGGATCGTTGAGAGTATGGGGACTTTTGTGGACTGCTGGGGAGCTGCTAACTGGACTACCTGCCGCCTGGTCTGAGCATGCTAACTTTCTTGAGCACAACAATCAATTCAACAAAGGCAAAGACGAACGGGATGTCCACTCCGGACTCCATTGTCCTGTGCCGTGACTCCTAACTCCTGACAGATGCGAGGCATTTAATAGATCGCTTGATGTAAGACTTTTTGAGTAGTTACTAGAAGGTAAATCTTGATGCACCCTCCTGCGACACTTGATCTGCATAAATGATTTGATGTAGTATTGTTTGTACGACTTCGTAATTACTAATTAGTTACTGTATTCATAAAATGTGAAAACTCCTGGGACACAGGAGGACGGATCGAGGGAGTACCGCCGCCGGTTGGGAATTATCTCCCTCCTCGGATCTGGTCTACTGCCTTCCGCCTGCTGACAAAATTGTCTGCTGGTTTCTTCTTCTACGGAGTATCCCAGAGCAGTCTTGCATGTGATGATGTGATAGGTATTGGTTGTTGGGAAACAATGAAACGCCACCCGACCCAGCGGTATCTTGATATGTTCATCGACCCTAACTCTAACTTATCGTGTTTACCGGCAGGTTGGTAGTTTGTAGCTGAAAGGAGATCGGACGAATGACAAGGGAACAGCGGCACAGCCGGACAGGGTACGTACCCGATCCAGGAATGATCTGGGGGAAATATCAAAATTGACATTGAGGTTTCGTGAGAGTCCAGGCTCTACGGAGGGTCAGGCCTCTCCAATTCCTCATGCCTAGCACGGTAATTGATTATCGCTATATGCAAGTGTTTATGATTGCTCGTCAGATTGAGACACTGTCCAGGTTTGTCGATTGAACCGACGTTCAAGGCCCCCACATCCTGATTCCAGGCGAAAAATGGCGTCAGTCGTCAGAGAAGGGGCGTCGAATCGGTGGACCTGGATGGGACAGGGAAGTGCCTGGGCCTCTGCGGTTCTTCGATGTCCGCGACGAGATCGGCAGCAATTCAACAACACTCCGGTCTCCAAGTTAAAGCCGAATGTCTACTGGTCAATCTGAATTGCGTAGAGGCCTAGAAAGCACCGTCGCTCGTCGAGGCGTCGTAAACACCGGGCTCGGATCACTATTGGCCATCTATCCCGCGGACTTCAAATTAAGTCTGATGGAATAGTCTGGGATCTCCACTACATCCACATCGTCAATCGAGGACGGTCCATCTGATAACTCCCGAAATACTGGACTTCTAAGTTCACAGAATGACGAAGGGACATCGCTCTCTCAACCCTCGAGCACGGTTCTTCAATCCTTCTCTGCTCCTGTTGACTGTTTTTGTCGTTACATTTAGCTGGTCTAACGACGCTCTGCTATGAGTGCTCACTGATAAATCAGGTGTGCCTCCAATAGCACACTTCTGAACTTCTGGTACAGGGCCATGACCGAACCGTCTCTTACTTTAGTGTTTTTCACCTCTGAGTCTCCCCCGATTCCTTGACGGGTCCCTCGGTGATACCCTAGGGCCCTAGCCCCTTGAATTGTGTATTACCATATCTTCAGCCCGCTAGTCTTAGAGCGCCTCGCCCTTCTCCAATATTACCTACTTCTGCCACGCCATCGAGGAGATCGCACTCGGGCGCGTGGAGTTAATGGGCCTAGTACTGGCCCACTGACGTTGGTTCAGCACGTGTGAAAACTGGACAGGTCGGAGATTTATCGTTGAAACCGCCCAGTGCCCACGCACGTCAGGCGTTAGGATTGCACCGTTAATCGCTTACATATCTCCGTGCTTGCTCCACAGCGCGAGCGTGTTTCCTCTTCTACATTCCACGAGCATCTTCTCGATTCAACCACCTCCAGAAGACTCAAAACGATCAGCCCCGCTTGGGATACATCGATGTCTCATTGACTCAGGTCTTGGGAACGACTCAGATCGAACAGTGGCCGGCAACAATATCGCACTCTCACTTGAAGGAGGAATTATACTCCAGTGGTTCGAGTCATCTCTACCCCTCAAACTGAGAAGAAGGAGCCATTGTGAAGTGGCTGTGAATACACCGTCACGATGTCAGACGGCGTGGTATACCACGGGTATGAGCCGGGTCAAGTTGTCTCTGTCAAGTACACCCCAGGCATCATCGTTGCTTCGTGGTTTGTCAGTCTTGTCGGTGCAGTAACGACAGTCGAACTGCTGCATCGGCGTAAGTCAAGAAAAGGATGGGGTAGTTGGTATGTATCTCGGAGTAGCGGCAGCGTACTATCATCTTAACTCACTATTGATACAGGTTACAATTGGGAGCAATATCTGTCTCCTTCGGCCTTGTTGCGATTTGGTGTATGCACTTCGTCGGAAACCGGGCCATAGTTCTTGGGGACGGCAACATCGACATTCAGCTGCATTACAACCCTGGCTTCTCAGCCCTGTCCGCCTTCTTACCTATCTTATTTCTGTTTCTCGGCTTTAAGACAGTGGAACTGAGGCAGCCGGGTGAACGGCTCTTCTGGCCCTGCCTCGTCATCGCCGGCTTCGTCGCGGGCTTGTCGATCATGGGGATGCATTACATTGGCAATTTTGGGATCAACAATTACACGCTCCGCAACCCCCCCCACTTCATCATAGCGGCCGATCTAATCGCTTGCTTCTCGTGCATATTGGCTTTGAGTCTGTTCTTCTATTTCAGAGAACGTTGGATCAATAGCATCTCGAGACGTCTGCTTTGCGCTTGCATCCTTGCATGCGCTGTATCAGGCATGCATTGGGTGGCAACGATCGGCACGACGTATAGGTTCAGTCAAGTGCAAGAGATGGAAAAAATTGATCGAAATATACACTTGATAATCGCTCTTGTGATGGTACTGTTCCCATCCCGACTTGTATTATAAGGCGCTAACCTCCACGCAGAGTTTCCTAGCAATCTGTGCATGTGTTGGAGTCACTGTCGTCCAACACATCCGCAAAATGGAGATTGCCGACCGCGCACAGCATGTCCTCCTCGCGTCTGCAACATTTGACCCTGACGGTCGACTTCTGGTGACTCAAGACGGACTGCTCCCTTGCCGGAAGGTTACCAAATCTTATAATCAACAGGTATGCCTTGGCTCCTCGTGGAATCTGAACGAAACATGCTAACGATGATGATTAAGTCCTTCGACGATGATTTCAACACTGCCCACCCTGTGTTCCAATGGCTCTTCCGTGTCACTCACAATTGGAGTAGTGTGACGGAGCTGGTCCCAGCAATGCGGAGTCATTTGAAACGCGAAAGTGTCAAAGAAACCTCGATCGACAAGAGCCGTGTCCCTCAGTCCGGGTGGGGCGAGCTTGAAGGCACTGACGAGTATTCGCTCATTTTCCGGGAGTATTTCTGTGTTGCCGCGTCCGATCTTGCCGCATCGATGGACGCCCCGCTACCCAATATCGGCGCACTTTACCACAAGATCCTAATGACTGGCACTGTCTCGCCGGAATTCCGACTCAAAACCCCGCGAAACCCCGATGTCGAGTCTGGGAGATCCACTCCAAACATGTTCGGTCGCGGCCAGCTCCTATTTCTCGTCCGATCAGTTGATCGTGGGGGGGCTAATCGATTGATTGGGAACGGGTATCGCTTTGCCATGCCCAACCAGGTCGGCGACATCATTGGAAAGAGCATGCAGATTCCCACTCCAGAACTTATTTCGACGGTGCTTAGTTTGCGCCAGTATGCTCGAAACAAACTTGAAGCCCCTCAGGGGGGGACTTTCCTCGCCAGTTTCACCCTTCGTGCTCCATTGAAGGGCAACTGGGAGGTCCTTGTCTCCTCCCAAGGTCCTGATGTTGGCCAACTCCCGAAAGTACGACTTTCTTCTACTCCGCTTGAGTCGTGGCAGCTAAATTTCCTGGGGGAAATGGAGGGCTGCTCTTTGAACCAGTGCGTCCGATATCTAACAAAGCTCTCCGATTCCTCCAATGCCGTCGAAGCCGAATTTGCGGACGTTGTCGTCGACGCTATCCGAGAGTTGACCGAGATGGTTCCCGAGCCTTTCTTCGGACAATCCATCTTTTCGTCTAAGCCAGTGAACCTGAATTCGGCACGAGGCAGTCCAAACCAGGCACCCACTTCACTACTACCTTTCTGTATTATCCCCGATGTACACCACGCCCTCATCAAATCTGCCGATCGGGTCACATATGTTCCCCTGAGCTTCTTCCGTTGCAGCCAGCGCGTGTACAACAACTCGCCAGATCACGCCCATCTCGAACAGAAGATCCATCGCGAGTTCGCTGGTATCCTCTCTACGAAGGATCTCATCTCCGCCTCAGACTCTTTGCCATCCTCGAGTGTCAAGTCCTCCACCCACAAAATCCGCAAGAAGTGGCAATTTTCCGAAGGCACCACGCCGCGGAACAGTATCGGGGTGAACCTCGAGTCTTCCTCGGAGAACGACCTAGTTGGTAGCGATAATCGCCAAGGCAGCATGGACATGTCTGCCTATCCCTTCGGTGGCATCATGGTGAGCTCCGACGTGGTCATGGAGATGGCAGATACCAAGGGTGACAACCATATTGAGTTGCAGGATCTTGGCATAACTTCCCAAGCTGGCACTGCAGATGCCGAGCAAGCGACGTACGTCGATGAATTGTTCCGCCTAACAAGCATGAGATGGCAGCGGTCGTAATCTTGGGTTTGACACCCCCCCCCTTTTCTACCTTATCCATAATACACCTCTTTTGATATACCTGGGAACTTTGGAGTTCATATGGCTTGTTGATTTATTACTCCTGTGCTCGAAGGGTCGAGTTTGGGACGCACCAATATCTTGCAGGAATTTTAGCTGGTACACGGGACTCTTTTGCGTGAGGGAGCGTCTGGTCGGTGTTCCGGGCTAGAAGGGAATCACTCGCGTATTCACGGCTGCTATTTCGTTGGTATGGCTCATCGCGGCTCACAGTGCCTGATGATTCTTTCGTTAATATCCCTGTAATTGGATATCTGATGAGAGAATCTGGTCTGGATTTTAGGATTTCCTTGTTCAGATCCCTAGGCAAAATCACCTAGAGGCGTATGGTTTGCGTCCTCCGGAGTAGTGCCCGTTGGCATTCTTAATGTATATATATATATATCAGCTAATTGCCAGCGGACTGTGATCTCACATTCCATCCTCTCGGGATCCAGTCAGGCGATTTGCGCCTGGCACATGGTTCTCGTTATTGAAGTGTTCCGTACAACACCGGATATGGGACTATTTAATGGTATCATCACCGATGGTGGTTCAGTATCGGTGTGGCCCCTGGAAAGATCTGATATTTGAAAGGGGGAATACACTAGCCAAATTAAGGTTATTATTTAGCTAATAGAGCGAATCGTAAATGGTGCCGTCAGAAAAATCCTGGCTCTGCCCAGTCCCCACACCAATTTCTCCCCGCATCCGGCTGGTCCTGGTGAACTGGTCTCGGTCTTGATCCTTCAGACTCCAATCCATCTAAGCTTTCATATCACAAGCTTGATCTTTTTATTACACTCACAAGAGATGGGATACTCACACTCTAACGCCCAGACAAGGGTACAAGAATATAATGCTGAGGTCAGTATGTACAATGAGGAAACCGGACCCGAAAGACGTGCAGTTTTACGGAATCAGTTCACGGAAACCTGGCCATCAAAACTACGATTCACGGTGCTGGCGTCAAAGTTCGCATTGACCGAACCAGTACCTAATCACCATATTAACGGACCGGAGGCCCCCAGTGTTAGTTGCAGATTCGATAGAGGATGTCGTTCCGAATTCAGCAGATCCCAAAGTAAAAAATACTTTACCAACCGTGTGGCACCGATCCAATATCAGATGTAACACGGTCGGTTTCAAAGAGCAGTGGGTGACTCCAGAAGGAAAGGAGGCGGGGCAGCGTAGGTTCGAAGCGGACTATACCTACCCGGAAACCTAGTCCTCAAGAGCAATGTCCGCCTGAATGTTGCTGATGGAGCATGCACGCGATACCCGGATCGAAATATGCGAATAGAGAACTTCCGATTTGATAAGACAATCATCAAAGTCTCCTCTCCTCATCCTGGGAATTCAATATGCCCTGTATGGATGACCAGGATCTCGATTCTCAATTCTCAACGTCCTCAAATGAACCGGAGGCGAGCAACGATGGCAGCATTGATACCAACATGTCAACCAACGCGACCATCAGGCGCACCGTTGCTATGTCCTGCCACCATCCTTATCGAAGAAGGTCTGGAACGAGAAGTGACCGGGAGTGTTCTTCCACATACTAGCCCCTTCAGCGAGCTAAAAGATTTCTTGGAACCGTGGTTCAAAACCATCGAGGTGGAGAACATGCACCACTCGAATGAGGTCAAGGAGATGTTGATTGCTCTCCATGTGCTAGATAAAGACGGAGTTGGTCCGATTTCAAATGTGACTGTTCAGAATGTCAGACGATATCATACCAAAGGCCAGACAGCAGGTCTGCCGAGCGTAACCACAGTGAGCAGGTTTGCGGGTCCTTGGAGAATATTTGAAGGCCTAGATTAGATCATTGTAGGGCTCTCACGTTAGTGGAGGCAGGAATAGTGGACGTTCATGATGTTGGGGACATTGTTATCGTGAATGATAGGACATATATTGACTCTCTTTGTGGCATCGTCATGGTGGAGACTATGGAGAAAAGTTCCACACAGAATCTCAAGACTTGATGTGCGTAAGAAGGGTAGAGATATTAAACGAGCCGGACTTAGCATTCACGACCAATAATCCAATACATATATACAAAAGAGTGGCCAGTGAGGTTGGTATAATGCCCCCACTGTCGCGTTACTCTGTAATCCTTTAGATGTATAAGATCATGAGATCATGAGACTCTCCAGGGCCCAACACTAAGACAGCGATTTACATTAGCTCAATCGGGACAGCCAAAAGCAAACATGGCATACGGAGTAACGATGAAGAATTTCTTGTGTTCTATTCATCAAGTCACAACCGTGAGTCAGCAGTTACCTCTACTTCAAACAGAAACGGACACGAAGCTACTAATAGGGTTCATCGTCTGCCCCTCATGCTTTTGATGCATGTGAAAGGAGGGGCGCGCACTTTGGCAGCACTCAAGCGCCATGAACATCACAGGATGATGTTCAAGCAACACCATTTACCTATGAACTATACCGGAGTATTCTTCCCTTTCCCGAGGCATACGTGCCACGCTCAAAACTCTTCTGTTACACCGTCGAGCGATCTGGGCATCTAGAATGCATATCCCCGCAATGAAACCCGCAATCTCCTATTTCCCCAGACGCCAGAGCCACGCCAACCTCCACCATCCATGATCGTCGCGAGCTGCCATGTGCTGATCATGTCCCAACTCCCCGAGCCGAAAGGCCGAAGAGCGGACAGGTAAGCTTGGATAGATGCTACCGACAACACGTGAAGATGGGGGTTCAAGCTGACGATAGTATATTTAAATTGGCATGGCGCCTGAACTCTGACGATTGATGTTCGATGCTATTCCACCCGTACCTCTTGACTTTATCCTGTAGCTACCTAGACCTTTAGTAGTAGATTTCTTGGATACAGTCCGATACACAGTCTATCCGATCGCCATCATGGATTCCATTGTACAGTACATTTTGAACCGTTCGAAGCTGGAGATCAGCCATATCAAGATCACCAGAGCTACTAAAGAGTATACCTCCCGATGCATGCCTTCTGTATGAGACTAACACAGCCAATCAGGACATTTTACATGGCCATTGAATGCCGGGTCACGGACACCGGTCCCCTTGGTGCCACGCTGGCCCCGATGACCGTCGACATGGTTGGTCCGAAAGGCGTGTTCGGTCGCGTTGACCTTCCCGAGGTCAAAACCAAATCGTCCGGCACCGATGTGAGCATGCCGGACCAGGAAATCCAGATCATCGACATGGAGGCATACCTAGCCTTCACCGAGTCCATCCTGAAGGACGAGGAGCTGACCGTCACCCTGGACAACGGCAAGGGCGTTGTCAAGGCGCTGATGATGTCGGCGAACATCATCTACCGTAAGGAGGTGCGCATCAAGGGCATGAATGGGCCCAAGAGCGAGTTCGTCTCGGTCACCCCGGATGGCGCGGGTTACAAAGCCGAAGTGAAGGTGCATAATCCCTCGCCAATTGAGATTGACATGGGAACGACCATCTGGGAGGTGCAGACGGAAGATGGGAAGAAGCTGTCGGAACAGAGGGGTCGAGTACACATCAACCGCGGCGAGACGACTTACTCTGTGATTGGGACCATCGAACCAGGTGCAGCGGCTGGATCCGCGGGAAAATTGGTCGGTATTGGCACTGAGGAGGATGCATGGACCAACGAGAGCTTGAAGATCTTATCTGTGCCTTTTGCCCTTCCAGCAGAATATACCAGCCTGGTGAAGGCTTAGAGCGCCAACATCTATTCTGTTTGACAGCGATATACCAAGCATGCAACATATCCGACACTCAGCTTGATCTTGCTCAAATGTCCAGGTAGTCTTGCGGGTGAGCTGCATGCCATTGAGCCTTCAATCTGCTAAGAATGTACACATTATCGTGTTAATGTACCGTAAATGACTCCCACAGGTTCAAGTGGCCACTCTTTGCCTTGCTCTGATCAGGAATCAGTGCTAATTTCCCTAATGCAACTTAAAAATAATAGGACTGCATTGACCTTGAGACAACATAAAATGATGCGACATCGACTGCAATGCTATGAATAATGGTCCATGGAGAGGCATACACCAACAGATAATACTTCAAGCAACGACAGAGCTCAGTCAATTGCCGGAGGTTCTAGTATATTTCCTCTTTTGAGCCATGCCCAACATTCAAGGATGGGAAGGCGCGAGCTCCTTGAGGGGCCAGTAGCGCGATACGTCCGCATCGTGCGTCTCCCCCATTCTCTACATATGCAGAAGGGGCAGCAGATTTGAAGCCAAAATCGAAGTCAGAAAGCCGTGCATTCCCGGTGGATGAGTCGCGACTGGCGAAGACTTGCTCCGTGATCGGTAGACTTTGTTGATAGATCAATGCCCATGCGGCAGCACTTCGGGGCGACAATACGCGGTCCGGACATCCGTCGACTTGAGAAGGTAGATCCAAGACACTCGCTTGACGCAGACTGAGGTTATGTGGGCTCGCCACGTTTGCTTGGGGGGGAGCTGGCAGTGATTGTGCGGGTGACAGATCCAGAGTATCTGCGCCAGATTTGCCATCCATTTTCGAATCGACCACGGCCTTTTCAAATCTAATGTCGGGAATCGGGATCGCAGTACCAGGAGAGTGGGCAGTGGATCGGACTCTATCCACTGCTGATGACGTTGAGTCTGGGAACACAGGTGGAAGCAATTCGAGGTCGGGGTATCGTAGAGCACCACGTGCCGAGACTGAGGAGCGGTGGCCGTGGCCTTGATGTCGGAATTCGTCGCTCTGGGGGCTGAAAATGCGAGCATACTTTTTAAAAATCGATTTGCTAAAGTCTATGCTCCTGCTCTTGGGAAGCCCAATGCCTCTCCTCTGGCGACGAAGCCACAATCTAGGCGTTGAGGAAGGCCGAAAAATGGGTCCGCTCTTCCTCGGCGTCGACTGCTCTACAGCAAAGTCTCGGACAATGACATTGTCGGCAAGGCCAGCGCTCCCAGTACGCTCTTCGCGTGTATGGCTTGGGTACTGCGCCCAAACGCCTAGCGTAGCAGGGTCAATACCCGAGACTTTGATGACGGGCACGTATCCACAAGATGTACGACTGCGAGAGATGTCGTCGTTGTGTGCTAAACCGCCGAGTTGATAAAGCGGCTGCAATGAAGGAAACCGCTTCATGGCTTCGTGCTCAGGGGTTTGCTGAAGCGGACTCAGAGAAAGAGATCTCGCAGATGGAGTATCCACGGCATTCTCAGCAGAGCGAGGGGAGAGGAAGCTATCGATCTTGAAGGACGGAACTCCAGAGACGGAAGGGCTTTCGCGGACACCAAAGGAAGACCGGTTTTCGTGAGTGGGTAGTGTGGAGGCAGAGCGGGATGGAACACGATTGAGCAAAGACGAACTTCGCTCTCGAGGGGCGTAAGGAGACGTCTTGCCTTGGTTCTGGGGTAGAAAGAGGGTAGACTTCTCGTTTTCGTTGGCTTGAACCGCTTTCCTCCACATATCGACCGCTTCGCTCCGTTCAAGGACGGATGGCCGTCGTCCAGAGTTAAGGGTCATTGGGTCGTCGTTGGCTCCGTCATGATAGAGGAACTCTCCGCTTCGAATCTTCTTTTTAGTGACTGTCTGAAGATATCCAACCACAGAGTCTCGTTTGTTCTTCGGATTCGCTTTGTAACAAATAACATCTGGTGGGTCCCAATCAGGCTGAATAGAATCGATCCCGGAGTCTCTGCGAGCAGTGGAGCTGTCTGCACTATTGCAATCCCCCAAACCCATCCAATTGTGCGGCCTCTCCTCGAAAGCCGACTGGTAGATGGTGTTTGGCGACGGGGTTGTCACATCGTGGTTGGGAGTTTCCAACGCCTTGGCCATGAGGGGAGGAATATCGGGAACCGGAGGGATGTCCTCGTCTTTCATCATCTGGCTAGACCTCTGGAGCGGAGTCGTTGGTCGTGATGAAGACACCGACAGCAAATCGTCAGGCTTTGGCGAATCGATGCGGATGCCGGACCCCGATCTAGAAAGGCCAGTCTTGAGGTGGCGACTTGTAGAAGGGCGAGACACGATGCTGAAGCCGGATTTGGTTCGACAAAGTCCGTAAGAGGGACCGACCGCAACTGACGCACTTGACGCTCTAGATGTCGATCGTAAAAGGTTTGAAATTCGCATATGTTGGAGGAGGTGTGATCTCGCTGGTGATCCGGCTCCCTGTGCGGGAGGAGAGGAATCTTCAACCGTCGAATAAGGATATTCTGCGGGCTCCACTGTCCTGCTGCCACCCACCTTGCCATCAAGCACTGCAATAGGTTCCTCCAATTCGATACCTTGAAATGAGACCGTTGGCCCATTGCGATTTTCGCATAGATGTGCCCCGAACATACTCGTCTGGTCATGACCATTGTCATGGGAAGCGATTTCAGCTGGCGACACAGTTTCTCGAGCAGTTGACGCTTCCCATTCGCCCTCTAGGGTAATAGGAGCACCACTAGTTCCATGGTCAGTGCTGCACAACTGTGTGATCAGAACTGGAACTACGAACGGAGAGATATCGCCACAGTCTCGAACTTCCCCTTGAAAATCTGCTTGCACATGGCGAATGGTGACCGGATTGGAAGGAGTTGACACTCGATTTACAACGTCAGAACTCATGATGATCTCCGCATCTGAATCATATCCCCCTTCATCCCTGGACTTGTCCGACAGAAGTTCACATCTGGTAAGTTTTTGCGCTCCCCGAGTGGAATTCTGCGGAGGTGGAGTGCCCTCGGGTTTGGAAAGAGACCGGTGTCGCAGAATGCTTGAGATGGAAGTATTTAGTCCACGCGAGAGGCGTCTCTGTACTTTCCTGGACCGACTAGGCGAGTGGCCATCCTGTTCGCTTGGACTTGACGACCGTGGGGTATGTGGGCCCACCGGAGACTGTCCCAGAGGGTTATCGGGAAGATCCGATAGATTGCTGCTAGCGGGAAGTCGCTGCATTGGGCTCTCTTCCGGGAAGCTCCACGAAGTCCGACTTTCAACAGGCCGATAGTTCGGAAGGGGAGAACAGGACCGGTCTGGAGAGGGGCAGCAGATATCAAGAGACATAGATACAGAACGAGATAGGGACAACGCTGATACGGGACGATATTGGAGTGATGGTGGACTTAAGCAGATAACAACGACACAAATGTACAAGACACGAAGTGGATTGGTGAAAAAGGAAAATAACATGAAGATGGCGGTGTGAGGCCGGAGATGCGAGAGAGAGAGAAGCCACGGCCAAGATGCTGAGATCTGTGGTCGTGCCTTCCTCTCTTGCTCAACGTGGACACTTTCGAGTTCAAGAAGACACATCAGTGTAGATGCAGCAGAGAGGTATAGTATCAGCGTGAGGCATTATACCTCCGCCATCGCCTGCCATCTTGCTGTGACGGCACAGGCATGTTCAGTGCAACTGAGAGGGCTTAACACGAGCAGGAAGAGGGTTGCCATTGTGCAGATGATGATAGCGATGGCGATGACGATATTATTGTTGCCATCCCGGGAGAACAGGAACAGATGAATTCTAGCTGAGGCCATCTCGACTTAGACTCCTCAACGCATCTCCCGGTATGTGCAACACGAGCATGAACTCACGTTGTATTAGCATAACTGAACACAAGAAGAAATCGTTGTTAGGGACTAGTGGAGACCACAAATAACATGAGTACGAATGAAGCATCATGGTAATTAAGTTTAGAGCAGTTGGCAAAGCCAATGACCTGGTTGGTTTCAGCTTGACACGGGCCATAATAAGGCGATTTCGGTCCATATGTATCATGAAGAGCTTGAGCATATGACATCTGTGATCTGATAGCTACTCGCTGCCATGAGCCACCCTGGATCCCAATTCAGGCCCGAATTCATGCCCCCTCGGGCAAGCTTGAAGTCCGGACAGGGGGGAGCTGATATAGCTCATGGATGGCGGTGATGAGGGCATGTCAATTCAGGTACCGGTATTCCCCTCTGTTCTGAATACAGTAGAAAGCACCCGTATCGAGTGGTAGAAGGTAGAATGTAGCTGTAATGAAAATATCCCGTAAAGCGATGGGATTGCCGTTGAGATCGGTGTCCGCAAATCCACGTGTTGTTGCCAAGACGGAACCCGATGTCGGTACACGAAAGATGATTCCGTTTTGTGATTGGCTCCATGGGGTCACACCTACCTGCAGCTCCCTGCAACTGCCGACACGCGGAGAGGGACGGACCAGGGTCGCGCCTTCTATAGCGACACCACTGAGCACACACGCAATTCGATTCCACTTCACACAATAGAAAAGCACACCAGATGCCCCGCCATTTTTTTCTCACCCTCCTCACCTCACATCATTCTACCTAGTTTTTCTCTCATCACCTTTCCATTCCCTGATCTCATCTGAGGACTATATCATCTTGCTATTCCTCCCCTTTCATTCAATTCCCTTCTTGTCAAGTCCTCAAGAACACCTAACCCCTCTTTGCTACACCTCTCCCCATAACTTCCCCGCCTAACCCCGCCAACATGGTTCAATCATCAATTCTCGGCTTCCCCCGTATGGGAGTATTGCGAGACCTCAAGAAGGCCAACGAGGCCTATTGGGCAGGCAAGCTCTCTCGTGACGACCTTTTGGCCGAGGGCAAGAGGCTGCGTTTGGCCCACTGGCAGATTCAGAAGAATGCTGGTGTCGACATCATCCCCAGCAACGACTTCGCCTTCTACGATCATGTCCTAGACCACATCCAGCTCTTCAATGCCATCCCGGAGCGATACTCCAAGCATGGGCTCAACCCGCTTGACGAGCTCTTCGCCATGGGCCGTGGCCACCAAAAGGATGGCATCGATGTTCCATCACTGGTGAGGATCTCTGGAGAAACAGTATGCATATATTTTGCTGACATGACGTGATTTAGGAAATGGTCAAATGGTTTGACTCCAACTACCACTATGTGAAGCCCACCTTCCAAGATGGTCAATCGTTCAAGCTCGGGTCCAACCCAAAGCCCATTGCTGAATTCAACGAGGCCAAGGCGGCTGGCATCGTCACTCGACCAGTCATTCTTGGTCCCGTTTCCTTCCTCCACCTCGGCAAGGCCGATCGTGACCAGAGTGTGAAGCCCATTGAGCTCCTTGAGAAGCTCCTCCCTGTCTACGAGGAACTCCTTGCTGGCCTCAAGGCTGCTGGTGCCGAGACTGTTCAGATCGACGAACCTATCCTAGTTTACGACCTTCCCGCTGAGGTAAAGGGTGCGTTCAAGCCTGCCTACGAGCGCCTCTCCGGTGCCAACCTCCCCAAGCTCGTCTTGGCTACCTACTTCGGTGACATTGTCCACAACATCGAGGTTCTCCCTTCAATTCAGAACCTCCATGGCCTCCACATCGACCTTGTCCGCAACCCTGAACAACTCGATACCGTCATCGGTGCCATTGGCTCGAGCCAAATCCTGTCGTGCGGTGTTGTCGATGGACGTAACATCTGGAAGACGAACTTCAAGCGCGCCATTGAAACCGTCGAAGCTGCCATCCAAAAGCTTGGCAAGGATCGCGTGCTAGTCGCTACCTCCAGCTCTCTGCTCCACGTCCCCCACACTCTGACCAGCGAGAAGAAGCTCGATTCCGAAGTTCGGGACTGGTTCTCTTTCGCAAGCGAAAAGGCCGTTGAGGTCACCATCATTGCTAAGGCCGTCACCGATGGCCCTGCCGCTGTCAGGGACGAGCTCGAGGCCAACGCCAAGTCCATGCAATCCCGTGCCTCCTCCAAGCGCACCAATGACCCCAAAGTCAAGGAGCGACAAGAGAAGGTGACCAAAGAGATGCACGAACGTGCTTCGCAGTTCCCCGAGCGATACGCTCAGCAGCGCGAGCATCTCAAACTCCCCTTGTTCCCGACCACCACCATTGGATCTTTCCCCCAGACCAAGGAGATTCGTATCCAGCGTAACAAGTTTACCAAGGGCGAAATCACCCCTGCGGAGTACGAGAAGTTCATCGAGAAGGAGATCGATGACGTCATCAGAATCCAGGATGAACTTGACCTCGATGTCTTCGTCCACGGAGAGCCAGAGCGCAATGACATGGTTCAATACTTCGGTGAGCGACTCACAGGCTACGTGTTCACCACCCATGCTTGGGTCCAGAGCTATGGCTCTCGCTGCGTCCGCCCCCCGATCATCGTCGGCGATATCTCCCGCCCAGCCTCCATGACCGTCAAGGAATCCAAGTATGCGGCTCAGAACTCCAAGAAGCCAATGAAAGGGATGTTGACGGGGCCTATCACGGACCTGCGATGGTCATTCCCGCGTGACGACGTCCACCAGAGTGTGCAGGCTCAACAGCTTGCCTTGGCCCTCCGCGATGAAGTCATTGATTTGGAGGCTGCCGGGATCTATGTCATCCAAGTCGATGAACCAGCTCTGCGTGAAGGTCTCCCTCTGCGCGCTGGCCCTGAGCGTGAGAAGTACCTTTCCTGGGCTGTGGACGCCTTCAAGCTCGCCTGCGCTGGCGTCAAGGATTCCACTCAAATCCACTCTCACTTCTGCTACTCCGAATTCCAGGACTTCTTCCACGCCATTGCTGCCCTCGATGCCGACGTCCTGTCCATTGAGAACTCCAAGAGCGATGCCAAACTGCTCAAGGTTTTCGTTGACGAGGCTTATCCTCGCCACATCGGCCCTGGTGTCTATGATATCCACTCGCCCCGTATCCCGAGCGAGCAGGAGATCAAGGACCGCATCGAAGAGATGTTGCAGTATGTTCCACTCCACTAATACACCTGTGATGTTGATGCTTACCAGTCTTTAGGTATCTGCGACCCGAGCAGCTCTGGATCAACCCTGATTGCGGTCTGAAGACTCGCCAGTGGACGGAGACGAAGGCTGCCTTGGTCAACATGGTCAACGCTGCCAAGTTCTACCGTGCGAAGTACACCAAGTAGAGCAAGTCTATAGTGGGGGAACAGGCACCGGATTGCATCCGCTGTCGCCTCAACTCATTTCTTCTTCGCATTCTGTCTTAGCATTGCATGAGCAAGGCCATGGGCCAAAAGTTTAGCATTCAACATCTTGCTTAACTGAAAAAGTCAACCACATTTTTATACCACAAGAGCGATCTCAACATCGGCGTTGCTCATCAATCAACCGGACAGAACGGTCTGGGTCGGCGTTTCCATGGCTTTTTCGTCCGAGCAAGTACGCTCGTCATTACCTAGCATAGTCGGCATTCATGCCCTGCAGAACTAATTCAACACTGTGGGGTTGTATCAACTTGCCTCTGCAGAGTGGATGCGCCTCTGGCTATTCCATAATGAACAAACATTCTGACAAACATTGGAGACATTCTGATGTCCATCTGTCCGTGTTTGTGTCCGCCATGAGTCTTTTGGTCCCCCAAAAGGGACGATATCAATAGTCGTGACCCATAGCTCCAGAGCTTCAAACCCAGCCGTAGTCGGATTTGACTTATCACCTCTAGAGTGACAATAGTGCAATATTGACGATTGCTCTGATTTAGGTCGGCTTGTGAATTCCATGAAAGCTTCAACAGCACGACTCACGCTCAAAGCGTGGCCTATCAGACATAATTCATAATACACAAAGTAATACAGGTCCTGTCGTTTGCCACAGGGTCTCCAAAACGGGCGGCGGGGGCGCCCAAAAATAGGCGGTAGGGGTGTCTAGAATCGGTGGAGGTGGATCAACAGTAATTCCTGTTAGAACATGATTTCAAAATAAACCAATCAGAGCGCAGAATATTTACGACACGTGGTCGAGGCACGAAAAAAAGGGTATACAGCGTTTCAGGGGATGGGATAGATGTCCCATACATATTAGATCAAATGACTTCTTGCAATGGTATCTAACTGACGTGGTATATAGAGCTGCGCGACGGGAAATGCTTTGATGAATGAAATAAAGCAATTCGAATTAATTCCACCCCTGGAATATGGGAATACTGGAAGGAACCCCTGAACCGCTAGGGATGATCTTCTCAACTAGAAGGATAGGTCATCGTGTTCTCCTTGTTCGAGTACTGAGAAGCACCCTCCTTCTCGCGCAGCTCGGTCTCCTTATCCTGCTGGATAATGTCACAGCAGCCGCAGCAGCATGCCGCAGCAATGTCGGTCAAACAGGCGCCCTCTAAGTTGTACTTCTGCCGAATACCGGATCGCTGAAGCGCCGCCATCACCCAGTGGAGGGCGACGAAGCTGCTCAGGCAGTAACCGATGCACTAAATCGATCAGTAACAGTTCAAGTGTTGCAGGTAGAGCGGGATGGGGTTCAACTTACAGAGGTGTTGATGGCTTCATAACCTTGCATACTAGGGTCCTTCCGAACACGATGATGGACCTTCCCGAAGGTAACGCAAGGGAGACAGCAGGTGATCGCACACGTATCGATAGGATTGAGGCAACCGAAGAACGAGGAGTTCCACGGGCGGGCTCCGGCGGGAGAAGGGGCCGTGAGCTTGCTGGTATCGGCCAAGGCCGCGTTGAATTGGTTCTTCCAATCTTCGACATCATTCTGGTCGATCGCCGACTTGGCCGGAGCAGGAGCGGGAGCAGCCATCTTGAAAAGGTAAAACGGGGTGAGGGAGTGGAGTTGGAAGGAAGTATAATAAGATTGAAATCGAAGAAAGCGAAGTGTCAGGAAGAGAACTCAAGGAGTGTGATGAACGGCAATAATATTAACAGAAGTCATTTGAAGGAGGAAAACGATGGTGATGCCAGGACATTTATGTGGTCAGCCCAACGCTCAAGAGGTGCACCCCTGGACCACACGAAGAAAGGCATCCCGCATACAAAATTTCACAACGGCTATTATTGTACAGTATTCCATACGGGCGTGTTCTGTATGGCTCCCTGCAAAAGCGCTCATCATAACTTTAGGGGTCCCACTTTATACCGTAAAAGTCGGGGTTTTCGGGGAGGCGCCAGTTCATCAGCGCACCAAAGCGGCCAAGTCGAGCCACGAGAAGCGATATATGGACCGTGCCGGCGTGTCCAAATGTCGTCCACCAGACGAAGGCCTATAGCTGTCGCTCGCAGCTCCTTGAGAATTTGGATTCTTTATTCAGAAAATCACAGATGCGGCCTGGACAATCGAGACCGCCAATCACCCTAAGGAAGGAAGGGATTGGCTTTGAATGTGTGCCGTGGATTATGATAGGTATGTGTTATTCCTAGTTAGCCAGCAAAGAACAAACAACTGACCGGTGGTCTGGATCAGCCCGATCAGGCCAAGCTGCAAATGGCTGAGCGCTTAAATGCTTGAGCCCATCACCCCTGCCGCAGCTATGGCTTGAGCCCATGAGATGGAATATGCCGAAGAGCAAAATTTCGACTGTTGAGTGTTGACTCAGTGATTCGCGGTTTCAATGAGGGTATTAGCGTGGTAGGGCCAAACGAAAAATTGAAAATCAGGGAAAGCATGTTGACATTTGGAGCCAAGAACTGGAAGAACACGAGATGCGAAATGAGGCGCTCGTATTTCCTTACATGCTGAGAGGTTGGAGGTTCATTTAAAGCGGTGGAAATTGCATGAGCCATGGACCGATCCCGCTTGGAGATAGCGTCGTGTCCCACAGCCCGCAATTCCCGCAACCGACCAGGTATGTATGCGTGCAAACTGCAAAGTAAAAATATCTGCGATCAGCGATGTTCCAAACAGAGTGATAGACAGTCAGGGGACTTCGGGACTCAGGACTCAGTACTCACTACTCAGGGGATAGGAGTTGACTGACGATCGAGAATTGAGTCAGCCTCGTGCTTTCAGCTTTGGCTCAATTGCGGTCTGTTCATCGGCTTGTGAAGTTGGGCAGCGCTAGACTACTAGGTATTCACGTGTTAGTTAACGTGTCTAGAAACTATCGGCGCGTCGCCGACATCCCGAATGAGGGAATGAAACACGAAAGATGAAAAAGGTTGGGGAAAAGGAGTTCGGCACTTTCGCTCGTTCGTATCCCGCCATGGAGTTGGGTGGAGAGGAACACCGCCAAGCTGCACCGGGTTTCCGCTCCGTTGATTACATCACAGCGTGCTCGAATTTCAATTTGAACATCATCAGTAAATAGACTAGCCTCTTTCGACCTGCGTCTACCCATGATCAGGAGTTAACTGTTGAAATCAAGACCTGTTATGGTAGCCTGAAGAGTAGTCAAATGCACGAGCATCGCTAAATAGACATTGACAACAATGACAAACACAGACATGCGTAGCCGTCTCTCCACCACGACCTCCCTCCTTCAGCATCTCGAATCGACGCTTCAAACGTTCCTCTCCTCCGGTTCAAGGTTCCGCGTGGTCCGCACCATCTCCCCGTCTGCTGGCGGCAGCGTTCCTCCAACTCGACCGTCTCCTGCTCTTTCCAGCCTGTACATCCTCGACTCGTCGTTCAATCCCCCAACCCTCGCACACTCCGCGCTCGCCCGCGTAGCGTGGTCGCATGATGCTTCCAGGGCACCGGCAACGGCGCCCTCGAGGAGTGGTGTTGACGAAAGTGCATCGGAGCAGCGAAGGCTGGTGTTACTATTCAGCACAGCGAATGCGGACAAGGTGGCAGACCCCTCAGCATATGTGAATCGGTTGGCGATGGTACATCTCTTTGCATTGGAGCTATCAGATTCTTTAAATAGAAGAGGAAAACAGTCTATAGGACAGGATACCATCCCGAGCGGTCTAAAAGCAGAGGATGACGCTGAACCTTCAGCCAACACTCCTCCCGGATCCGGCCCCATCGACATAGACATCGCCCTCACCTCCACCGCATTCTATTCCGACAAAGCCGCCGCAATCTCTAGTACCAGCACGCCCGTCTACCCTCCCCAAACCCGCCAGATATATCTCCTTGGGTATGACACCTTCACTCGCTTCCTATCGCCCAAGTACTACTCCTCCCATGAGCCGCCGCTGTCGGCGCTCGACTCGTTCTTTGCGAGTGGGTGCGAGCTATGCGTGATGATGCGGCCAGACGGGAGCGAGAGTGCGAGGGAGGAGCAAGCGGGATATCTGGCGAGGTTGAGGGATGGCATGTTGAACGATGTCGGCTTTAGAGCAGAGTGGTCGGAGAAGATTGAGATGGTGGAGGCAGAGAAAGATGCGGTTGGTGTGAGTTCAACGGTGGTGAGGGAGGCCGTGGCAGACGGAAGACATGACGACCTGCAAAGATTGTGCTTTCCCAGTGTTGCGAGGTGGATAGAAGAGCATGGATTGTATAAGAGGTGAGGATGGAGACTAGCACATCCGGTTTGGACGGAATTTGATTATCCGCCAGGGGGAGCCGCCAAGCATGCTACGAGGTGCGGAAAGGGCCGTGAAATCGAAGCAATCTGGATCTGCCGCCGTTGTTAGCTTTTCTTTCTCAAGGAAGGATTCAAGTAACCTGTGCGCCCCAAGACGTATACGGGGAGGTAGACATGGAATATACGGCGGTTGAGCATGAGCTACAACTTACACTGAATCAAACCCCGTATGCCAGGCCACCGAAGACCCCTGGCGCCGGAGCCGACCACCCAGGGGGGCGGGACCCCCCGAAGAACCACACCGAACAGCAGGAGCCCGAGCCCCACGACGGGACTCGCCCAGCTCAGAGGATCATGATGACTACTCTTGGGAAGCGGCTTGGTCTTCGGGAGTACTCCGATGCGAACACCGAGCATACTTCTGACCCTGACTCTACGTACGAAAACCTAGAAGACGATTCAGGTGATCGCAACCACCAGGATAACTGATAATCGCGAGATAGATAGTTCAACGGCAAGATTGACGAGACTAGCGGTTCTACCAAATTCATGAGAGCACAAGATCTGCAGTTCCGTCATTATGGTGCCATGCCACATGCTATATCGGGATGTGTGATTAAAGGGAAACGAGATCAGTAGAGTTCTGTTCTGGTGGTACTACAGAATATTCTAGTATATGACGGGTAGTTCCTGATCTCCTTGTTTTCTGTGGGCTCCGTCATCATCATCACGTATAATTCCTTTATATTGCTTTCATGTTCACTTCAGTTTGCTTTCTTTTACTTTGCTTTATACTTGCTTTATGTTTCTCCTCAATGTTACTTCGAACGTAAAACCTTCTTCCTTTTACTTCCTCATCATCTACCCTTACTATACATGTCCTCACCTTATACCACCGTCTTCAACTCCCAAGTCCTAAACTCTGAAAGCGCGATTCAGTGCTAACTTATAACTGATTACTATAATGAGCCCACGGAGGGAATTTCGTTCTCAACGCGCCTAGAGACTCTAATATCACAGTTTCTACAGCGTTTAAGTGTCCCTTACGGATACCCCGTCACTGGAGCTTCAATCCAGTGCCTGCAATTCCCGTTTCCCTTCGCACAATTTCGATATACAGGTCAGTGAGACGATTTCCACGGTATTCTACCAGGGCAAGCTTCAACAAAGTCTCCAAGGGAAAAACGAACTTCGGGACAAGATGTTCGACTGGATCAAGAGCAATTGCCATCCTCTTTCTGCCTACACGGTTGTGCACACTGCCCTCTTCCACGTCAGACACAGCTACCGATGTCGGCGAGGCCTTTAGCTACAACATGGGTTTCTTGCGTCTTGGAATGTACCTGATCAAACTTTTAGTCTTCGGTGAAAGCATGCGGCGTCCCATGATACCGATCTTCGAATGGGAGGCTTCTTAGACGAGCATTTTCATAGATTCGATCTTCAAATGGGCGGTCCCGCGAAGGCGAAGAACATTTTCATTTGGTTCCGTATGCCGCACAGCGAGACTGCTACTTAACTGCGAATTATCTCTTAGCGTTGAAGTATCTTTTCGCGAATCTCTGCGATATCAGAGTCCAGACCATCGATGGCTTTCAAGAGGTGGAGGGTTATGTTGTCATTGCCAATACTGTGATCACTGGTGCGGTCAAGTTCATGGGCGACAGTGGACGGTCTTACATCTTCTCCTCCCAAGTGACCGCAGCCTGGATTCTATGTTGGCGTTATCATAGACAGAAGGATTCGACCGTCAAATGGGCTGCTTCACAGAATTGTAGAGTAGCAACATTTTCAAAAAGCTTGCTTTGTCGTTCGTGATAGTTGAAGTCAAATGAAACTAAGCACCTAGTGTGATTACAACCAGTCTCGAGAAATAGACTAATAGTGTATCGCACTGGGAATTTCTGCATATGTTAACCCACATTATTATTGACAAAGATATATATATATTAACAGCTGACCTGCCGTGCCGATGACAGCAATAGTAGTGCAACGATAAGTCCGTAGATTGCTGAGGTGGTCAGTTAGAGTCCCAAGCCTGCCCTCAATACGAAAGCAAACTTACCCAGAACTTCCGCAAAGATGAGAATCATGACCATTCCGACGTATAGTCGTGGCTGCTGCACACACGCCCGGGCTCCTGCATCGCCCACAATACCCAAGGAGAATCCTGCAGCCAATCCTGCGATGCCCACTGACAAGCCGGCGCCCAGCTGGATGAACCCCTTGAAGATGTGATGTTCCGCTTTTAGGTCATTGATGATCATGATGGACACGATCACGCCGTAGATGCCGAGGACGCCGGATAGGATAACCGGTATGCTATCTATACCCGCCTCAGTGATGATTTTCGGAAGAGGGGCCAGCTGTCTCGCCTACTTTTGATGACCTGGTCAGGCCTGAGGATGCCGGAGTGCATCACGCCGACTCCGGCTTTGGCTGTGCCATAAGAAGCACCCAGGCATGTCAAGCATATCGATGCCGCAACGCCCATAGCACCGAAGAACGGCTGTGAAGGTGTTAACACTCAGTTCGGATCGATGCCAGTCGAATTGGAGGAATTAGGCCGGCCCGGGGTCTCGTACGCTGTAAACAGGACTATATTTCCGTATCGTCAGCCCACAGAAGCTTCTTCTAAGAGTACTAAAGAAAATATTGGCCCTTACCAGGCATCTGAAGAATACATTGGATGTAAACGTTTGGTTTTCCGATGTTCAGTGGCAATGGCAGCATGGAAGTAAATGATCAGTGTGCAGCGAACAGCATAGAGATACTGGGGATGTCACTTAAATATAAACTCAATGACCAAGAATAGAATTTAACGTCGAAGTGGCTTGCTGAGGGAACGGAATGAAAGGGGCCGGTATCTCGAAATGCTGCTGCCTGGAGTCGACTCGGTCCATGAGACACAAGACTCGCAGCATTGCGTCACTTAAATCCGCGAACAAGAGCAATTATATTTTATAGAGCTTGATAAGTGGAAAAAGAAGGTAGCCCATATGAGGGCTGTTGTTATTGCTCGGGATGGATTTGTTTGAAGTGGATGGAGGCAATATGTCTGGCTCCTTTGGTCCTCTCCCGCAAAGAACCTAAAGTAATTATAGCTTAGAATCAGTGTAATCAACCGGAGAGTGGACTGAATTAATGGTGAAGTACATCCCCAGGGCTTTTAAAAATCATCAATCATTCCCTTGCGTTATTTTCATATAACGTTATGGTTTGAGAGAGAGAGAATGCCGTTTAGATGTTGTGCGGCGGTCCAGACTTCCTTCCTCAGGACATGCGTCACTTTTGCGCCCTTAAAAATCCAGAGTAACGAATATTAGCCTTGGTCAAAACCGTCGCTCATCAACAAGTAGAAATTTTACACATCAGTCATCTTTCTTACGGTATATAATACAAGTATTGCCCCAAGATCTATGCATGATCGCAGCCTGTGTGTACTGCTTCGGTCCATTTCGCCAATTCCCCCAACCATCCAAAGAAACTCCTTGCAATGCCCATGAACAGTGATCAAGCATAATCATCCTCATTTTCCTTTTCTTGGCCCTCGACGACCAGGTCTACCTGTTTGACGGGATGCAGCAGCATTGCCGGAAGGCACATGCGTCCCTCATTAAGAACCTCCCATTCCTCCCCGCCGTCGTTGTCGACCTTGTACCCTAACCAGCGTTTCCAGAGGTTCGGAGCGAAACCCGCGTGGTAATACCAAGTGGTACCAAGGAAGTTGTGCTGCCGTTCATCGGAGAAGACGCTGGGTCGCGCGCCACCCGAAGCCCCATTCCTCCCGCCATTAAATATCGCGGCCAGATAGTCGGTCGGCCATTGCCGGTCGACGAAGACGGGATGCGGAGCGTACACAGCCTTGAATCCATGATGGAGCGCGCATGTTCCCGGCCACATCTCGGAGAACATGGTATGCCGCTTGAGAGCGGTTTCGCGGTGCATCGTTTCCAAGAGGCGCCGCGACATGCGACTGGACGTATTGATCGCTGTGCGACGAGGAGGGAGCCCATGAGTCTTGTTGTAGCCCGTCACGTCGTCCGCAAGAATCCAATTCGTTCCAGCCGGGTCGAAGAGCGGATTGAAGACAATGAGGTCGGCCTCTTCGCCAACGCCCCATTCGTGTTTGTCATCTTTGATCGATTGGGGAGGAAAAGGGTCATTCTGCGTCTCCAGCACGTCATCCAGTGGAGGATCCGCTCCCCAGATCGGCTTCTCCGCTTGCTGCTGTGGTTGCGCATATGCAGGCAGGTTCGGATTCTTCGCAGCAAGTTCGGTCCAGATGTTGCTCTTGGTACTGGTTCCATGCTCGGTCTGGACTCGAACGAGATGTTTGAAATCTTCCCAGGAACCATGTTCACTCGGAACATAAAAGCGCGAATTTCTCTCCCATAGACCTTTCCGCGGCTGCTGGGCCGCCCATTGGCTGACCTTGTCGAAGAGGTGGTAGAAGTGCCCGGTATACCGGACGTCCATCTCCCAGTGCCAGATGTAGTCGTACTCCGGGTGACGGTGGGAGAAATACTGTACCGGCATGAATGAGCTCCGGTACGCTCCATAGACAGGCAAGCCCCTGTACATGCTCTCCTCCAAGCCACCATAGATAAGTGACATCTGGCGCTCCGACCACAGAGTTCCCATCCCGCGAAACTCCGGGGGAAGTGCACTGTCCAGGACGCTTTGGTAAGTCTCCTCATCCGCCCAGATCTGTTTGTCGTCGTCTTTGACGTGGATTAGGAAATGGACCTCGTACTCCCCGCCCGAAAGAAGCGAAAGCTCTGCAACCAGCGCTCTCAAGAATAAAAGGTCTTCGTCATCGTATTCGTAGTTGTGCCATGTTCTCAGAAGAAGAGCTGTGCGGGGTAGTCGCTTGTTTACAGCGGTCGTCGATGTGGAGGCCTGGGATTCGGCTGGAATGGAAGTCGGAGGAAACGCCAGTCCATGTTCGCTAGAGTCGGCATCGAAGCCGGCATCAGATTCGCTGGACTCCCGTTGTGTTTCTCGCTTTTCGTTGTGCACTCCCAAACCCTCTGCATTCGGTGGATGTGCGACTAACATCTGGTCCACGTTGTTTTGACTAGGTATGGTCCCGTTAAATCGGTGCCTGTTGGCTTCCGAACACCGCCTTTGGGCATCGGCCCAATTGACTTTCCTGAAGTCAACTTCCGGCTCTTCCGCCCACACATCATCAGCTCCGTCCCGATCGCCACCCAAGGCAGAGCCACTTCCTCCTGCATGTCGAGGATATCCAAGTCCATATGGTCCAAGCCTCCCAAATCGTTCAAAACAAATGTCGTCTCGTAATCCCAACATCGAGTACGAGCCCATGACGTTTTCGGGCATTCCCTTGGGCACCCCAGGGTAAGCAAGCAACTGAGGTATTCGAATGGTGTTTGCGGAATCGAGAAAACACTCCGCAACTTCGGTATACTCGTCCTTGTACGCCTGTGAGCTGTAGTTCGGAAAAGGTGAGAACTTCTGCGCTTTCGGGAGTGCAGTATCCCCTCTCTCCTCTTTTTCATCTCTTTTCTGGCCCACAGGCTTCTCCAATATCACCACAGTATGGTTCCCTGGATATTCGGGCCGATTTTCGGATCGCGGAACGAGTGTTCGGATTCCCCCATGATACCTCGTTAGGAACGGGAATGCCTCCCATGCATGGGGGCCAGCAGGCCGGCCAAACCCTTTATACACGGATTTTGCCGATGCCCAACTCTGTCGCACAAGCGTGAGGATGAAGATAATGACTATCGACAGGAGGACCAGCGTGAAGTAGCGAGCGTATCGCCGGGGCGGTCGATAGGAGTAGGCTTTCGCTTTCCGCGCGGACGAGCCTGAAACATGGCGAAGCATCCCTTGATAAGATGAGGAGGTGGCGCGCGAGGAGTATGCCGAAGTGGAGGTCGGGGATTCCAGATAATCGGATTCATCGAGGGCTTTCTCATCGTCGTAGTAATCGTCGGGTTCTGTGGCGATGGAGGTGTAGGCTTTGAATTTGCGCTTCGCTACCCGTAATGGGCTGAAGCTACTGCCAGGGGCAGACATGTGTCGGAGTCTCGTCTGGGTTTGGATGTCTAATTCGCGATTGACACGTGGGAAGAGACCGAATTCGCAACTTCCTTGAAAGAGTTTACAATCGTTGACGAATGTATTGGAACAGGACTTTGAATTTAATCGAGGTAAAGACAAGAATACAAAGGGGTCCTTTGCTCAGAAAGCATATTTACATGAGCATTAAGGGAAGAAAGTGCATGAATGTCAAAGAGGATGTTGTACTTCAGTCCAATATCAATAGCAACAATTGCACATCAACGAAGCGATCAATCCTGTTCATTGTTTGCGCCAAGCAACTCGTCACAACAGCCCGGGTGGCCCACTATCACCAAGTCAACCAGACCAGAGGTGCAGGCCGTACCGCCGTAGGGGATGGGTTTCACGTGACAGCTCTGTTCCATCCTGCTTACTCATCCCAAATTGTAGCCTGTAAATCTGTAAGGACGGACTAAGGACGGGTGGGGGTGCACGTGATGTCCTATCTTTCTGATTGACACCTCAGGCAGCAAGGTGTCAACATCAGCACGCGCAGCCCAGCATTTCGCGCGCAACGTTATGCTGACGTTGGGGGTTGAGCGTTGCTGCGTGGCTTCAAATTGTAAACTCCATGTTGAAGGTCCATCTTGATTACATCTATGTCAACCGCGTATCCTTCAAGGCTTCAACACACTTCGGCTTATGCCCACTTCGAATTGCTTTTGATTGACGACTCTGACCATCCAACAAAATGAATATCTTCCGACTCTTTGGTATGTCCCATCCCTTTGAATGCGCTCCGGAGATGTTGAAGCTAACCATTCACTTAAGCGGATTTGTCACATCTGGTGTCAATCCTGATCCTGCTACAGAAGATGAAATCTTCAAGTGTCAGTTCATTCCTGGTTGCCGAAATGTGTTTCTGAACTAAACCATATGTGCCGACAGAGCGCCTCAGGAATCTCCTTCAAATCGCAATTCCTATACTTCCTCGTTTACGTGACGCGATACATCGACTTGCTATGGACATTCTATAAGCCGGAGAGCTTGTACAACACCGTGTTCAAAATCATCTTCATCGCGACCTCCGCGTACACGATCTACTTGATGTTGAACGACTACAAACCGACCCACGATCCGAATCTAGACACGTTTAGGGTGGAATATCTCTTAGCAGGGAGCTTGCTGCTGGCTGTCATTTTCCCCTACAAGTACAATTTTACGGAGGTACGTCACATCCAAGAAGCATAATCCGGGCGGAACAAGACGTTGACGCTTTGACAGATCTTCTGGGCCTTTTCCATCTGGCTAGAAGCGGTTGCGATCTTGCCTCAACTTTTCATGCTACAACGAACCGGGGAAGCCGAGACAATCACAACCCATTACTTGTTCGCGCTCGGGATCTACAGGGCTCTGTACATCCCCAACTGGATCTACCGATATACGATGGAGACCCCTCCGTACAGCGATCCTATCGCCGTCCTCGCCGGAATCGTCCAGACCATCCTTTACTCGGACTTCTTCTGGATCTACTATACCAAGTCAGTGTTCGTATCCTGACTTCTGCCCCTCTACTAACGCTTCTGAAGGGTCATGCAAGGGAAGAAGTTCAACCTTCCCGTTTGAGCGGAAACCCTCCTTGTGCCATCGATTCAGGCACAATGCGATCCGGTCGTCCATCCACATGTGCTGGGATGGATGCTCAACTCCCACGGGTGCATCTCGTGCATTGACGGATTGATCGAGGTACCTAAACAGTAAGTTTGGGGGATTGGCGTTCTGGAGGCGGTTCTCGAACACGAATCTGGAAGTCTCTATAGACCTGGCAGGCCATGGCGACGAGTAATGAGAAGTGCTATTTACGGTCAATACACGGGCAAAGGCTTCACCGTGGGAGGATGTGCTGTACAAATAGCAAATATACCAGGTGGCATGGAGTAAGCTCTGAATGATCTAAGCATGAACTCCGGATCCGTCGTCTTCTATGCCGCATACGTCACTATCCAGCCACTTCCAGGCAAAGAACTTCCAATTTAACTCTTGGTGCCAAAATAGGCCGTAACCAAGGGAGTTGGAGTCCTTTCCTTTCGATGTTGTTAGCGCGCCTGTGAGGGGTAGTTCCCGTCGGAACACGCAAGACGCGAATCGGCCATGAAGAATGGCCATCGAACACATGACGCACGGTTCGTGGGTCAGATATATCTCCAAGTTCAAACAGAGGTACCCGCGCGGGGCAATATTGTCCAAAGCGAAGAACTTGCTTTCCAACTCGTTGAGCGGGAGATCCATGTACGCACTCTGCTCCTCTGCCGATTGCTCCCCAGCTCCCTGAACATCTTCATCCACCCGCAAGCGTTTCCGGGCGACCATGCCCATCGCTCTCATGACGGCGTGGGCCATGACATTCCCCGCGCACGAATTCGCGGAACCCACACCGCCATACCGGGCATCACCGGCCACGGAAACCACCTCCGCAATCCCATCCTTCCGTCGCTCGACGACGACGCATCCGACAGACGGACCGGAATTGGAAGCGTGGCATGCTTGCGCCGCACGCTCCGCCAGGGCGAGAAACCGGGGCGCATCCGCATCGACGATCGCGGTGCTTTGGCTGAGTATTTTCGGATGCGGCCCGTACGGATTCGTGTTCTTGTAGACACACGGCCAGAAATGTTCAGACCATCCAGCCGCCTGTGCGGCGGAGATGGGCGTGCTTCGCGGGATAGTCGACGTCAGAACAACCGGGGGGGAGGGCGTTGCCGGTGGACGCTTTTCATTGCCGTCGACGTGCGCGTTCAGAGATGACAGAACTTCTAACAGCGAACTTAACGCGGTGCTTGCGGGGACAGCCAAGAGGTATATGTATCCAGCCGCGGCAGGCGGTGCGTCTGGACTGACTTCTTCTCGCTCGTCCGGGATCAGCGCTTCAAAGCGCGACCGCAATTGAGCGGGGAGTAACGTGAATTTGGTATAACCTCTGAGATGTGCGAGCTCGAGATCTCGCGATGCGGGAAAGGTCTCCTTTATGAGCGCAACGACATCAGTGGCTCTTCGTGGGTTGACCGCGACGACGTGAACATCAACTGGTTGATCAATTAGCCAATATCTATTAAAGTCCGATACATATAGCCACAAACTCAAATCGGTTTCCGCTTCTAGTTCTCCTTTAGTTTTTAAAGGGACCAATTTTCCGCTGAGAGGCTTAATATCCAGGTCCTCTATGAGTTGCGTGCTGATACTGCTAGCCATATCGCTCCGGCTACCACTATGTACCGACTCTATAACCCATCCATTCCGTAGGGATTATTCCCAAGCGACAGATGTGCTGGATGCAATTCTGCACATCTTCAAGACCGATATTTCATGTTACGGGAGACCTACCAAAAGTCCGTCAGCCAAAATATTAGATTGATATCATGATGTGAAGATCTAGAGCAGGCCACAAGGCCACAAGGCCACGCATCTGATCTCCCCCGGCACCTCGGCATCCATGTGCTTTATAGCATCATAAGCCATACGACACCTGTCCAGCCCTCTTCAATACGATCGTGTCTCTGACATCTCCATACGCGTCGCTGCGAATCACCTCCGATCCAAAGCCATCCATTTATCGAGTGCTTCCCACCGGAGAGGAAGTCACCATGGATGCGCATAAGTTCGCCTCCAAGGGGGTTCCAGAGGCCCTATCACTCCCCCCCAAATGGCTGGGAATGTACAGTGATTTCATTCTGAAGAATGCCAGCGCGGTCAGCCAGATAGAGAGTGCGCTGCGATCGTTAACATATATAATACCGGGTATGGACCTCCTATCCGAAGCCTATGGCCTACCGTATTCTAACAGTGTTAGGTCGATTCCGCGAATCTGAAATCGCATCCGAGTCCTGTAGGCGATTATCCATGTGTCAGCTTCCAGCATCAACTAACAGCAATTCAGTACATTCTGGTGTCCAACTCCTCTCCCTATACCATGACTCCCTCCTTTCAAAAGCCATCTCACGTCTTCCGCTTCCCCAACGGCCCCATCCTTCTCCACATAACCGCTACACGAAGTTCTGGTCACAACGATCCCCGTTCTATCGCCGCCTTGCCCTCACGCTGCAGATGATTCAATACACGGAATTACTGTGGGAAATGGCCGCCAAACGCAAGGGAGAAAAGGTCCGATGGCGCGTGGTGGTCTTCCTCGAAGCCATCAAAGCCCTCTGCCGGCTCCTCTTACTCCGCCTCACCAATTCACGACCGCTGTTAAGCCCGCCTCTCCCCGAACGCGAAGTCGACCCCGCCACAGTCGAGGAGAGTGCTCGTGCAGCGAGCGCGGAGGAGCGGGGTGAGCCTCTTATCCCTCCCCCGGACCTGAATGATGGCTCGCAGACACCCCCATCGGAACGCTCCGAGGCGCCCTCAGATGCCGGATGGACGATGCCGCGGACGGGTCTGTCCATGCCAAGCCTGCCTGACACGAGCGATATTTCGAGCTACCTCCTCAGCAAGGTGCTGACGGCGGATGACATCAAGCCTCCCAAGGCGCTGTTGCATCGCGTTTCGGGCAAGGGTGAGATCGCGGAGATCTTGTACATCCTGCGACCAGTGGTATATGCATTCGCTATGCAGAGATGGGGCCGCGACAAGAAGAACTGGACTCCTTGGCTGCTAGGTCTCAGCATCGAGTATGGCGCTCGACAACTCGCAAAGAATGATTTCCAGGAGCGCTTGGCTGGCGGGCTGCGGGGATTGACGGTTTTAGAACGAGAGGAACTCCGCAAGCGAGGATGGAATCTGGGTTGGTGGATGATGCGCGGTGCCTTCTACGAGAACATCACCAAGTGAGTGCTCTCCCCGTCGGCGTATTTGCTCCCATATCTAACCTGCATCTAGGGGATGGATCCACACAGTATCGCAAAAGCTACAAAACAAGCCTTTACTAGGCTTGGTAGGCGGTATCATCGAGGATTACGAATTCCTTTGGGATCAGCACTATTTCCCCACAGCAACGCTGTGAGAGTCCACTCATTTACAATTTCCTTTGCAATATTCGGTCGAGAGCAGCATTGGCTTGGTCACGGCGCAGTTCTTGACATATACCCAGGTCACTTGAGGGTTAACGATGGAAGTGTTCGGTTAACAGACGCTGTTTGATGCAATAGACGGAACATGCGCCATTGTACACTATATATTAACTATGTGGGAATCATCTTTTCCGAGGAAATTGTTGGAACATTTAGTGGTTAGGGATGAGGCCTTCGCGATTCATGGGCTAGGGGCGTACGGTATATGTACTAATTACGCTACAACCACTTCTCATATGAAGTGAAAGAACTATAGTGATCTTGAGACATACGTCCGTTACGATCTGAGCATTAAAGTTCTAGTAAAATTGAGTGAACGTCGAGCCTTCGTGACGAATTCATGAGCTGGAGGTTTTAAGGTCACGTAGTTCGAATTTCGGCTTCACACACCATGGGCCGCAAGAAAAAATCTTTTGAGTAGTTCAGCTTCGGACTGAGTATATGATCTAAGATACCATCGAGTCGATGCAGTATCTGGAGCAGTGTCTATGATTTAGGGCCACCCGAAAACATCCCCAACGCTCATCATACTCCATCTTGTGCCTCCTACGGCGATAATAGCGCCAACAAATTCCACCACTAGAAGCACAATTGCGCCCATTATAAACCGGGGGCTGAATATGCGGTATAACATCAAATGTCTCCGTAACCAAGCAGCCCACACTGTGGTAGCCAGGCCGATGGTCGCGTAAACAAGGACATGGATTACCATCGCCTTCGCGACCTGTCCTAGAAGTCCCTTCGTCTTCACAGGCTGCTTCCACAGCACAACCGCCGGAACGGCAATCGAACACAGGATCTGCGCCCCGAAACTGTTCAGAACCACCAACACCGGGCTCCACGGATACCGCACCGATCGGAGCGGGACGAAGGCGGAGTCCCACTGGATGCTGGTGAGCGTGGCTTGGTGGCCGGTCTTGAAGAAATAGAATGACCCGATGAACGCGAGGACGACCGGCCCGATAGAGGATGTTTGTTGGCCGGTGCAGGCCAGTACTTCCATGAGGCAGAGGATCTGCCATAGGCAAAGCGCAAGCGCGCCGGAACCCATGGGCTTGTACAAGAGAAGGAGAGTCAGCACCCAGATTGTGACAAGGAGGAAATAGCGTGTGCCGTGGAGATTGGAATATCCATGTATGACGATGGGTGCTTGCTTCGGATTCTCGTCCGACTCGGTGGGTTTTACATTCCCTGGGGTTGTCGGAGGCTTTTGAATCGAGCCCGTGGCCTCCGGACTCTTCGTGGCCGCTCGTGCTGGTGTATTTGATATGCTCAAGAATGGTTCGCACCAACTAAACGTTGAGTATCCAGCCGGTAGAGCAATCACCAATGCTATTTGAGCTATCACCATCTTAACCGTCTTGAGTCGAGCTTTGTCCCAGTCCAGCCAGTCCTTGTCATCGGCAATATCGAGACTCCAGAATAATGCGCATATGAGAAGACCAATGCGGAACGCCACCCCGATCCATAGAACTGCCGATCCATGGTACGAACCTGTAGCTTTGAAATGACTTTTAACAATCTCTGGAAGGACGATCGCCGTGACGAAGGGGATTAGAAGTTGCCATGCCGCTGAAGTAGACGAAGTAGCCGATGCATAGAACGTGGTTTTACAATATGGCATCTGCTCTTCTCTACAGAGCATGGACAATGAAGCAATGCGAGTCAGGACAACGAAGAGAATGGAGTAGTAACACCCGAAGGTTCGTTTCGCGACATCGCGCTGTCGCATCGAGGATCCAAACATCATGACGCCGAACGACGCAAGGAACATCAGCAAAATCCGGTCCTCCCAGATAGTGAACGAATTGGAAGCGAACCCGATGGAGAGGAGAAGGGTAAATGCGACGCCGACAAAGCTCCAAAGGGTTTTTGGGACGGGCGCTCGAAGACGCCTTGCGTACCAGAATCCGGACGAAATGCCGGCAACTCCGCCCAATGCCGCCAAATAGACGGTCGTGGAAATAAATGGAAAGGCGTCGACCAGAAAGCTAATACTCGCTCCAAGAACCGCTCCGAGAATCATTGCAAGGGCGCCACGAACGAGGAGAATCGGATTCAACTCTGTCCGATCGCCAGTGATGCCGCAGGCATAGACGATGAGGACCCCGAGAGAGAGGACCAAGATCTCTATCCCATGTACCATGCTGGCCATATCAAATCGAGCCCAGAGCGAGTGACATAGATGCAACGTGCTCTTTTGATATTTGGAGTAGGCTTGATATGCGGACCTCCAATCATACTGACCCGGATTCTTGATACGCTGCACCATATCCCAGCTTGCAGTGGCTTGCTTCCACAGCTTCTGCGGCTCCGCTGTGGTAGACTCGTCTAGCTTTCTGACGTTGGAGTAGCTGGACATGTACCTGCCAATTTGCGCCGTGGTAAGGCGGTACACGGCTGCTAAATTGCCAAACTGATTACCGGAGAGCCCAATAAATGCCTCTTCGATCGGCGCCCCAAGATTGTTGAACGGGATTGGCATCCCTAGCAGGAGTGACAAGGTTGGAACAAGGTCAATCTGTGCGACAGGCCGTTCCTTCGCGGTTGCAGGGGGCTCGATGCGATATGAGGAAGATCGGCCGAAGACAGGTCGCTTCGAATAGAACCAAATCGCAGCCTCAACTTCATCGGCCGATTCGCCCCCGTGGTCCCCTTTCTGGTCCATTCCATGATCTCCCATGACCACAAGCAAGGTCGAGTCATCGATCGACTGAGCAACATTGGTGAGCACGTCGTTCATCTGTCTCAGCTTCGCAGCCATCGCGGGATGGTCTGGCCCGTATCGGTGCCCTGCATGGTCGACTCCAAGGTAGTGTCCAACGATGACATCCCACTTGCTAGAATTAGTCGTGTCCAATAGTGGCAATAGGTGTTCCGTCACTCCGTTGTCCACAGTATGGAGATCCCAGACGTTGAATGAATCGTACGGCTTGGTGAGATTGGGTTCGAAATAGCCCGGAAAGAGCGCGTGCCACGTGTCGTCTCCAAGATGGACAACCCTTTTACCAGCATGATACAGTTGTTCGATCAGGTTGTCCTCATCAATTGCCGTGCCTGCAAAGTTGGAGCCTGCGTCGATGAATGTGGGCAGGGTGCCTGTCGTCAATCCCTTCAATCTCTGCAACGTTGTCGTAGGAGGATCGGCTATGAAAGGTAGGAGGATCGCATTTTCAGGGGAGTCTTTCGCTGTTTGGTAGAAAAAAGGCAACGCGTTGTGGAAGTGGTGAGGCGCTTCTTCGGGGAACGATGGCTGGAAGGGGACTGTGAAGTCGTAACGAAGCGCATCCACCACGATAACGACGGCCTTGTCGAACGACTTGGGATGCCAGCAACCATTCTCTATTGATCCTACCTCGTACCCTTCCACCAACACAGGCGGTTCAGCACATTGTGACCTGTCATTGAGGACTAGACGCGTCAAAAGGAATCCGCTGGTGAACAGGTAAATCCCGAGGGCGTGAAGGATTCTAATGTCGAATCGAAGATCAGTACCGCAGCAAGATTTCCGGAGTGCATCGGGTACTTACAGGAACCACACCAGGAGCGCGACCAAGATGCCATGCGACGCCGTGAATTGATATTCGCGAACTTTCTTGTCGTCTTGACTCGCGGTGGTCAAGCCCTGCGACTCTTCCTGTTCACGGCGGGCTTTCGCCTTCGCGAATTTGGCGGCAATGCCATCGTATTCGGATTCCTTTGCCATTTTCCATTGATGCGATGCTCAACGAGAACGCAGTGAGATGGTCTCCTATGGTGGATGGAAGAATTGACCGTTGCGGAGGTTGAAGCGATGTAGGTCAGGGTAGCAAAGAGCTGTATGATGTATCTTGAAGTTTAGCTCCGACCAAAGCTGCCCTGGTGTCCCGAACGCGGCTAGAGCCGTCTCCGGTCATCGGGCCGTTGTCTCCTAAGTCCTAAGTCCTAAGTCCTGTAGTGGGGGTCTATTACTGGGCACACAGGTATCGTTCATTCGTTCTCCATGACACGGATGAGGGAGGGCCCGGAGGGGACAGTCGGATACCTCAATGTACTTAAGTCTTAATTAAGTAGACGGAGAGTTCTCTCTTCATAGCATATACCAAATTCATCGCCTTTGTATTTTGTACGTGGTACCGTATCAGCATCATTCAAGTACATCCCCCCTTGCCCCCAAGATGGCAACTAAGGATAGCAACCAGCAGAACGCCAGCGTGAACGAGGTTATCTCCAACCTGGAGGTTGACGTGAGGCTTCCATACTAGTTCCATTCCGATTCCAGATCCGATCCGTCCATCAAAGTGTTTGTAACCAAAATGTCCATGGCTGATGTCGTGTAACAGGAGGCGGCGTTGGCCCAATACATCTCGTCGTAAGCCCTCGCACATTCAAAGCAATGCAAAGAAGTCTTCCCAGGCTCTTCTAATATCGAATCCAACCAGTACTACCACGTCGATCAAGGCATCGGTCACAGATTACCGCTATGAACATGGCCGACGCTATCATGCATACGGCGATGACAGTATGACTTTGGAACTGACCTTGACGCACGCCTATACCTGACTCAGTATCCAGAATACCACCTCCCGAATGACGAGGTAATTTCTGTACAAAACGTTCAATAGAGCAATGACATTGAGCAGCTCATCAGAAAGAAATTGATCGTCTCGGTATCACTATATCACTACATCCTACGCAATATTTCACTAAGCCCTTCTAGAACTGCAACATCTCATCTGGGTCGAGGCGTTCAATGGCCGCCTCTATCTGTCTCCTCTCCCGGAGGACATGACCGATGTCCTCGACGTAGGATGCGGCACCGGCAGTACGACAATATCTCGAAACCTCGCGATCCGCTAACCTGACCGCCGTGATAGACTGGACCATCGAATTCGCCACCGCCCATCCGAGCGTCGCCGTCCTCGGCACCGACCTGTCCCCCATCCAGCCCTCCAACGTCCCCGTCAACTGCCATTTCGTAGTCGACGACGCCACGCAGGAGTGGGCGTTCGGCCAGAAATTCGACTTCGTGCACACACGCGCCATCACGATGGGCATCGGCGACTGGGACGGCTTCATCAAGCAGGCCTACTGCTCCCTCAAGCCAGGCGGGTGGATCGAGCTGCAGGAGTTTTCCTTTCCGATCGGGTGCGATGATGGGACCATGAAGGATGGGAGTCCGTTGGCGGAGTGGGCGGCGGCCATGGTGAGCGCGATCGCGAAGGTGGGCATGGATCCCCGGGCGGCCCTGAAGCATCCGAACCGGTTGAGGACGGCAGGGTTTGCTAATGTGCAGGAGCTGCCCGTCAAGTGTCCGCTGGGGCAATGGCCGAAGGGATCCCGGGAGAAGAAGCTGGGAGTGTTGGGCCAGAAAGACCTGCTAATAGGGATCGAGGGGATTAGTACGAAGTTGTTGCGGATGTCGGGGTATAGCGAGGAGAAGGTCAATGGGTTACTGGAGGCATGTAGAAGAGACTTGTTGAATCCTATGGTAAATGTTCAACGGACAATATTTTCGCCAGGGGTCTAACATTGCACAGATCCACGTTTATTTCCCGTTGACTGTTTCCTGGGCTCAGAAACCACTTGAGGAAACTGGATAGTCGAGCCGACTTCCAGCTAGGGAGCTGGAGACATGACATTTGATGATAGATGAGTGGGCGTTCCATTTGTACTAAGACTGACTTTCGTCAACGATATTGCAATATGATTCTTTGGGAGCGCCGGGTGACTCGTCCATCGTGAACTAAGCCAAGTTCAAAGGTTCATGTGAGGCGTTACCTCCCTGCCGATTTACTTTTCTTCGTTCGATCCGTAACCGTGATCCACTCCGGCCTCACCCCTCTCTTCCCGAGCACCTTCGCCACGTCTCGATGTTGATTTCCCTGAACCATCACCTCAAACGCTTCCACCCCCTTCTTCGCACCTGTCGCCTGGTCCACGCTCGTTGAGCTGGCGCAGAGCTTCCGCAGCTCGTCGGCAAGGCTCTGCGCACGGATCCCGTATGGCTCGATTCCCGTGATCCTCGTCACGACCTTGTTGCCCGCTCGCTGCTCCAGTATTATGGTAACCTTTGGCGGCGTGCCCGCCTTGGGTTTGATGGTTGTGGGCACATCATCCGGTGCCATCGAATTCGGATGAAGCGCCCAGAAGGTGTTGCAGGAATTCTCGAGCCGCGTGGCGAGTGCATCCCGAGGAACCCCACCGGCAGCGAGGGTTTTCGCATCGGTGGCATTAGACCCGTTGAAAAGACTGGCTATGACAGGGTCGAATTTCACGAGTCGGGGGTTCTTCGTGTCTCCTAGTGCATTCGCGGTGATGTATGCATCCAGATCATGTCGGAGCTGTGAGCGGGTGTAGAATGCCTTGGACGTCTCTCCGGGGAAGATGGCACTGATATTGGATTTCGGTCGGTAGAAAGTAGTAAGTTTCAGTTGCTGATTTCCCGATGACGAGGAACCCGCTTTGCCATCCGCCTCTTGGTTTGGTTTCTTCTTTTTGGGAAGCGAATATGGCCGAAACTTCACAATGGCCTCATCATTGAAATCGATATCCAAAATCACCGTTTCTCCGCTACCACCACCAAAAGTCTTGGACAGGAGAATGTTCTGTTTGCCGAGATGGTTGATGAATTTCTTGAGGGTCTTCCAGCTGGTCTTCTTGATCTGAAATGCGTTGGCGTCGGCTTCATCGAAGATTGGTAGGAACGGCTGGATCAATGATGACATCGTGAACGTGGCGGACAGCGGGAATGTCAACCCATAAGTGCTCTGCCCCTCGTTGAGCCGCTTGTAATGATGGACACCGCACACGAAGGCCTTTCGGAATACCTCATCAATCTCTTGAGTGGTGTATTCTCTTTGAGGTCGCCTCGGAGCGTCATCTGGCTCTTCTCCTTCATCATCTTCCTGTCGACCAGGTTCTGGGGCCTCCCCATTGTTTCCATCGTTCTGCTCGTCTGTCAGGGGCACGCCACCATCAGTGTCCTCGAGCTCAAGCTCTTCGGTCAGCTGAGTGACTCCATCCGCAGTGTCCTCTTCCTGCAGCCAGCTTTCGAGCTCCTCCGGTGATTTCTTTCCGGGTATTCCATTAGGCGACCAATCCCAGAGCTCATCTCCATACCAATGAACCGGCTCAACGGCATGGCCTTTGGTTCCTTGCACCCGGGTAAGGATACTGACATCGATAACGCAGGTTCCCACTGCCATAGGAACACTCGGAGTGTCCCACGACGCGATTGCGACGATTGATCCCTTCGTTGCATTGGAGGGGAAGGGTGGTCCAGCGAGCCCAGGGGTCATAAGCGAAGCCCCGCCTTGGATTTTCTCGACGACGATATCCGGAGTGTGCAATAGGGGAATTATTTTCGGATTCTGCCACAAGGTGTACACTATGATTGCGAGCTCGCATTAGCAAGTACACCACAAGTGCAGTCCAGATCAGCCATACCTGTTGGGTACATGCGGTCCTTATATTTGAACCACAGCACCCTTGGCTCCGCGCCCTTGTGCGAGCCGACGTATATTGTGCCTGAAATCGGGGACAATTCGGGGCCGATTGTGGACATAAAGCGTGCTGATTGCGAGTTCTCTGGAACCAAGGAATTTCGAAGGGCTATATGTGCCGCAGCAGCCGCCGCCTTTGTCGCTTCGTCTGCTCCATCCTCGAGCGGCTTTTCGAGTTTCCAATCACTGATTATCTGCTCGGCGATCTTGCGACGATCCGAAGACCTAATCGGTGAAAGCGGTTTGATCTAGGAGTAGAGTTTACATATCAGTAATCAGAGCTATTGTCTCAACGGTTGGTATTGTAGTCCATACATTGGGCTTCTTCTTGAACATGGCTTTCGAGGTGATGCACTATATTTTGTCTGCTTCTAGAACTTTATGCTCGGTTTAAACTATGAACGCAAGTGTACAAGCGTCTTAGGAGAGACCTGGTAGGTTTGATCACTTTTGTGTACGAAGGAAGATGACTCAGGTCCGAATTGTCCTGTAACATCGATATCGGACTCACGTCCGCTGTCTGGTGATGACGATGTGAATAGTGATTGATTGGCGTTCCAAGGCCACCAGGCAGCCACAGACAGCCACAGACAGGCAGGCCACCAGAGCGACCACCCCGCTCTGGTGCAGTCGAATGCCCCACAATCTACAGCACTCCAAGTCTGACATCACTCATCACTCCTCAGAGTTCAGACTGTGAGTCCCCAAGGCTCCAGTCCAACAGACACGAGACGGGGAGACAAGACAGGGCTCCCTGGTATTAGAAGCATAGCAATTGGCAAGCGTAAGCTCTAAGCTTTGTTCCGGCCCTGCGGAGTGCGAACCTCCTCGGACCTTACCCACCACCATTCTCCTAGAACAGCAGCGAGAAGCATGGAACAATAATAATGGATGTATATACTCCGTATACCATCACTACTTCATGAGCTCCTCCCCACTATGTTCGTGCCTGAGCCTGACAAAGCACTCGTCGAGCTATGATCATCCAACTACCATGAACTCCTGGCTCCCAGCTTGCCACCCGAGCTTTGTAGCTTAGCAAGACGATTTGAATCAGCACGGTAACCTCGGATGGCGTCTTTTAACATCTCCGACTCTGCGATAGAATGCGGAGTCCCCAAAATGCGGGGTGTGACATCAACAGAATCTCGGGCCGGTGATGGGAAAGACAATTCAGTGGCTAAATTTAAGATGACGCTCCAATCTCATGGCGGAGCTTGTTTCAATTATCTTTTGCTATTCATCTCCTAGCTTCGGTTGTTGGCGAGTGTGAGTTCCAGACGTCATTATATTGAACCTTCATTACCACAGTCTACCATGGCAGATCACAAGAGGACCACCAGTCAACGATTGACTCAGATCAAGGACTTTCTCACAATGAATAAAACGGCGTCGACGATCCCTTGGGATCCCGAGTCCACCAAATTCCCCACCCGGAAGGAACTCCCACCCATCGCTGGGGCTCCTCCAGAGGCCGCATGGGTTTGGGGCGAAGATGACTTTGTACGATGGACCCCAAAGACATTGGACTTGCTGGCACTAACGGTTCCAGTGTGGACGACTGAATCTACTGACGCCCAGCCGTGTCGCTGCTGCGTCCAAGGAGATCCGGACGGGCGAGATTGTCCCCGTTAAGTATGTTGCCGATTAGATTCCATGTCGCCGTAGCTAATTTGACCAGTCTTCCGTTGACCACCCCAGAGCAGCCCGCATTCGGTCGCGAGAAGTTCGAGCATCAAATCAAAGTCCTGGCGCCCGGTGTTGCGTACGACGACATCTACCATATGAACACTCAGAGCGGAACCCAATGGGACGGCTTCCGGCATGTAAGATATCGATCTGCTGATACACTGGTGTCTCTAGCTGACGTCAAAATAGTTCGCCCACATCCCAACCGCCACCTTTTATAACAACGTAAGCCTTCGGAATAGGAGAAGAAATAACACCGTCTAATCCAGCCATAGACCAAAGATGAGGATATTCTTGGCCCCAAGGCAAACCACAAGTGCTCAATTCATCATTGGGCGGAGCATGGCATCGCCGGCCGTGGTGTCCTCATCGATTACCGGGGCTATGCCCACAAGATGGGAATCAAGTATGACCCGTTCGATGTGAGACTCCGTTCCTCTCGCATCCAGGCTTGAACTTACACCCAGAAGTACTATTCGATCTCCTGGGACGAGCTGTACAAGTGTGGCCAAGACCAAGGCATCGACATTCGACCGATCGCCCAAGGCGGTGACATAAGACCCGGGGACATGCTGTTTGTCCGGAGCGGATGGGTCGAAGAATACCACCAAAAGCCGCGCGATGAGCGGGCAGCTGCAGCGCTGAGAGGCCATGATGGGCACCCCGGGGAGCAAAGCTATGTGGGTCTAGCGCAAGAGGAGAAGATGCTGGACTGGCTGCATGACTGCTACTTCGCGACCGTGGGAGGAGATGCGCCGGCATTCGAGGCCTGGCCCACGCGTGCAGGTCAGTTACTATCGTTCAGGCACGAATACAGATACTGACGCCGAATTTTAGACTATCACCTCCACCAGTATATCCTCGCCTTGTGGGGGATGCCGCTGGGCGAAATGTTGGATCTCGAGAACCTAGCGAAGAAGTGCCATGAGCGGAATCGATGGTTCTTCTTCTTTAGCTCTACTCCTGCCAATATGCCCGGCGGAGTCAGCAGCCACGTCAATGGACAAGCTATCTTTTAATCGAGTACCACTCTTCCGGTCCAATGAGTCAATACTTCTCTGGTTATATACTTGCGAGGCAGACGTGAAGTAGCAACGTGGCATAGTTCGTTTTGTAAATATGAAGAAAGTCAATCAATATTGTTAGCACCTATTGGTTCGATATATACTTGCTAGGGCTCCTGTATCGTTGTACGTATGTGGTCTGGCGTGCCTGGAGCTTACTTAAAGGCTGTAAAGTTCAGCAGATCCACTTCCCCGTCTGTAACTCTCCTGATGCGCCTATGATCGATCGTTCGCGTCAAACTTCGTCGGCCAAAACGCTCGGAAGTGCTTTTTGTCGCCTAGACTCTTGATTTCCTGCACTTCTGCAGGAGTCAACTTGAAAGTCATAGCTCTAAGGTAATTGCTTAAGCGTTGTTCCTAAGGGTTTCAATCAGCACCGATATTGGACATATATAAGAGGGCTTACCTTCGAGCTCGTTGTAACGGGGACGATATCTTGGTCGATACACCACCGAAGCAAAATTTCACCCTCGGACACTGCGTACTTCGATGCTAATGATTTCAGATAGGCGGGCAGTTCTCCATCCTTTGTATCGCCTCGGACAATTGGGGTTAGAGGTCCATAGGCAGCAGTAGCTACCCCATGCTTCTTGTGCCACTCCAACAATCCGCTGCTCATATGCTGCAGATAGGGATGGAACTCGATCTGATTCAACACCGGCTTCACCTTCGCTGTTGCCATGACAGCATCAAGCTGCTTTGGAAGGAAATTCGACACTCCAATCGACTTAGCCAAACCCAGCTCTTTCACCTGCTCCATGGCTGCCCACGCTTTCTGGATATCGGCATCAGACGCACCAGCGATATCAGTGCCAGGGAACCATTGGGAATGGATAAGATACAGATCGACGTAATCGACCTTCAACTTCTGAAGCGAGGCTTGTAGAGCGGCAGGAATATCGGCAATGTTGGGGAGGACTTTGGTCACGATGAAGAGGTCGGATTGAGGGACCTTGGACTCTTCGATTGCAAGACCGAGCTCTGATTCGGTCCCGTACACTATATAGGCGTCAATTGTAAGCTCAACTTGTGGGAGTACATGCGCCGTGGATCACCTTCAGCACCGTCCAGATAGGTATATCCTAGTTTGATCGCAGTCTTCGCGGCTTCGACAAGGGCACGGTCAATCTTGGAATCGTCACCCCTCTTATACCACGAGGTACCGGTCCCGTACCCGAGCTATTCGCGAACAGTTAGATCCCTTTAACCTCACAACACGTCCTGGATTCTGGTGCGGGGCATACCATGGGAATCTGGTTACCATCCCCCAGTTTGAGGGACGGGATATGGACGTTGAGGTTCGCCATTGTCGATAATTCTCGTAGGAGGCGAACAAGCAATCCTGTCAGGGGTATGTGTCGTCGTGTTGAAGCCGAATTAGGGACGGTTAGGGAGACCGAGAGAGATGTTCAAGATGTGACTCAGAGGAAACAGCTGGGAAATACACTGGAGGACCTTGGTACAATCAAACCAGGGGAAGTTCCGGCTTTTGAATGTGAAACCTTTCCTAGAGATTCCGGTATTCTACAACTCAGAAGCTAGACAAGGCCGATAGCCGTTAAATGGAATTATTTCCGTTCTATTTCTCATGTCCACCGTTGCCAGTCGCTCACTACCAGGAACCTCGTAAACTCCTTCCCCGGTTGGAAGGGGGTTATTAATTGGATCTCGAGTGCTTAGTCCCTACTATCGTGCTGCGGTACGTACGTACGGTGGTGACGCCCATGGCCTTCCCCTGCCATTTGGACATCTATGACGTGATAACTGATAGGTCAGTGGGGTCTATGTAGATACACTAGAGGCAGCATAATTTAGTATCCTCGCTGAGCATTGTCGTTCCCAATTTTGTCCTGGTAAAGGTCGCTATATTGAGAACGAGACAGCACAGGAATTGGTTTCTAAAGAGATGCTACCTGGTAAGTTCGAACCCCTGCCTGTTGGCCAACCACCTACTTGGCCAGTATCACCATCTTAGCCACCATCATGAAAACCGTGACATCTCTACCACCACGTAATTATATTGAAAATTCAAACCATAGGACTATTGTACAGCATCTTGGGGAGCGTCTGGTATAGTTTCAGCCACGGGAATACTCTGTTCTAGTATAGTATTTGCCTCCAGAAGCCGTACAGCCTCTTGCGCTACTTTGATCTCTTTAATCTGTGCGAACTTAACATTGGGATCTATCCGAACCTTCTTCTTGCGTTTTGGGGCTGAGGCGGCATCTAGACGGGCCTGGAGACTCGCAATTTTCAGAT